AGAAAGCGAAATTCCTAGTAACGTTATTTGTTTATTTGCCCCAATTTAACTCTTAACTATTATTTTAAGGTTGCTATTTTTCCAACAGAAAATCAAAGTTCAAAGATGTGAGACCGAAAAAAAAATCAAATTTGAGAATAACAAAAAAAAAAAAGTTGAGGGGCTGACGTGTCTTAAACGATGCCAACTCTCTGGACAACAATGTCAAAAAACAGTTTTGTCTAAAAACCATTGTTATTTTCTTTATTAAATTTAATTTAAATTTAAAAATTGAAAATAACAATGATAACATTAATTTTTAGAAAAAAAAAAAAAAACAGGATGAAATAAAAAGCAAAAGATTTAGAAACTATAGCCAAATAAAAGAAATCTATACAATTGGAAGAAAGTGAACTAACAGAGATAAGCAGTCACAACCTGTTTTTTGGCGCTCGATTTCAGTTGACAAGCAATCATTTCATTTTTTAACAGCCTTCAAAACATTAGAAAAAGGCGCGAAATCGCCGTTAGAATGTTTATTCGCCTGTAAAGAGGAAATTGGGTTCAAGTTGTAAAAACCGACCGACTCTTAGGTCAATTAATTATATATTCGGTCGGATCCGTTTCTTGACCCCATCAAAACCCGAAAAAGAGACCGACTTGACCGGTCACTACCTGGGGTAATTTGTCTATAAAATTACCCTTTTTTGGGTTCAATGTTTCCTTTGTTTAGAGGTTTCTCGATTGAGAAGGATTTTCTCGGAGAGGTTTTTGGCTCTTCACAGCCAATCACCTCCATACTTGCTTAACGAACCAAAATTCAAATAATAGCAAAAAAAAGTTCAAAATTTTTTAAACAGCTAACTATTTTTTTACAGATCAGTTTGAATCAAACTTTCATTTCAGTTCCATTTCTCGAATTAATTCTAGGGTTAGTGTGGTTATTAGTAAGCTCGCAATGGATACAAGGTCCCTTATCGCCGGCGGACAGTTCCAATGTCCGTGTCCGTATGGTCCAGTTCGGGATACTTAGCCCCGATGAGATTGTAAATTCTCATATTTCCACCGTTTCTTTTAGTTTCTTGCTCTTTCAGCTGCTTAAAGATTATAGAATGAGACTTCTAGTTCCTTTGCTACTGTTACTGTTCTATCCTTGTTCTTTTGGTGGTGTGTATGCGTTGGAGTTGGGAATTGCTATGGAGTTAGTGTTCTTGATTTTTGATTTATGTTGTTCTTTGGTGGCAGAGGCAAATGTCTGTGGTACAAGTTGAGTACAGTGAAACTACAGAGAGGGGCAAGCCTAAGCCAGGTGGCTTGAGTGATCCGAGACTGGGTACGATTGACAGGAAGATGAAATGTGAGACTTGTAATGCGAATATGGCTGAATGCCCAGGTCATTTTGGTCACCTGGAGTTGGCGAAGCCAATGTTTCATATTGGTTTCATGAAAACTGTATTGAGCATCATGCGATGCGTATGTTTCAACTGTTCCAAGATTTTGGCTGATTTCAACTGTTCCAAGATTTTGGCTGATGAGGTACTTCTTTTGAATAGAATTACTATTAGCTTTATTGCTTGTAGTTTAGTTGTGTAAGCATGTCACGAAGAAAGTTTCGGTTCCTTACATAATATGAGGAGCCAATCTGGTACTAAGTTATGTTTAGAACTTATTCTTGCTGTAATAAATGAAATGCCATGAACAAATTGGCCTGTAGGAGTTTACATCAGTATGTAAATTGTTACGTTTATCACCAGTTAATAGGACAATCTACTAGTTTTGCATTCTTGATTATCATGATATTGGGAGCTTTTCCATATATTTATTTATTTATTTATTTCCTTCATACAGGAAGATCACAAGTTTAAGCAAGCTTTGAAAATAAGGAATCCCAAAAACAGGCTGAAAAGGATTCTTGATGCCTGCAAAAATAAGACTAAATGTGAAGGTGGTGATGATATTGATGTTCAAGGTCAAGATACTGAAGAGCCAGTGAAAAAGAGTCGAGGTGGATGTGGTGCTCAGCAGCCAAAAGATGTGGTTGCTCAGCAAGCAAAAAACTTTCTATTGAAGGTATTGGAGATGATTGCAGGAGTAACAAGTCTCAAAGGAAGAAAAAATGATGACCAGGAAGCACCTTCCTGAACCAGTGGAAAGAAAGCAGACACTTACAGCCGAAAGGTAATCTTACCCAAACTTTAGAAATCTTTAGGCTTAGTCCAAATTCATCACAGGACTGCTAATTTCTCTATGGTACTGCAGGTTCTTGTGTTGAAAAGGATAAGTTGATGAGGACTGCCAATGCTGCGAGCGATTTAACCCAGATTGCACCGTCCAGATGGATGATTCTACAAGTTTCTTCCAATGTCCACCACCTCCAGTGAGGCCCTCTGTGATTGATGGATACATCCTTAGGAGCGAGCAAGCTTCTTTTTTTTTTTTTTGGTTTATTACAAGACCCTTTATTTCTAAATACTTATTTTTCTGTATTCGGATATATGCTGTTGGATGTGAGCTTTCATCCACGGATTAAGAAATTTTAACTTGTCTAAAATCATCATAGCTTTCTTTCTTTGCTGAATCCAGGATGATTTGGACACATCAGTTGGCATATTGATTTAGGCACAATGGAAAATCTGAATGAAACAAGAGAGGGTGGGGCACCTGCACAATTCATTCAGAGTTTGCCAGCTTGTTGCAGTTTCACGATAGGCCACATATTTTGACAATGAATTGCCCGGACAGGCAAGATATGGGTCTTGGACAATCATTTATTCTGGAGTTTAAACTGTATAAAACTTAATTATAATGTATTGTATCTGGCTGTTAAGAAGCTTTATACTAGATTGATCTGCCTTACTATGCAGGGCTACACAAAAGATCTGGGAGGACTATTAAATTCAATTTGTAGGTGGCTTAAGGCCAAGGAAAGCCGAATTAGGGGTAACCTGATGGGAAACGTTGTAGATTTTTCTGCCCGTACAGTCATAACACCAGATCCCAATATCAATTGATCAACTAGGTGTGCCTTGGAGTATTGCATTGAATCTCACCTACCCAGAAACTGTGACTCCATATAACATTGAAAGGTCAATATCTGCTCAAAGCATTTACTTTTTTTTGTTCTTCTAATTCTTTTTATCTTTCTTAAGCATGGATTACCTTAAATCAGGTTGAAGGAGCTTGTTGAGTATGGGCCGCATCCTCCACCTGGTAAAACTGGTGCAAAATATATCATAAGGGATGATGGCCAAAGACTTGATCTTCGTTATTTGAAGAAAAGCAGTGATCATCATTTGGAGCTTGGTTACAAGGCATAGTCTGACATATTTTAACTTTTTTCTTTCACCTCAATTACATCTTGTCTATTGTTTTTTCTGAATTCTTGAAATGCGGTTTCAGGTGGAGGAGAGGCATTTGAATGATGTGACTTTTGTGCTCTTCAATCGCAAACCCAGTCTCCTTAAAAATGTCAATTATGGGACATTGAATCAGATTATTTGCCATACTCTACTTTCCGTTTAAACCTTGTCTGTTACTTCACCATATTATGCTTGATTTTATTGGTGATGAAATGAACATGCAGTTCCTCAATCATTGGGCTAAGTAGCAAGGTATTGGAGCTGATGATGGTGCCTAAGTGCATTGTGTCGCCTCAATCAAACGGCCGAGTGATGGGATTGTTCAGGATCACCTTTTAGATGCCGGAAGATCACTAAGGGGGACCACTTTCATAGAGAAGTGATAGTTGGAGAGCATCATTTGGTTTTATTGGCTATTTAGCTGTATTCTACTGTCTTGATGGCATAAAGGTTGATTTTTGTGCCCTTCATTTGGCAGGATGTCTTCATAATATACTGATGTGTGGGGAGGATTTTGATGGAAGTTCCTGCTCCTGCAATCCTGAAGCCACGACCTTTTGGACAGGAAAACAAGTTTTTTAATCTTACTTCATTCCAAAGGCAGATAAATCTTAATTAAACTGCTGCATGGCACAACGATACAGGATTAGAAAAGGTATCATTACTCCAGGAGAATACTCTAGTTTCGAATAGAAAAAAGGAGAGCTACTATCTGGCAAAAACTCTTTGCAAGAAAATCTGGGACTCTTACTGGAAGTCTTATTCATGTCATTTGGTATGCATTTTCTAATCTGTATTTTTGGACAGTGGCAAACATACGTCTTCTGCAGATACTTCTTTAGTTTATAGGCAAGATATTGCAGACAATCTGCTAATTGTAGTCTTAAGAACTCTTAGTTTTCTGCCATTCAAGTTCATGTTTCATTACTGGCATGGATTTTGAGCATCTGCTTTAAAATGGGAACTAGGCCTGCTATGGTTGCTTTAATTGATTGGTGTTTGCATGCAGGGAAGAGGTTGTCCAGATGCAGCTCGCAAATTTTTTGCGGGCCTAACTTCAATGGCTTGTGAACTATTGGCTTTTGCAAAAATGGTTTTACCAATTGGCATTGGAAGATACAAATTGCTTGATGCAGCTACGATGGAGAAAATCCAATGAAACTATTTTCAAAAAGCAAAAAAAATGATGTGAAGGAAACTTATTTAGGAAGGCTTCAAACAAGGAAACTAGAAACCTGAACCTGGACGGACTATGATGGAATCATTTGAAAACCAAAAGTGAATCAGGTGCTTAGGAAATGGTTCCTACTCATTTCCTTTGTCTGGCATATTTTTTTATTTTTACTTCAACGCATATTGCCATCTTTTTAGACTTTGAATACAGCTCGTGATTGATGCTGGAAGCAGTGCCAAAAGAGTTTGTCTGAGAGTACAACCTCAAGGCCATGGGTTACTGCAGGATCTAAAGGAGTTTCATTAATATATCTCAGATGGACCTGCTTGTGTGGCGGGCAGCAAAAATTGTTTAAGGGTAAGGCTTATACCGTTTATGGTTTTATAGATCGGACGTTGCCTCACTTTACAAGGATGGACTATGGGCCGGAAAGTCGTGGGTTTGTGGAGGAATTCATATTTGCGTGGGTTACCCCCCAGGAGCTTCTTTTTTCCCCATGCTATGGGTGGTAGGGAAGGTCTTATCGATACTGTCAGTGAAGATTGCTGAGGGATGGGTATATTCAGGGCCGGCTGTGTTTGAAGCCATGGAGGATATTATGGTTAATTGATGGCACTGTTAGGGAATTCACTGGGAGATTTATTCCAGTTTCTCTATGGGGAAGATGGTATGGATGCTGTCTGGATTTAGAAATCTCAGAACTGATTCATTAAAAAAATGAAGAAATCAGAATTTGACAGGGTCTTCAGATTGAACTCGATGATGAAAATTTGGGAACGCCTTCTACATGATTGCCGGGATTCACATTGGAGGATTTTGAAAAATATCCGAGAATTGCGCGATGTATTTGATTGCTGAATTTCAAAAACTTGAAACGGATAATGCCAACTCAGAAAGAGATTGCAACTACAGGTAGATAATTCTTGGCCATTGCCTGTTAACCTCCATTGAGGCTTATTTGGAATGCACAGAAGACTTTCAAGGTTTGATACGAGAAGGCCCTCAGACATTCATCCAATGGAAGCTGTAAAGCTGGTTGTAAGCTACGGAGAGATTAAAAGTTGTTCCTGGGGGATTGATCACTGAGTAGCGAAGCCCAAAAGAATGCACTCTTTTCTTTGGATTATGTTGCTTCGTAGCACTCATTGCCAATAAAGGGTTGTTGGAGGAATACAGGCTACTCGAGAAGCCCATTTGATGGTTATTGTAGATAGAATCCCGGTTCTTGCAGTCATTTGGTCTAGCGCCTGGGGAAATGATAGTTGTGTTGCTGCACAGTCCATTGGAGAGCCTTGCTACACAAAATGACTCTCAATACTTTCCACTATGCTGGTGTTAGTGCAAAGAATTGTCACTCTTGGTGTTTCCCAGGCTAAGGGAAATTATTAATGTTTAGCTAAAAAGATCAAAACACCTTCTCTTTCTGTCTACTGACACCAGAATGTAATGCACAAAGGAGACGGCTAAGACTGTTTCCAATTGTGCTCTGGAATTACACTTACTCTCAGGAGTGTTATCAGCTACCAGAAGTATGGTATACGATCAAGTCCTATGAGTACCATAATTGAAGAGGATGCTGAATTTGTGAATCATTTATGAAATGCCGACAATGAAGAGTTGCACCGGAAAAAATTCTCTCCTTGGTTGCTACGTTATAGAGTTGAACCGTGAAATGATGGATTGATTAGAAGCTTAACATGGCTGACATTGCTGAGAAAATCAATCTTGAATTGTGATGATGATTTGACATGTATATTTAATGATGACCAATGCTGAAAAAACTGATCCTCCGGATACGTATCATGAATGGATTGAGGCTCCGAAGGGCGATTGAATGATGAGTCTGACTGAGGTTGTATGTTTTCCTGGAAAAAGATTGAGAGTGTAACATGCTGACAGAAATGCTCTCCGTGGTATTCCCAGATATAAAAACAGCGTCTTTATTAAACATTAGGTAAACGATTAGCAAATTTGATGGAATGATGGATTTAAGACAGTAGAGGAATGGATGTCTTGATACAGAGGTGGTCAATCTCCTGGCTGTTATGCTGTAATGAAAATGTTGATGCAAGGAGGACACAAGCAATCACTTGATTGAAGTTATTGAAGTTCTTTGGTACTTGAGGCTGTTCGACGCTCCTTCTAGATGAGTTGAGGTCGCTTTATATCTTTCGATGGATCTCTATGTTGAATTACCACATCTGGCATACTGATGTGATAACCATGGGACATTATCGTGGCCATTTGATGGCCATCACCCGCCATTCGGTATCAATCGGAATGACACCGGGCCATTGATGAGGTTGCTCGTTTGAAGAGACTGTGGACATTCTTCTGGTATGGCTGCTGTGTATGCTGAATCAGATTACTTGAGGGGTTCACTGGAAAAATAATGCTCGGTCAGCTCACCCAATTGGAACAGGAAGCTTTCCTTATATCTCAATGATGAACATGTTGAAGAATGCTATAGAACTTCAGCTTCCTGTTATATGGATGGCCTGGGCTTTTGGCATGACTCCAAGCTCGTTCTCCAGTATCAGGAACTCCTTACCATGAGGGGAAATTGATGTCTCTGAGTTACTTGCTGAGCCCAAATCTCGCCTCTCAGCCCCATTAACTGATGCTCAGTTTTTCTTCACCAGCTCAGTTCTCACCATATGTTGGTGGAATCGCTTTCTCTCCTGCGTCATCTCCTGGCTACAGCCCATCATCTCCGGGCTACAGTCCATCTTCCCCTGGATATAGTCCTACATCTCCTGGATACAGTCCTACCTCACCTGGTTACAGCCCTACCTCTCCTGGATATAGCCCAACTTCACCGACCTACAGCCCCAGTTCTCCTGGCTATAGTCCAACCAGTCCTGCCTATTCTCCTACAAGTCCATCATATTCCCCAACTTCCCCAAGTTATAGCCCCACATCTCCCAGCTACAGCCCCACATCTCCCAGTTACAGTCCCACATCTCCCAGTTACAGTCCTACATCTCCAAGCTACAGCCCTACTTCTCCAGTTTATAGTCCTACCTCACCAGCATATAGTCCCTCTTCTCCTGCATACAGTCCCACCTCACCGTCATACAGCCTGACTTCTCCTTCCTATAGCCGCACATCACCTTCTTATAGTCCGACTTCTCCATCTTATAGTCCTACATCTCCATCATATAGCCCAACTTCACCTGCATATAGCCCCACATCCCCTGGGTACAGCCCCACCTCTCCGAGCTATAGCCCTACTTCACCAAGCTATAATCCTCAGTCAGCTAAATACAGTCTTTCAATGGCATACTCACCAAGCAGTCCTAGATTATCACCATCCAGTCCTTACAGTCCTACATCTCCAAATTATAGGTAAGCTAACACTTCAACGGATAGTTGGTTCTTTGCTTGTTATTTTATTCTAGTTTTGGACTCCATGAGCTCCCCTTCAATAGTTATGATGATGAACTCTTGCTCTGTTCTCTTACTGCTTATTTATTATGTATTTTTAAATGTTGTCCTGCAGCCCGACATCACCATCGTATTCCCCAACCTCCCCATCATATTCCCCTTCAAGTCCAACATATAGTCCTAGCAGGTGAGTCTTATTGTGCTGCTCGGCTGCTGCTACATCTAAAATTTTTAAGCTTTTGGCATTGTGCATTCTTATCATGCTTTATCTTGTTTTTCCTCAGCCCATATAATTCTGGAGCACCAGATTATAGCCCAAGTTCTCCACAATATAGGTAAGCCCAAAATCAATTCTAAATTCCCTAAACAATACATTGATCTAAATGGATCAAAATGATTACAGTTGTTTCGCATTCTGTTTTATTCTGTGCAGTCCTAGTGCTGGGTACTCGCCAAGTGCACCTGGGTACTCACCATCATCAACCAGCCAATACACTCCTCAAACGAGTACTGAGGATGACAGGAATAACAAAGGGGACAGGAATGCAAGGGATAACGATGACAGGAGCAGTCGATGAGGCAAAATTGATCACATGAAAAGCTTGTTAGGAAGAAAAGGTCAAGTTGTTCTTTTGTACTTCTATTGTGTTCATGATCTTTGGATAAAAATTGTTGTATGTTGACAAAACTTCTTGTAAGACCTATCTTTGTAGGGAGGTATAGCGTAGTTACAACTGGCTTTTTTTTTTTTTTTTTTTTTTTTTTTTTTTTTTTTTGTTTTTTTTAAAAAAAGGTTTCAGGTTGTTTTCTTACTGATGAACATAAGTTTATTTGATGATGTTTTGTATAAACAAGTGGAACTAAACTTTTCACTTGTTTTGTTTGGCAATCTGTATACTTGTATTTTAGACTTACAGTTTTTGTATGGGTCATTTTTTTTTTTTTTTTTTTTTTTTTTTTAAAAAAAAGGTTCAGGTTGTTTTTACTGTGACATAAGTTTATTTGATGATGTTGTTGTATAAACAAGTGGAACTAAACTTTTCACTTGTTTGTTGGCATCTGTATACTTGTATTTTAGACTTACAGTTTGTATGGTCACCCTTAACCTTAAATAGTGGTTGTAACAGTATTCAGTTCATCAGTATATATTGTAACCGTGAAAGGAAATAGAGTACAATATTTAACTCATTTTTGTGATATTTGCAGTAATTCTGGGGCCCAATTGTTGATTCAGAGTCATTACCTTGTGTTTTACTGGTGTTTCATCAAACATCGATCAACTCTTTGAAACTTTAGACATCAACATAGAAGCTACATCGAGGAATATTATAAATAATAGGAGATAATGTTTTAACTTGAATATTATAAATAATAGGAACAATGTTTTGTTGAAGTCAAAACATTGATCGATACATGAAAATTTGTTGCCGAACATAGTTTTAATATAATACGGTTTCGGAGAAGTTGGAATCAAACCGATTTTAAATACTTTATGCCAGTGATTAGTTATGGTTATGCAAAGAAGCTATTAGTAGAAAAGAAAAGGAAACGTGCATAAGTGTCAAAAATGCCTTCTTCCTTCCTCCTACAAAGTCAAAAAGTAAAGAATTGCCACGCAGAGCATGTGTGTCTGACTGGATAAACTATTTAACTATATTTGACTGCAGAAATTATTTAACTATTCTACTACATTAAGGAGGCCGGCAATGAAAGTCAACTAACACCCTTCTCTTCAAATACTTCTTTCTCAAACCTGAAATTTAGGTGTTCTGTCTTAATGGGGAAACAACAGAAAAGAAAGAGTAATGTTTCAAATTTTCTTCCAAAAACATCAAACTTTCTTAGTCCACCTCCTAGTCCAGTTCGACCCAATACTCCAAAAAGATTGTCTTCTCCAAGTCCAAGAATATCACTTATTCCTAAAGAGATTCGTAGAAGAGCAAGAAGTTTAAGCTTTGACGCAAGAGAGCCTACCTCTCCTAAAGTTTCATGCATGGGCCAAGTCAAGAACAAGAACAAGAAGAAAACAAAGGATTCTGCAAAAATACCAGAAAATATGTTGTTTCTATGTTCTTGTCGTGGAGCAATAGTTAAGATTTTCAAGGGAAAGCAACAAAATGAGGAATCTAATAATGTATTTGATAAGGGACCTCCTGTGTTGGACACTTTTGAGATGAAGGCTCATGAGGGTGCAAGTACGGTGGGAAGTAACTGTTTAAAGGATGAGAAGAGTGGGGATGAAGAAAGGGATGGAGAGGTTTCTGTAGAACCAAGAAAACAAGTTAATTTGTGGAGGAAACGTGCCTTGTCTCCTCCTAGACCTCTTCGAGTGTAAACAAAAAACAATAACTCAGAAAGAATTTGGTTTAAACATATTTTCTATTACTTGTATATCTTTTGCCTTTGAAATATGAAAATCAGAATAACTGAAGTATTTGTTTCAAGAATGGTAGTTATTTGTATACTGGTTCAACGGTTGAGTACCTATTTGTAATATTGTTAAAAATTGGGAGCATTAAGAGAACTATCCTTTCTTTTTTTCCTTGGAACTAAAGAATTTCTGTTGCAATACAATTGTTCATAAATAATTTTGCTGCTCTCTGTTTCTTGCCAGTTGAAATTTGGTGAATTTACAGTTAAAAATATAAACTTTAAGGATGCATAATATTATTATAAAAGAAATCATTAAATCTCATCTACAAATGGGAAAAAAAAATCTTAGAAAAATAAAATTAATTCTCCAAAGTGCAAGACTATCCCAAATGGAATTGATGAGAGCAAGGCCCCATAAGAAAGGTGGACAAGATATTATCATTTTGGATAAGTTTGAGACTTTCACAGACACAGGATAAGAAAGGTGAGAAAGGCTAAGATATTTATTGCTTTTATTTTTATTTTTGTTTTTTGTAATATGCCATTAATTGTAAACATTTGTGTGACTTGTTGGAATTAATGATTAGAAGTTTGAGAGTGGCTGCCCACTCAATTGGGAATTTTTGGCCCCTCTTTACTCCTATTTTGATCAATTGAATCCTTAATGAGTTAATGTTTACGTAGCATTTTATCATATGTTAAAAAAATTAAAAGCTACATAAAAAATTATTATCGGCTAGATGCAAAATAATAAATTTATAAAGGAAAAAGCATGAGTCTCACCTATAGACATTAGATTAGATAAGTAATCTTACCCTGTAGTGTAGTTTAAGCTATTGATCTACGTAATTGGAAGTAACTAATTTAATTTACGATGAAATCTAGAAATCGATCACTGATCCAATTTAAGTATCTCTACAAGATAAATGTCAATAGAAAACTAAAAAATCGAATTTAAACCCTCAAAATTTTATTTATTTGAGTATAATCTCCACGCTTCATTAGCTCACACCTTGTTGGCAATAAAATAGTACTTATAGTTAGTAATATTTTTCTAATAGCATCAAAAATTGTTTAATGATTTTTTGAATTTGTGAAATTTGGAATTGTGTCAAATTTTAATGGGAAAAAATTAAGTAAATTTTACTTAATTATTTTCTTAATATAAGTTTAACTTATTATAAAATAAAATTAACAACAGAATTTTTCATTCACTTTCATTAATACTGAAAAAAGGATTTATTTTTATAAGTAGATGAAGGGGAGACCAAGAATTTAATTAATTTGTCAAGAAGGGTGACCGTGGAGCTATACACACAAATTTAGAGCCATGGATCCAAATTTTTTTAAAATTTAATTTATTTTTATTTTTATTTTCAAAAATATATCCAATATTTAAATTCCCATAATTTAAAATCTAATTGCACTCATGCCTTTGATTTTTTTTTTCCCCATAAAAATATCATTTGTGCTTGTAAACTGTAGCAACAGTAATTCAAACATCATTGGGATTCCTTTATGAGCTTGTTTTCTTGGATTTTTCATATATAAAAAAGCAATTCTTTTATAGATTTTTGTTTGCCTGGGTTTTGACTTTTTACTTCATTAAAAATAATAAAATATCTGAAATTGAATTCCCAATTTGAAAGCTAACATAATTGTACGATGTCGTTTAAAAATGATTTTATATGCAATATGGGTACTTATTGGTGAATTAGAATTATTTATACTTGGTAGATAAACTTGTCCATACGTCAATCTAATTTAATATTGATATATTTTGTGCAATGAAGAAGATATCAGTTTTTTTTTTTTTATTATAGATATAATAAGGAATGTAATTTTCCTTCGTACAGTGAAATATAAAAGTTTTTAGCTCTTTCAGTCAGTGCACTTTATTCTTATTCTTACGGAAATTGAGTTCCACTCCAAATATTAGCGTCTTGTTATTGGCGGAAAAAAAGATAAGCAAATTAATAATAAATTATATTCTTTCATCCCATAATTATTGTTTTGCTTTTTTTTTTTTAATTGTTGTCCAATTTATTTTTTGAAAAATGAATAATATTGAAAGTTTATTATTTTAAACCGTTCGATATGATTCTCAGTCAACAAATTAATAATCAAACTACTACATTAAAATATTAACATTTTAATCATTTAAGAAAATTCTATTTAATCAAATATTTGACTATAATTTAATGAATTTTCAAGAATAATTTAAACATAAAAGGTATATCAAGAGAAAACGAAGAAAATTTTAATTATATTAAATAAATTTTCTTAATGTGTATGCAAGTTAAATAAGTATAATTATTATGTAACAGAAGAAGTAATAATTAGGGTGAGCAAATGGTAGATTTGATTCAAACTGAGCCAAATCGAAATTTTTGAACGACAGAGAAAATTGAATTAATATTGCACATTAATTGAATACATTTGAAATTATCTGTTGATTTGGCCAATTTTGATCGATTTTTACCATATTGCATCAGATGGATATCTATGAAATTGACTCGAACTAAATAATAAATTCGATTCAAACCGAATAATCAACAAACTGAACCTCTGTTGAATACCGATTAGAGGAGAGGGGCAATTGCTCCCCTCTTAATTTCCTATTTTGAAAAAAAAAAATTTTCCCTTAACGACACTGAGTTTTGAATCTTGGTGTAAGAGAATTTTTAAGACACTCTAGCCATTTTTCTTCCCTCCATTTTTTATAATATTCTTTTAATAAATTTTTATAATAGTTTACCCCTCTTTTGTAAATCTTAACTTTGTCCCTCCTTGAATAACTTATCCAACCGCACCGAAATGGGTTGATTCTGTTTTTGGTAGGTGGTTTTACCCACCCCTGGCTCTGGTTATAATGTTTTCAAATCGCAATTAACTACAAGTTAGTGTCAGTGTAAGATGTGCAAACACATCTCGAGTGGGTTTGACAATGCCAAGAATTGAGATTAGAGACAATATTCCTTCCACTTAAACCTCCACTCCCTCTCTCTCTCCCCCCACCTCTTGTCTCGTCCCTGTCCTGCAACTTTTTTTCTACTCAAGACATGAAATTCATGTCATCTCATTTCACACGTTCCATATGGTCTCAAATCTTCATCTCTCTTCTTCTAAACTAAGCTAACAATATCCAGAATCACTAAGCCAATCCCGTCATCTTTCTTCATCCCTTTCTCTCCTCTTCTCTACATCACCCACTTGACCCATCTTCTTGTCTTCGATCAATTTTGTTAATTGCTTTTTTTTTCACAGTTTCTGTTTATTTCTTTGGCTTCAAAGTTGCTTTCATGGCTTCTGAGATCTCTGGAAGTAATCAGCAACCCATTTATCTTCATGGTGACTTAGATTTGTATATCATTCAAGCTCGAACCTTGCCTAACATGGACATATTTCGTAGTTGCTATGCTGCTTGTACACCCGAGTCCACCACCTCCGCGGCTGCTACAGCCACTACTGACAAAACGACCGGCAATGATCAGGACGAGAAAATTCATCACCGCCGGAGGATAGTCAATAGTGACCCTTATGTCACTGTCGTTGTTCCTCAAGCTACTGTTGCACGAACTCGTGTCGTTAAGAACGCAAGAAACCCCAAGTGGAAAGAGCGGTTTTATATTGCTCTAGCACATCCCGTAATTGACCTTGAATTTCACGTTAAGGATAATGCTCTTCTTAGATCGGAGAATGTGGGAGTTGTTAAAATTCCGGCAAGAAGAATAGCCACTGGGGAAGTCATCAGTGATTGGTTTCCTATAATTGGTTATTCCGGTAAGCCACCAAAGCCAGACACTGCACTCCATCTAGAAATGAAATTTACGCCTTGTGAGAAGAATCCATTGTACAAGCATGGCATCGCCGGCGATCCTGAACAACGGGGAGTGAGGAATACTTACTTTCCTTTGAGAAAAGGAAGTAAATTGACTATGTATCAAGATGCCCATGTGCTTGATGATGAGTTACCTGAGATTAAAATTGATGATGGGAAGGTTTTTAAGCAACAGAAATGTTGGGAAGATATTTGTTATGCTATTTCAGAAGCTCACCATTTGATTTACGTTGTGGGTTGGTCTGTGTTTTATAAGATCAAGTTGGTTAGAGAACCCACTAGGCCATTGCCTCGAGGTGGGGATTTAACACTTGGTGAATTGCTTAAATATAAATCTGCAGAAGGAGTTAGGGTGTTGTTGCTTGTCTGGGATGATGTAACCTCACGTTCTATATTTGGTATTACTACGGTGAGAATTCTAGCTCATGATGTTCTGAATCTCTATTCTTTTCCTTTTCTTTTTCTTCATTTTCCAACGGTATTGGATGCTCTTTTGGATACGTAATATTTACTTAAACCGATCCATAGATAGAGCCATGGACCCGATCCTGATAGTTTTTTTACTCTTGGATACGGGACTAATTTCACTTTGAAATCTATAATATTGTTGTGATTTTGAAGTGCTTTTTTTCATATACCTAACCTTAAATTACTTGCCGTGTTTGGATCGTCTCATATACCAAGTCAATAAAAAAAAATTATTAATGTTTTGTCATTTTTTTGGAAAATATCATTGTTTCAATGAAAATTATTTGTATTTTTGCTCACCTATAAAGCGGATGTAAATAAATTTTTCCTTTACAAATTTAGAGCCAGGTTTTGCTCCTGTATAAAAATAATGAGATTAATTTGCTTAGATCATGTCTATGATTTCATCCGTTGATCAAACTAATAAAAATATAATTTTTTTAAAATGATTCTATTTTTGTCAATATACGAAGAAAAAGATTATGAAGTAGAAACAATTTTTTAAAATTTTTTATTTTTATTGGTTTGATCTACAAGTGAAATCATAAGTAAACATTTTTCGAACATTTATTGAAGATTACCTTGGTGTTTTAAATTTAGAAAATGACTTCTGTATATGAACCAAATGATAAAAGTATATATAAGTTAAACATTTTTCGAACTCTCTATTGAAGATATACCTTGTGTTTTAAATTTAGAAAATGACTTCTGTATATGAAACCAAATGATAAAAGTATATATATATATATATATATATAAATTAATATATATATATATATTCTTTTTCAAAACAAAGTGTCTTTCAATGAAAATAATTTTTAAAAAGTCACTTTATAATTAATTTGATTTATAGGTGGATCTAAGGCAAATTCCGAGCTTGTTGCAGTGGTGATAGCTAGTAATATAGTTTTGTATGTGTAATACAGCCAGGATTGATGAAGACGCATGATGAAGATACCAGGAAGTTTTTCAAACATTCATCGGTGATTTGTGTGTTGGCGCCTCGCTATCCCAGCAGTAATATTAGCTTTTTGAAACAAAAGGCAAGTTTTATTATTACTCCTACTGTTACTTATTTGTCTGTTTCCTGGAATTTTGGAAGAAAATGACAGAGAAGCGGAGCGGATATTACTATTCAGTACAAAATTACATCAGCTACTTATCAATTGCCACATCATAATAAGCACACCCAATCAATGAAATTTCAATTACGTACGATTAAACTATTTGAATTTAAAATTGGGTCCTAACAGTAGCCTACTAGATATTTATTTATTTTATAGTCCAATAATTAAATTACACGTAAAAGTCATTGATGTTACACTAGTTGGAAAATCAATTGAATTGACTGAATTCGAAACTGTTAGGTCTGGTTTCAGTTCCTTAATAAAAAAAATTATTAGAATAATAAAATAATTTTGTTTCTTTTCTAAAAAACTTAGGAAAAATATAAATAATTTTCATGGCCATGCATCTTTACTTAGCTTTGGGACTGTCTTCATACAACATCAAAAATGTGACTGTGAAGTAAACTTATACAGATTGTTGGGACTGTCTTCACACACCATCAAAAATGTGTTCTTGTGGACACACAGGCTGCTGGTAATAATAGGAAGATAACTGCATTTTTAGGCGGTCTTGATCTCTGTGATGGACGGTATGATACTCCTGAGCATCGACTGTTTCGTGACCTTGACACTGTATTCCATGGGGATTTCCATAATATAACATTTACTGATGTAAGTGATTGATCAGCAAGTACATTTGATCCATTCATGGCTTCCTTCTAGCTCTCTTCTTCTAGTATGGAATATGTAGAACTGCAACTTTACTGTATCTTGATTTTTAGTTGTAATTAGAATTTATCTGTTTCTTGCTAATGATCTTTTTTTTTTCAACCGAAGTTCAAGAACAAGTTTTTCTTCTGTTTTGATTGTTTTATCTCAATAATTTTTTGTGTTTTTGTGTTTACAAGCCTCTGATCAAAACACCGAGACAACCATGGCACGACTTGCATTGCAGAATTGATGGTCCTGCAGCATATGATGTTCTTATAAACTTTGAGCAGCGATGGAAGAAAGAAACAAAGTGGACAAAGTTTGGACTTTTATTCAGAAAGGTTTTTTGGGATGATGATTCCCTGTTAAAGATAGAACGTATGTCATGGATATTAAGTCCTCCCTTCACTATAAAGGATGATATGACAGTAGTTCCACCTGATGATCCCACAGTACATGTTTCCAGTGAAGAAGATCCTGAAAACTGGCATGTACAGGTCTGGTTTCTTTATAATTTTCTTTATTTTTTTTTTCAAAATCAAGTTGGAATTAACGCTCGTTCACATTATTTCTTTTCCTTTTGTAGGTTTTTCGCTCTATTGATAACGGATCGGTAAAAGGGTTTCCCAAAACTGTTCATCAATGTCGGGCTCAGGTTTATGCCATTTGTGCTTTTAATATAAGCTATGGCGTATCCAACATTTAGATTATCATTTCTGAAAGAAAGTTTTCTATTGCAGAACCTCATGACAGCGAAAAATCAGGTAATAGAAAGGAGCATTCAAGCTGCTTACATCCAGGCAATAAGATCTGCTCAGCATTTCATATACATTGAAAATCAGTATTTTCTTGGATCATCCTATGGATGGCCATCATATGAAAATGCAGGTTAAGATTCTAACAAGCAGGTTCCTTCTGCTATAGTGGTATTCTTTATATCCCTGGCTTCTGGGCAAGGACAAAAATTGTGGACTGAAAACTATGTTATGTGCAGGAGTTGATAATCTGATCCCAATGGAGTTGGCACTAAAGGTTGCCAGTAAAATTAGAGCCAATGAGAGATTTGCAGTGTATATTGTGGTCCCAATGTGGCCTGAGGGTGTCCCAACATCTGGCCCCATGCAAGAAATTCTATATTGGCAGGTAATCTTCTACCTAAACTGTAATAATTTGTGTGAAACATCTGTACATTTCTTACTCTCACAAGGTCAAATTTTGCAGAGCCAGACAATGCAAATGATGTACAATATCGTAGCACAGGAAATTAAATCAATGCAACTTGTTGATTCACATCCCAAAGATTACCTCAATTTCTATTGCCTTGGAAAACGAGAAGAAAATACCCAGCAGACTGTGATAACTGATGATGAAATGGTAATTGTTTAACATAGTCTCTTATTACCCTGTTTTGTCAGGTAATACTCTAGTTCCATTTGTAGCAGCAGAGTGCTTTTTTCTTCAAAGTTTTGCTTTGATTTATTCTTTGCAAGAATCTCATAAAATTTGTAACATTTACTATTTTCCTTTTCAGGTATCCGATTCTCAAAAATTTCAGCGGTTCACGATTTATGTCCATGCAAAGGGAATAATTGTGGATGATGAGTATGCCATTATTGGATCTGCCAATATCAACCAGAGATCCATGGCTGGTACAAAAGACACTGAGATAGCAATGGGTGCATATCAACCCCATCAAACTTGGGCTGCAAAGAAGAAACATCCACGTGGGCAGGTTGGTTTGAATAAGACTTGTTTATATTCTGTGTATGACATATGACATGGCATGCCGGAACTAATAAGGGATTACATCATAAAGTGAGAGACACCGAGTGAAATTGAGCCCATGAAAAACTATATTTATACATTTATCTTGTGGTTATTTTTTAAAATGGGTTCTACAGTTACATATCTATTATTGGCTTCTCATTCCATGTAACATCCTACATGGAATTGCGGTTTTATTATATTACGGCTGTTGATGGCGAGGTTGTCAACATGAATGAATTTTGCAGATATATGGATTTAGAATGTCACTGTGGGCTGAGCATTTTGGCGAGGTTCAAGGATTGTTCATGGAGCCTCAGAGTTTGGACTGTGTGAAGACAGTAAATAAAATTGCTGAAGAAAACTGGAAGAGATACACTGACCCTGATTTCAAAGTATTGCAAGGCCAACTTCTCAATTACCCAGTGCAGGTAGATGCTGATGGGAAGGTAGGCGCTTTATCTGGATTTGAGAATTTCCCAGATGTTGGTGGTAAGGTACTTGGAACTCATACCATAAAAGTTCCTGATATTTTAACAACATGATTTCCTTTCTCATTGTCTTCATAAAACATAAAAGAAAATTATTATTACCTTTCTATATTATGTCAAAAGCAATCGCTTCGCCTTTTTTAAAATATATTATTTCATCCCTAATATTTAATTTCATCGACTATTTAGTCTTTCCATCTACTTTTGAAGTTTTTGCCGTTAAATGTCTTTGCAAAAGAGGAAAATATTATTATCTTTTCACAAGGCAAAAGAAGATATTTTCATCTTTTTAAGACATATGATAGAAAAATTTTAAAAAAATGAATGGAATGACTGTTTGGCTCACGGAATAAAACATTGAGATTGAAGTAGTATATTTCTAGCAAAAGCAAAGGCGGAGTGATTAATTTTCGCAGAATATAAGGATATAATAGTAATTTTCTAAAAAAAAAATGAGAAGGAGAGATGCACATGTATTGTTGGATTTTATGGTGTGACAGATGTAAAGAGCTGCACGTAGTATTTCGTTTTGTATGCCTATTAAGTTTCCAAGTCTAGTGTGTGGGTAGAATTCATAAACCCATCTCCGAACTTTCTTATTTTAATTTTATGTCACCTTCAATTTTTACTTTGATCCATTAAATATTTCAATTTATAAAACTACATTTATTAAACATTTTAATGTCCAAAATTATCTTATTGACCACTTCAATTTACAAAATTAGATCAATTAAGCATTTATTAAAAATTTAAAATTTAGAAAAATTATTGTTCCAAAAGTCATGCTAACTATATATCAAATCGATATTTTATAGTTAAAAGTAAAAAAATTGATATTAGTATCAAAAGGTGTGTAATATTATCAAAATTTATAAATTTAAAAAATACACAATAAGTTATCCGCAAAATTAAAAGTATCAAAAAATTAAAATTATAAAATTTAAGGATGAATTTATATATTCAACCCTAGGGTGTGCTCGTAACTTTGTGATGTACAGTTATTGTAGAAAGTGCAATAGGTATTAAATGTGAAAATTAGTTTTGTATTGTTGTGTAAGGTGTCAAAAGGATGGAATGTGCACATTGCCTCATTGTTAATGAATAATTTTAAAATGTGTCGACATTAATTTGTCTAGACTGATTTATGGCACATATCCCCATCCATTGTGAAATCAGGATTCCAACCAACAAAAAAAATAAAAATGGCAAAGCTACGATTTATACATGTCATAGATTTTTTTTTTTTTTTATTTTTCATCGTGATCCTGACCAACTCAAGCAAAATAACAATTGCACACTAATACATTTAACTTTACTCCTGACTCATTCTTACTCGACTCAGTTCCAAATTGGTTGGATTGAGCACACAATGAATAACGCAGGCTGACGTGATAGAATTTATGTTACAGATGATTGAATTCATGACCTAAACTATTGAGTTTAACCTCGTAAATATTCTTTGCGGCAATGTCCATTGTAAATCTTTATATATTTTGGTGTTTTGAAATAATCCAACAACTTTAATGGCAAAAATGTAAAATACATGCATTATTGATTGATCTATGGGTGATGTGACGTAGTCTATCCCCACTAACAATTTCTCATCATGGAGATGGCGATGTGTTAAATTAGTCTATCTGGCGTACGTTATCTTTTTAGAAACAAGATTGAAAAATAAGATACCAAAAATGAAGAACATTGATGAGCCTTTCTTTGGTATTTGAAATTTAGCTAAATTTTGCTTTGGATTTCTTTCTTCTTTCGACACTTTCCTCTCTATAATCCTCTTTTAGTAGCAATAGCAAAATGAAATGAAAATAGCCAAAAAAAAAAAAAAAAACTTTGGTATTTTGAAAGTTTAGCCTAAATGTGGCGTATTGAGATTTACTTTGTCTCTTTCGACAGCTTTCCTCTCTATAATCTCTTTATTAGTAGCAATAGCAAGAATTGAGAATGAAAATAGCAGAAAAAAAAAAAAAAACATTCCCAAATTTGAGATTTCATAAAATTAAATATTTACAATTTTTTAATGACAAAATTATCTAGAATTTGCTTCTAATTACTATATGAGTACAATTTTAAATAATATGTTTATGTTTAAACTATTTATTTATATCGAAAATTAAACTAAAAACTATCTAAAAATTTTAGTTTATGTAGAAAAATGATTTTCTTTATAATTTATTTAATATTTGTTTTCATTTTAATAACTTTTTAGCATTTTTATTTACTAATTCAAATAAAGAAATTTAAGGTTTAAAATATAGTAGTTAATAAGTAACACATAAATAAAAATGCAATACGAATTTTTTAATTTAATATGTTTTATTTTATATAATTCTTTTAATAAAAAACATAAAAAATTATATAGCAATAAAGTATAAATACAAATTAAGTGTTGTATTATTTATTTTTTGTTGGAAATTATTTTAAAGGTATATATTTTAGAAAACAAAAGACAATGAAATTTTTTAAATTATCAATTTTATTTTACATATAATCATGAAGATGTCAATTAATATATATTTTTAAATGTAATCCAATTTCGAATAAAAAAAACATCAAGTTTACAAAATAAATATTTAACGTAAAGGAGAGATTCATGATTATAAAATAATTTCAATATAATTATTAAATTTATTAACACTGATATCGGCAGGTATACCGTCGAATATATATGAAACTATCAAAATTTCTATGCTATATTTAAATAGGTATAAAGCTTAACTCACTAAATATTAGCCTTATTGTGTAGGAGGGCCGAGCCTTTGACTGTATTGTGATAATATTTCAACTGGTCAACTGGTGACAGATGAAACCTCCCTTATCGTCAAGCTCCAACTGGAGTTTTCAAGCACACAGTCAATCTGGAAATGATAGGGCCAGGAGCATAGAGTCGGTTTTGGGTTTATAAAACTCAACCGAAATTGAGGGAACAGTAAATTTCGAAATTACTTTTCAATTAAAATGACAAATAATATAATGATAGTGTTAATTTTTTGAAATTGAGATTATGAATTTTAAATTCCGGTGATTTAGAAAATTTCTTTCCCTTGTGTGTTAAATATATATTTATCACTAAATTAAAATGCAATAATTTTATTAATATTGTTTTTATTTTATATATTTATTTTAATAAAAACATAAAAAATTATATAGCATAATATAAATACAATTAGTTTTCTATTATTTATTTTTGTGAAATTATTATTTTAAAGATATTTTAGAAAACAAAAGCACATGAATTTTTTAATTATCAATTTATTTTACATATAATCATGAAATTCAATTAAATTATATATTTTAAATTAATCATATCGAATATAAAAAATCATTTACAAATAAATTTTACTGAATTCATATATAAATAATTTCATATTTTAAATTTATTAACACTGATCGGAGTTTACGTGAATTAATATGAAATCAAAATTTCTATTCTATATTTTAGAACTACTACTAAATATAGCCTAATTGTGTGGAGCCGCCTTGACGATTGATATATTTCAACTGTCAACTGGTGACATGAAACCTCCCTTATCCACTCCAACTGAGTTTTTCAGCACACAGTCAATCTATGATAGGGCAGAGCATTAGGTGGTTTTGGTTTAAACCAAACCGAATTAGGGGAGAGTAATTTGAATTCTTTTCAATAAAAATCAAATTAAATTTTATTTTTTTATTGAATTGATTTGATTTTATTCGGTTTTAGATTTCTTTCTTGTGTTAATAAAAATTGAACCAAATAGAATTAAAAAAAAAATCAAAATTCAAACCAAATGATAACGAATAGGTTCAATTTGATCGGTTAAACCAAAACTCTGCCTCAACCCTTCTCCAATGTCAAACCATTACACCTAAATCTCCTCTCTCTGCCACCCCACCGCTTGTCTCTATCCGCCAACCACTTCCTGGACATGAAATCCATTTCATTATGGTCTAATCTCTCTCTTCAATTTCTCTTCCTCTACAAAGAGAACTGAAACATCTAAAAATCCCGTTTTCAAAACTATATTGATTTATGCTTATTTTGTTTAAAATATTTAATAAATTAATCACTTAATTAATCCCTTCAAATCTTCCGGCCCGCCACCACCTCACGAGGTCTAAATTCTCTGTTACAAGCAATCTCTTACTCTTTCTCTCTCTTTTGCGCTGTGTACACGAAGAAACCATTCTTTGTCCCTATTTACAACAAATCTCACGTGAAATTCCTTTCTTCGTCCTTATCTCCCCTCTTCTCTACATCACCCTCTTGACCCTCTTCTTGTTTTCGATCAATTTCGTCAATTTCATTTTCTTTTTCTACAGTTTCTATTTCTTTCTTTAGCTTCAAAGTTGCTTCAATGGCGGCTGAGATCTCTACTAATGGACAGCAACCCATTTATCTCCATGGCGACTTGGACTTGTACATTATTCAAGCTCGAAGTTTGCCTAACATGGATATAGTCTCTACACGGATTCGTAGTTGTTTTACTGCTTGTACTCCCCAGTCAAACACCTCCGCCGCTGCTACCACCACTACCGACGACGAAGAGACTGGCAATGAAGACGATAAAATTCATCATCACCGTAATATAGTCACTAGTGACCCTTATGTCACTGTCGTTGTTCCTCAAGCTACTGTTGCGCGAAGTCGTGTAATTAAGAACGCAAAAAACCCTAAGTGGAAACAGCGGTTTTATATTCCTCTAGCTCATCCTCTAATTGACCTTGAATTTCATGTTAAAGATAATGATCTTTTTGGAGCAGAGCTTATAGGAATTGTGAAGATCCCGGCGAGAAGAATCGTCACCGGGGAGTTCATTGACGAGTGGTTTCCTATAATTAGTTCTTCCGGTAAGCCGCCGAAGCCAGACACTGCACTTCATCTAGAAATGAAATTTACGCCGTGTGAGAAGAATCCGTTGTACTGGCATGGCATTGCCGGCGACCCTGAACACCGGGGAGTGACGAATACTTACTTTCCTTTGAGGAAAGGAAGTAAAGTGACGATGTATCAAGATGCCCATGTGCTTGATAATGAGTTACCTGAGATTAGAATTGATGATGGGAAGGTTTTCAAGCAACAGAAATGTTGGGAAGATATTTGTTATGCTATTTCAGAAGCTCACCATTTGATTTACATTGTGGGTTGGTCTGTTTTTTATAAGATTAAGTTGGTTAGAGAACCCACTAGGCCATTGCCTCGAGGTGGGGATCTAACACTTGGTGAATTGCTTAAATATAAGTCCGAGGAAGGAGTTAGGGTTTTGTTGCTGATTTGGGATGATAAGACCTCACATGATAAGTTTGGTATTAGTACGGTGAGAATTCTGATCATTATATTGCTGTTCTGTATCTCTATGATTTTGGTTGCTCTTGCTTGTTGTGTACCCGCACTGTGGAAAAAAAAAAAAAGACTAGTGTGATTATAGCTGGAGCTGTCTTTATCGAGAGCGTTTTCTTTAAGTTGAAGACTAAGATAAGGTTTTTTGAATCAAATTGGATGTCAGTTAAAGTGTGATAATGATAGCCACAGATATCCCTGTTAAGTTTTAATTGTGTTTGCAATAATTCTGATCTTATATTATTGGGGGCAGAAGTGGTGATAGCTACTAAAATAGTTTTGTATCTATAATATTATTATGCGGAATGTCATTGGGTGCAGGCAGGATTGATGCAGACGCATGACGAAGAAACCCGGAAGTTTTTCAAACATTCATCTGTCATTTGTGTGTTGGCGCCTCGCTATGGCAGCAGTAAACTTGGTTTTTTGAAACAACAGGCAAGATTTATTTCATTGCTCAATGCATTGTTTCATTGTTATTGCTGCAGTTATTTATTTAAGATTAAGATGTTTGCAGTGGTGATTATGTGATCAATGTACATGGTTGATTTCTAGAATGGATTTTGGTTTTATTTCTAAATCGTCCAAACAATATTGTTGGGATTAACATATCAATGGCCATGCACTTTGACTTGCTTTCACATTTCTTTTCATTTCAAAAGTCAATTGCTTTTGCCAACAATTCGTAATATTGTGGTGGTTTTATACAGATTGTTGGGACTGCCTTTACACATCACCAAAAATGTGTTCTTGTGGACACACAGGCTTTTGGTAATAATAGGAAGATAACTGCATTTTTAGGCGGTATTGATCTTTGCGATGGACGATATGATACTCCTGAGCATCGACTGTTTCGTGACCTTGACACTGTATTCAAAGAGGATTTCCATAATCCAACATTTCCTGTAAGTGATTGATCAGCAAATGATTCGTTTTAGTTTCTGCAGGCTTTTGGAATATGTTTTCATCTATATTTGAAGTGCTTTTGATCCCATTGCATCAATCCATTCATGGCAACATGCTCTCTTCTTCTAGTATGGAATGTAGAACTGTACCTTAGTTGTATCTTGATGTTTAGTTGTGATTAGGGTTTTGTTGTTCGCAAATGTCCTTTTCTCAACCAGGTGCAAGAACAAGTTTTTCTTTACAATTATTAATCTCATGTGCTAATCTTTAATGAGTAATATTGATATTTGTCACGTCCAAGTAGTTTTATTGCTGTAACACTTAATTCTTTTTTACTAATTTTTTGTTTTGATAATTTTTTTCACTATCTAACTTTTTTAATTGTTGTATTATAAGGCTGGGACCAAAGCACCAAGACAACCATGGCATGACTTGCACTGCAGAATTGATGGGCCGGCGGTGTACGATGTTCTTATAAACTTTGAACAGCGATGGAGAAAAGCAACAAAGTGGACCGAGTTTGGACTGCGTTTCAAAAGGGTATCCCATTGGCATGATGATGCACTGTTAAAGATAGAAAGGATTTCATGGATATTAAGTCCTCCCTTTACTGTAAAGGACGGTATGACTGTAGTTCCACCAGATGACCCTATAGTACATGTTTCCAATGAAGAAGATCCTGAAAACTGGCATGTCCAGGTCTGGCTTCTTTTTAATATTGTTACTAATATATATATATTTTTTTTTTGGGAAAACAGTAAGCGGAAATGCTTACTTTATTTGCTATTTCTTTTCCCTTTGCAGATTTTTCGCTCTATTGATAGCGGGTCATTAAAAGGATTTCCTAAAAGTGTTCATCAATGTCAGGCTCAGGTTTGTACAATGAGTTTGTGATTTTTTTCTCCTTCTGCTTCTGATATAAGCTAAAGTTGATGACATCTCCAGCTTGTGTAATGTTAATTAACATTTAAATCCTAGGGTATCTTATTTCTCAATGAAGCTTTTCTATTGCAGAACCTCATCACAGCTAAAGATCAGGTAATAGAAAGGAGCATTCAAACTGCATACATCCAGGCAATCAGATCTGCTCAGCATTACATATACATTGAAAATCAGTATTTTCTTGGATCATCATATGCATGGCCATCATATAAAAATGCAGGTTAAGATTCTAACAAACAAGTTCTATCTACTGTTGTTAGTTTATTTATTACTGCTAAATTGGCTACTATTGCCTTTTGGCATAATTTGTGCTCTTCACTTTTGTATAACATTATTATGTAGTCTGGTTTATGACTATTTTGTTATTATATCTCTGGCCTCTGGGTAAGGACAAAAATTGTGGACTGCAACTATTTGAGCTCATATAATGTGCAGGAGTTGATAATCTGATCCCAATGGAGTTGGCATTAAAGGTTGCCAGTAAAATTAGAGCTAATGAAAGATTTGCAGTGTATATTGTGCTGCCAATGTGGCCTGAGGGTGATCCAAAGTCTGAGACAATGCAAGAAATTCTCTATTGGCAGGTAATGTTCTTCCCAAACTGTAATGATCTTTGTGAAACATCTATACATTTTAAGAAACAGAAAGAATTACGTCCTCATTTTTCATTCGCCATAATGTTTATTGTGCCTCATTTCTAGGGAAAAGTTTTATGTGTGTCATCAGCATAGTGTCATAAGGTGTCATGAAATTTCTTTTGACAAAGTGGAATAATATAGCAAATTTATGTTTCTCACTTTTGCAAGGTCAAATTTTGCAGAGCCAGACAATGCAAATGATGTACAGTATAGTAGCAAATGAAATTGAATCAATGCAACTTGTAGATTCACATCCTAGAGATTACCTTAATTTCTATTGCCTTGGTAAACGGGAAGAAAATGCCCAGCAGACAGGGAGCACCAATGGTGAAGTGGTAATTGTTTTACGTAGTCTCTTTTTTGTGCTTTCTGAAGTTTGTCATTAATACTTTAATAGTATCACCTGTTTTTGTCTCTGAGGATAGATAAAATAGTTAACTGTCCATTGCAAGAATTAATAATTTCATGGTTCTTGACTTCGGTTATGACTAGAGTTCTATGTACCATTACGGTGGTTTCTTTTGTAGTTCATAATGTAATAATTGCTTTTAACATACAGAATTGTTATATCTGGAGCTTCAACTGTATATTTAATGAAGGCATGTTCAAGGTCCCAATTTCAGTCTTCCACTTGATGATTATCTTTGTTATGAAATTTTAATGAATAATTGTCTTTTAGCTTATAACCTATCCCATGGTCTGATAGTGCTCATGGTTAAGCTCCAAGTAGTAATTAGCTTGCTACATGCAACTTACAATTGGCAGGAATAATTCTCTGAACAGCGAAGAATGAGGATTCAAACCCTGGATGTTTATAACACCAGGTCGTTAGAACCACAGCTAGTCCCATTAGGCCAAAGGGCTGTTAATAGGACTTTCTATTTTTTAATGTAGGTTTTACCAGGAAATTGTCACTTTCATGTTTCTTTGTATTCTGATGGGTCTTCCTCATTTTTCTGGATATTGTTTGAATGGCCAAGGCCCAGTTATTCAATTTTCTAAAAATGGATATGCAGACATTCTATCTTTTCTAATTCCTGATTCTCTGAGTTGTAAAGGTTCATCTCTTATGAACTGTGATTTTCACTTGGTTTGTAGCTTAAATGACCTCAAGGATTTTCAAGTTTGAACTTGTTTTACCAAATGCTTTATTCTAGATATTTTGTCTTTCTTTTTTGACTTGTATGGAGACTTTGAAAGATATTCTCCGAGTAGCAGCAGAGTGCTCTTTTCTTTAAAGCTTTGCTTTGATTTGCTATTTGCAAGAAACTCTGTAAAATTTTTTCATGGTCACAATTTTCCTTTTCAGGTATCCGATTCCCAAAAATTTCAGCGGTTCATGATTTATGTCCATGCAAAGGGAATGATTGTGGATGACGAGTATGCCATTATCGGATCTGCCAATATTAACCAGAGATCCATGGCTGGTTCAAAAGACACGGAGATAGCTATGGGTGCATATCAACCCCATTACACATGGGCTGCGAAGAAAAAGCATCCACATGGGCAGGTTGGTTTTTCATTTTCCTGTGCTATAGCAAACTTTTGTTTTTTGAGTCTCTTTCGCAGTTATAATCGATGAGGTTGTCAGTATAATGATTGCGCATCTTGCAGGTATATGGACATAGAATGTCACTGTGGGCTGAGCATCTTGGCGGGGTCCAGGAATTGTTCATGGAACCTGAGAGTTTGGAATGTGTGAGGACAGTAAATAAAATTGCTGAAGACAACTGGAAGAAATTCACAGATCCCGATTTCAAAGTATTGCAGGGCCATCTTCTCAGGTATCCTCTGGAAGTCGATGCTCGTGGGAAAGTAGGTGCTTTACCTGGATTCGAGAACTTCCCAGATGTTGGGGGTAAGGTAATTGGAGCTCATTCCCTGAAAGTTCCTGATATTTTAACGACATGATTTCCTCTCCCCTTGCATTCATGTGTGTGTGTTTGTGTGTGTGTGTCTGTATAAATATATATATATATATATATATATATATATGGAGGAGTACAGTATATTGCTGGATTTTGTTCTGGCAGATACGAAGAACTGTATGTAATAGTTTGATGTTTTTGTTTGTTCAATTTCCAAGAGTAATATGTGCTTGTAACTTTGTGATGTCTTTTTATTGTACAAAGTGCAAGAAGGATGACGTAAAAATTGGTCTATTGTAGTTGTGCAAACTGTAAAGTGTTACAAGGATGTTTTTTCTCAGGACTATTTACTTTTCCTTTATTATTTCTTCCATCACATTTGAACATCAAATGACAACCTGACATCCCTGCTATGGATGTGCAAGGAAGGTGGAACCATAAAACTCTATGAAACTGAACCATGATATTCGGTTTTGGTATTTTAAGAATGGTATAAACTGCAGTCGACGGTATGTACGTATAATGTACGTTTGAGTTTAGTTTGAAAAATCAATGAACTCGTCCAATTGGTTCGATTTGAGAAATTGGTGCATGGTTCAGTTAACTGAATTGTGCACACCCACTAATTAAGGCAATTGACAATTACATATCATCCATTACCTTATCCAGCCTTTTCCTCTGCTTTGAAAATTTGCTCTATGCCAGTGCATGATTGAGATTTATCATCAGTGTCGGCATTTGGAGTTCCTCATCTGCAGAACCATGCATTATCATAACATCTTCATCATCGCAAGTCCACAGTGCAATGTTCTTATCAGAGACTCCATTGGAAACATCACTAGTAATGTTGACGCAACAAAAAATTGAACAGTTCACATACATGGCTACAATTCCTCTCCTATTAATGTGGGGATGAATTGAAAAAACCACTTGGCCGATTAATGAGTGCTGCAGAAAGAATGATAATTAGGGTTCGCATTCAGTCCGGCTAATTCGATTCTATGAAAAAATAATCGGTTAATAGTTCAGTTAAAGAAAATATATAGTTCAGTTAAAGAAAATATAACTTTCAATGATCAATTAAAGGATCAGTTAAAAATTAACTTAATTGAATTATTCAAAGTAACGAATTTTCAAAACTACGTCACTTTGATTAAGCATGATAATAGAAATATCTGTCAAAGTCAATTAATTAGGTTTTCAATTTGTTTAACTTTGGTGCAATTAATAATTAAAATTAATTTAGTTAAGCTCGATTAAATCGAAAAGAATTTCCATTAATTTAGTTCAGTTAAAAATATTAATCAAATTAGCTGAATACTCACTCTTAATACATCATGTTAAATCTTAATTTCAAAAATTTATCATAGTTGGTATATAAGTTCAAAAACTATAAGTAGTCAATTTTTTTATTTCAAAATGTATTTCATTTTAGTATACATTAGTTTGGAAAAACACTCACTTCCATGTTTAAAATAAAAAATTTTCAAGCATCTATATAATTTTTATTTCTTAAAAAATAAAAGCTATACTGAAACTAAAATACTAAGATATCTTGCTAATAAGAAAATATTTTAATTTAATTTTGATTCTCCATTAGGTATAAATGAATTCTAAATATATTTATAAATGATTTTTCATGTTTGCCGTAAATTCAAATTAAAACTTTCTTTGTTTTTATTTCTTAAAATATTGTTGGCATAATAGTTTTTTTAGAAAGCTAAAAGGATAGATAATTTTATTATAAAACTTTGAATTGTTTAATTTGAAATTCATTTAGAAATTTCACAATTTTTTATGAAATTTAATTTAATTATATTTATTTTTTTTATGAAATTTAATTTAATTATATTTAAATTTCTATAATTGAATTTATAGAATTTAAATTTTATTTATTTTTTTCGTACTAAACACAAAAGTTTGAATTTGTAAATGAATTGTAGAAAATTTTTTGGAATTTATTTATTCGATACAGGGGTGAATGTTAAAGTTTTGTAGATAAAAAAAATTATAGGTACTGAACTAAATTTCTACTTTTAATTATACTAGTCTTTTTTATAACGTGCGTTACACGTTGACTGTACTCGTTATAGTCTCATTTTTTTATATTCTTTTAACTTTTTATTTATATAATATTAAAGCATAAGTTTTATCTTGGATTAAAATAAATACAATTGGTTAATTTGTATTAAACTTTTCCGTACAAACCACTTGTAATGCTACATTTTATGCACTTAATTCTATTTTTATCTAATAAAGTGGTCTCAAAATAAAGTCCAACTCAATCCCTAGACCAAATCCTTCAATTCCTATTAAATTCTTAAAACCCTAATAAATACTTAAAAGAAAATCAAATCATCATTAAATCCCAAACTCTCTACCCTTAACCCCAAATCAATATTTATATATAGTTATAATGAAAAATAATAATAAATTATTTTTACTGCTAGGTAAAAGAAAAGAAATAGAGAGATTATCTCAATTGATAATAACAATCACTTTGGTTATTGTGACAGTATTACACAATTCTTGAAATCCAAAAAAATGACCTAAAACAGAAACATATAGTTCCAGTTTTTTTTTTCGAATTTTATAAGCATTATTTTCTTTCAAGTCAATCAAGAAAATTAAAAATGTTTAATCATAAGAGGTCATTTATTTATTGCAATAAATATATAAATCTCTTACTAAATTAAAGTGATAGTAATTAATGAATTACTTACAAAGTAATTCAGCAATATATTGTTAAAAAATAAAACTCTTTTAAGAGCTCAAACCCTTCTTCAATCGAAAAGACTATAATTTAATAAAATTTGATATTGATGAAAAAAAAAAAAAAAAAAAACTCTAATATATAAGTGGGTCTCAAAATCAATCCATAGAACGCTAAATCCGTTATTCAAATTCCTACTTAAATTCTTAAAAAACCTCTAATAATACTTAAAATAAGAAAATCAATATCATTCATTTAATCCCAACTCCTGCTACCCCTAATGAATCCCAAAAATCAATATTTATATATAGTTTATATGAAAAATTAATAAATAATTATTTTACTGATAGGTAATTTATGAAGAAATAAGAGAGATTTTAATCTCATTGAATAATAACAAATCACTTTGGTTACTTGTGAGACAGGAGTTATTTACCACAATATCTTTGATCCAAAAAAAATGACCTAAAACAGAAAACATATAGATTGCCATTTTTTCTTATTTGTCCGAAATTATTATCAAGCATTAATTTGTCTTGTCGAGAGCGAGTCAAGGAAAGATGTAAAAATATTTAAATCATAAAGGAGAACATTTTAAATTTATTAGCAAAAATAAATATAAGCGCTATAACTAAAATTACAAGTGATAGTAATTAATGAATTACTATAAAAGTAATTAGCAATATATATTGTTAAAAATAAAACTTACTTTATAAGAGCTTCAAACCCTTCTTTAGGACATTCGAGAAGAAGACACACCACGTATATATCGGTCTAACATATTTTAATAAAGATTTGATATGATGAAAAAGAGAGAAAAAAAAAACGTAGACGTCACCACGCACAGTCATTCAGAATATAAAAAAAAAAAAAAAAAAAAACTAAAGCCCAAGTCATCAAATGCAAATTATAAAGCAAGTCATGTTAGTATTCAATATTGATCGGTTAATGAATTTATTCAAATATTTTATTTCTTTATTATTCTAAGTTGTAAATTTAAAATAAATAAAAAATTTGATTAATTAATAAAAAATTAAATAAAAGAAACATTATATCCTCTTCAAAAAAACCCTCAATCTTCCCGATAATCATACAAAAAAATAATGTATTTTTTTCTTTTTTTATTTCTCTCATAAATAGATATCATATATGTTCTATTTAAAATTTTATGTTTAAAAAGACATCCAATCAAATCATATAAATATAAAGAAAAAATATTAATAAAAAAAACACATTTTTCTTTATAACTGTATATGTATAATTCTACAATATCATCTAATAAATATTTAGTACATATATATCCAATAATAATAAAAATATTACATATTTTAATAATTTTTAAATTAACATTATAAAAATGAAAAAGTTTTTATAGAATTTTTAAAGATAGTTATGTATATTCTATTGAAAAATTTCTTTTTAAAAAATACATCCAATCAACAAAAAAAAAATTATAAAAAAATACTTTTTCTTTTTTATCTTCCTCTAAATAAAAAATTTTAAATTAAATAAAAATAGAATATAATAAAAATAGAATCAAATATTTTAAATAAATTTAAAAAATAAAATATAAATAGTTTCAAATCTCTCATTATATATATTTATTAAAAAATAAATTTATAAAAAGATAAAACTTAAAATTTTAACTATCTACGTGTGTTTATTTAAAAATAATTTTAATAAATTATATTTAATCAACTAATAAAATATAATTTTCTAATGTCATGAGTAATGTTATTTTAAGATATTCAAAATTTCATTAAGAGCACTATTGAAAATTCTATTATTCATCTCTATTCCCACATTTATATACGTGTAGATTTTTAAATTAGGATAATAATATTTAAAAAAAAATTAACATCCTAATTAATCAAACATTAAAAATTAAGTTAGGATAATATATTAAAATAATAATATTAAAATAATATAGTAATAAAATTTTTAAATCAATTTATAAAAAACTTAATTGAAAAACTCAATTCATCAATAATTTAATTTCTTAATTTATCAATTATTAAAAACTCAAATTATTTAGTAAACTCAAATTATTACTATCAATTTTGTGCAATGTAGTGGAGTTGCCAATATATTATCACATAATAGATTTACATATATGAAATAATATAAAATAGTATAAATAATTTAATTGATATTTGGATAAATTGATAAATTAATTTTAAAAGACTAAAAAGTCGAGCTCTGTGAACTATCAACTTTCACCTTATAGTTGATGATTCAAAGGAAAAAAACCTTATTCGTCGAGAAATAAATTTTTTATTAATTTAATCAGATTAAACTTTCCAATACAATTTAGATTCAAACAGAAAATTAATATAATCAATTAAAATTAAATTATCTTTATTTTTAACTAATGAAATTCAAGTCCTCAAAATATTTAAAATGCTTAATTATTTATATTTATTTATTTTAAAAAAAAATAATTATTTATATTTATTTATTTTAAAAAATTATTTTTATAAATATATCTAATTAACTAATGAAATATAATATTCTAATTGACTATAATTAAAACTATTTTTATTAAGGATGATATCGAAAATTCTATTATTTTCTTTGCTCACGCGGAATAAAAATTTATTAATTATTGAAGTTACACTTTTGCATTTCATTGTGTCAAAAACAAACGAGACGGTGTCGTTTAGTTGCCATGTGAAATGTGAAATATATTCGCTCAAACACGAAACAATTCATTTTTATATAAAGACAAAAAATCTCGACCTGCAGCCTCCGTCTTGTTCAAATCCCTAATTAAGCTTTGCTTTTCCGATTCCTTCTGTTAGCGTCAAAATGGTGAGTTCTCTCTCTGTCTCTGTTATTTTTAATGGTTATTACCTGTTGCGTCTCAGTTGCGTCTCAGTATCTAAGCGACAGTGTATTTGATTATTTGGCAGGCGGATTCTCCTGGCAAAAGGTTAGAGCTCGGTCTCGGATTCAATTCTCTCTTTATTGAAGCTCAATCTTTTCTTTTCTTTTCTTTTCTTTTCTTATTATCATTGTTTTTCTCTATTGTGATTGGAAAGAAATTTAGATATCTCGTTTGCTTTGAGCATTTTTCTCGATAAATTAGGGTTTTATATTTTGGAGAATTGATTATCGACGGAATGAAATTTTTTTAGATTCTGAATTGAATGTTAATCTAACTTGCGAGAGACAGAAATTTTTGGGTTTTAGCTGTGGTTATGCCATTGAAGTTATTTTTGTTTGGTTTCATAGATCTACTGTAGATTTGAGCTGTAGGGGGGTGACTACGACTTTTGGCTGCAAATCATTCTTTTGCAATGTTGCTGTATTTATGTGCAACTTCGGTTTTAGAGGAATTGATTTTAAATTTTAAGTCTATTATCTGTTCAGAAGGTTCTGGGTGCTGAACACTTGTTCCCATTCGGATGGAGCAAACCTTTATTAGGTTTTCTTAGCTTTTAGGTTATTTTATGTCTCTTATTCTTTGGGGTTCTGGACCACCATTTTTTGTGGAGATTGAAAATATATGGGAACTCCAAATGTTGTAGAGGTGTAAAGGGTGTTTGGAATAAATGTTTATTGTGTAAATTTCAGTATTTAGAGCCCTTATCATGTTACTTTTAACTTTAAACAACAATTTATTTTATGTAGCCTTCACTACAGTGTTTTTTTTCCCTCTACGGATATATCAGGAATTCACGATCTCTTTCCCCTTGGAGAGAACAATCAAGGTCTAGGTCAAGATCCAGGTCAAGGGCAAGGTCCAGGTCCAGATCTAGATCTTTATCCCGGCCAAGGCATAGATCACGGTCCCGAAGTCGTGGAAGGTATTGTAACTTTAACATTCTATTTTTTTTGTTCGTACAAGTAGCGTTGCTTCTCTTTATTTTAGTACTTTTGTTGTATTCAACATATTTTTTTTGGTTCTGTACATGGATGGTGATGCTCCTCTTCAGATCAAGATCCAGAAGTCGTGGCAGGTTAGTTGCGAGCATAGTTTTTGTAATCATCAGTTTCTCACTCTTGTAACAGTGACTTGTAGTATTTTTGGGTTGCTACATGTGCCTTTATGGTGTTTGGTTCTGTGTTGGATTTCTCATTAACTCTCTTCACTTTGGAAATTATATCGCAGACCTGATGCCATAAATCCTGGAAACACACTGTATGTCACTGGTCTATCTACAAGGGTCACAGAAAGGGACTTAGAAGAACATTTCTCTAAGGAGGGAAAGGTTGGGTTTTCTAGTATAATATTCAAAACTATGTATGATGTGATTATTCTTCTTCAGGATTGCTATAATCAATCTTGTATCAATAATAAGTTTTTTTATTTGTTAGGTTGCTTCATGCTTTCTTGTTGTGGAGCCCCGCACACGCATTTCTCGTGGTTTTGCTTTTGTTACGATGGACAACGTTGAGGCTGCAAACCGTTGTGTTAAGCATCTCAACCAATCAGTTCTAGAGGGCAGATATATAACAGTAGAGAAGGTAAGTGATAATACCTTGGTGTTAAGCACAAGTCAGTTTTGATTGAATCTTTCTTCTTAACTTGAAGGTTTTCTGGTTATATTCAGAAGATATTGCGTCAGCTATGTTGGCAGCAATCAAAGATGATCAGTTCATCCATGTCAACTGTCAACTTAGTGAAACAGCTTGATCAATCGCCAGCTTAAACAGCTTTCAAATGTTTGTGATCAACTAAACATATCAACTATTTTGTTCAACAACTATACTACCTCAGCATTCAATTTCAACTCTCAACTAATCAACGGATATTACCAACAGCATTCAATTTCTACTCTCAACTAATCAAGGACATTACCAACAACTTTCTAATCAGGCTTATGGTATTTCATAATACCTGGCACTTAGTTAATGAACACTGGTCACCTATGCCCGGTTGTTTTCTTCATTTTCTTTGGTAGCTTGTTTACCTCCTTTCTCTTGGACATTCCCTAGTAAAGATATCACTTAATATGATTTGTGGACAAATGGACATTTGTATGTGTGCGGAGATGTTTGACCATGAATTATTTGTTCTATGCATAACTAGAATAATTGCTTGCTTTGTTCAATCCAAATATTTATCATTGTGATTTGAAGAATTAAGATGATTTATTTTCCTTTCAGTCACGGAGAAAGCGGGCAAGAACTCCAACACCTGGACACTATCTGGGACTGAAAAGTAATAGAGATTATGGTAAGTTTGGATTCTCCATGTTCCACCAGAAGAAACTTCTCTATCAGTACATAACTTAAAAGTGAGCATTCTAATTCCCTTCCCCCCTTCTGCATTTGTGCAGGTTACCGAGGCGATCGTGGGAGGTACCGTGATCGTGGCCGTGATGAGTATCGTAGGTCTCCAAGGCGCTCTCCTTATCGTGGGGGTCATGATTATTCTCCTAGGCACTCACCCTATGCTGGAAGATCAAGGAGGGATAGGTCTAGATCTCCCTACTCTCCACCTTATCATGGCTCTAGGTGAGGCTATGGTGTAATCATGTAATGCTTATGGACTTGAGCAGATGATTTTGTTTGTTTGTAAGGCTAGGTAATTACTAATTGTTTGTGTCGTGTGTTGCTACTGAACTGTGGTTTAACAGTTTATGAAACCGTGACAAACTTGCTTTGAGTGAATGGGTTATTTGTGTTTTCCTTGCATTTTTATTGTTGTTGCAAATGCTGATTCGACTGTATGATAAAAGATAGCGAATTTGTCTAGCCACTAGTATATTACTTGTTTTGAACATATTTATATTTACAGTTAATTTAGCTTTTGATGATTGCTTAGATTAAACACTTGGCTGTGTTCGGCAATAGTTTTGTCTAGATGCTCAACGCTATTTTTTTTATAATATTTGAATACATAGTGTTTGAATTAGTTTTTAGCGTTTTATGAGTATTCGGTAGCATAGCGTTTGAATTAGTTTTTAGAGGTTAAAGTAATATTTTATGAACTCGTATAAAGTTTAGCTTTTAGTACTCAAATAAATGCTACTAAAATAGATAATAATTATCAAAACAACTAATTTTGCTGAATATATCTTTAATTTCGAGGTTACTTTTTTTATAATTTTAAGTTTTGGTTAATTGCTAACAAGCCTAACTTCCAATTATCCCTTAATTTTAAGTTTTGGTTAATCGCTAACAAGCCTATCTTCCAACTATCCCTTAATTTGGAGGTTGTTTTTCTATAAAGTTTTGGCTAGTCTCTAACAAGCCTATCTTCCAACTATCCAACTGATATAAAATTGTATTGGCTGTGAATCTGCCATAGCCCTCTTCTTTCTTGAGGCATGGGACAGATGATATTTAGCTAAGCTCGCATAGACAAAGTTAAGACTGTAGTTTTTAAAAAGGAATTACAATTGACTTCCATTTATTTTGTGGAAAATTATAATTAGAAAACGTTTTTCAAATGGCTTAGTTTTTGTTATTTGATTATAATATTGAAATTTATTGCAAAATATGAATATTATACTTTATAAATTACAAAAATGTGCAAGTCGAGGATGATTTATAGTTGTTTTGACATCTAAAAAAAAATACTTTTTCTGTCTAAAAAATATAGTTTATCTTTTTTTTTTTTAGTTTGTTTTTAAATATAGTCTACATTCTCTTTTTACATTATAGTTAATTCTTAGAATGTTTGTTATATCATTATTAAATTTTATCTTCCTCGTCAATTCTTACTTATTATTTTAATATAATAATTGCTCATGTGATAATAAAAAAGTTATATGAATAAAATTGTCTTGTAATCATAATAATTACTATTTAATCTGTGTGAAAATAAAAAGTAAAATATTATTTGGGATGAATGAAGTAGTTGTTTTGACATTGGACATTAGTAATAATAGCAATAATATCAATAATTGGTGGATTAAAACACGTGGGCACTTTTCTATTAACGAAAGTTTTGTCAATGTTTAAAAATAACTTTTATTTGGAAGAAATGAAAAACTATTTGTCTTAAAAATAGTATACTTTTTTAATTAAAAAATACTAAAAATTGCGAAAAATTTTTTAAAAAAATGTTTTCCACTAATAAACGAAGCCTCAAAATAAAACAAAAATATTACTCCTATATTGATTATCAATTTTTGGTTTTGGGCTGTATTTGATAAATTGTTTGGGTTAATCCAGCCCTCACAAGTCACAAGTAGCTATATAAACGACAATCAAAATCTCCATGTCCATGTTAGAGAAGTTGCAGAGAGAAAATGTCTCTTCCTTCTCTGCTAAACCCACAAAACCCCAAAGTACTGTTCCCTCTCTATCTCTCTTCATCTTGTAAGCTCTTATCAATTCACACCTTAAAATGCCCACAAAAATTCTACTCCTTTTCACCTTCTCTTCAATCCTCATCTTTTCCTCTCCAAAACGGTGACTTTGAAGACGACAGTGACATTGGAGACTGTCTGGTCTTCGAAGAAGGCATATTTGAAGACCCATATCTAGAAACTAACTTCAACGCTTACGTTAATAACGATTTTGATTCAAGAAAACGTAATCCCAAAAGCAAGAAGAACAAAAAGAATGAAGTTGAAATTGAAACAGAGAATTTGGTTCCTGATAAATGGAGAGAAGTGCAAGCGGAAATTAACATTACAAAGAAAGAGAGGCGGAAGATTGCCCAAGAAATGGAATTCAATAGTCGGGTTGAAAAGAAGAAGAAAGGGTTACTTCCTATAAGGAAAGTTAATTTGGAGGAGTATCAGGCTTATAAAGAAGCTAAATTGGCTCAATTGAAACCACTTGTTCTTGATAATCCTTCGAATTTAATTGTAAAGGAGGAAGAAGAGAAGATTGAAATGGAAAAGAGTAGCATTGAACGAGTGGCGCCTAAGAATCCGAGATGGGCAGTTTATGGGAAAGGTTTCGATGATGTTACTGAGTTCTTTAATAGTGGGAATTATGAGCCTGGTGCAAAGAAATCTGAAGGTATTATTGCTTTCTTTTCTTTTTAATTCAACTTTTGCTGTTTTGGTTTTTAAGCTTTCAAATGAATCGTCTGTTGCCCTTCGTTGAATAAATAGGGCCTCGCAAGTTGTTCACTAAAGAAGAAAAGGTTTTGCTAAATAAGAAGATACCTGATTTAGCAGCTGCTACCTCTGTGAGTTCACTTTTGTTTTCCCCCCAATTTTTATCTTTACTTTTGTGTACTTTTGTTGTTAATATTATATGGGTAATGAATTTAATAGTTAACTATAGCTGATGCAATTTGTACTACCATTTCCTTTCTCCCTTTTTGCTATTGTTGTATATACTTTTGAAGTGTTTGCAGTTGGTCATACATTATGTGAGCTTATATTTGTTGCAAAACTAGTACTTGGTAGAACTAGCCTTCAAAGGATGTGCTTTTAAATGAGGTTAAAACTTCATTTATTCCTGATTTTAGTGAAATTCTTTGTAGAGCAAATGGTTACCGTTGCATACACTTGCGGCATCAGGAGAATTCTACCTTATGGATGCTTTGTTGAAACATAATGTTGATATCAATGCTGTGAATTTGGTACGTAGAATATCACTTGCTGATTAATGGAATTCCACCATCATTTAGTTTGTCTTTCATTATGTCATTTTAGGAAATTATTTGCACAAGAGTTTTATGTTTGCTCTTGTTTTGAGCTTTGCATGACTAAATTCTCTTCAGGATGGTTTGACTGCACTTCACAAAGCAATAATTTGCAAAAAGCAAGCAATTACCAGCTATCTTTTGAGAGAATCGGCAAATCCTTTTGTTCTAGATTCAGTAAGTAGACAAGTTTTTGCTATTTTAAAATTTTAAGTTCATGTATTATCAGTTAAAGATATGCAATTGTTTCATGTTCTGATCTGAACATTTTGAATCTGTTCTTGTATTTTGTTGTCAACTTTATCTGTGTACTAGGTACCTGACTTAAAATTTGGAAATGTACATTGTCTTATTTTATTTCATTCGTAGTTTGTTAATGAGGCTTGTTTGTTAAATATGCTGCAGAAACATGTTGCTTTATTAGTTATTATTATCATGGTGATCTAATTTTATCTATTATATTTTCTTTAATCTGGGGTACATTACCAAGTTCCTTCCCATCTTCATTGTGGATGTTTCTTTTGTTGGTTTAGCTGGTGCCTCTTTTTCTATGATATGATTTATTTAGTGTTGGCTACTGATTCACAGTAGTTATATTTGTACTCTGTCTGCATTACAGCATTGTTGTTGATGTCAGACAACATTGTTGGTTGTAAATTTTTGCAGCCCTGATATTGACATCAATATCGCTCATCTTATTTACGAGTTCAGTTTTATTAAATATTAATTTTACCTTTCTTTCTTCCTTACTGATAACAGGATGGAGCTTCCTTGATGCATCATGCTGTCCAGACAGCATCTATTCCTGCTATTAAACTTCTTCTGTTATATAATGTTGATATAAATCTTCAGGACAAAGTATGGTTGGTTCTACATTTTGCATTTTCTCTTTAGATTTTGATGTTTCATCAGTCAATAACTCAACACTCTTGTTTCGATCTTTTTAGGATGGATGGACACCATTACATGTTGCTGTTCAAGGCCAGAGAACTGATATAGTAAAGCTTTTATTAATAAAAGGAGCTGATAAGACATTAAAAAACCAGGTTAATATATACTGATTCCAGGGCAAGGGGCTTGTTTTCAATGGAATTTTTTTTACTGTCTCTGTTTTATAACTTGGCTCTGATGCTTAAGTTCTAGTTTTTTTGTGGTTTCAGTCTTCATATATTTTAAAATCAGCCATTGCCAGTTGCCCAATACTCAGATTGTAGTTCTCCCATAAAATAGGCATTCAAGTTTTCAAAACTTGGCCTTCATGGTTTTAAATGACGACCATCCACAATTTTTCAGCCATTTTGCAATGGAATTTTAGCTCATCTTTGCATTATTTTCAGTTTCCCTATGGATGATTAGCCAGTCACCCAGATACCATAAACGGGACTATTTCTCATGTTTCCTCCAATTATTAACTAACTTAATCTTCCGCATACTTTTATCAATTCTATTTTCTAATTTATATTTTATTGAATTTTCGTTTTTTGTTGATTTATGTTATTTTGCAAATGGCTTGGAGATTTATGGTAGTGGCAACCAATTTGGAACGGTTCAATTCTATTTAGACTGATTGTACAGCATTTTGCTTTTCTGTTACTTTCTCTGATTCTGTGTTCTGTTATTTAAACACCCTGCCCAATTTGCTCTGCATGTCTTTTGAACACCTCCCTGATTCACTCCAACACCCGGAAAAGGGGAAGGGGGGGGGGAATGGCTTGAATTTATGGTTTATGGCAACATTGGAACGGTTCAATTCTATTGACTGATTGTACAGCATTTTGTGCTCTGTTACTTTCTATTCTGTTTGTTCTGTTATTAACACCGCTGCCCAATTTGCTGCTTGCAGTCTTTCTGAACCACCTCCCTGATTCCTCCAACACCCGGAAAGGGGAAGGGGGGGGGGGGGGGTTGATAGCAAGTACAGGGCTGTGTGGTGAGCTGAACTTGATCCCCTCCAGTCTCAAGCCATCGAAACCTATGAAGAGGCTAAAAGATCATTATGAAATTAGTTGAATTGATTTAGTTGAATGTTTCTTGATTATCATACAAACATGCTGTGGAAGCAGAAATTTGTAGTGCTTTTGATGCTTTATATGATAGAAGGGCAATTTTTTGTTGCTCATAATTAAGCATGACATTTTTTTGTTTCTAAATTGATGCACCTGTAATGTATGTGATGAATGATTGATTTTAATTATATTAATTATACGTTGCAAGTTACTAATGCATGACAAATCTTTTTTATTTTGTATTTTTTTTGGGTCCTAGGATGGTTTAACCCCGCTCGATCTTTGCCTCTACTCGGGGAGACGCACAAGGACTTATGAACTTATCAAGCTGCTGAAGCAATTCCCTAAGAAACCAACTGCTTTGCCAGCGGTGAGATAGATTTTGCCTTGATCTAGATTTGGAGGAGCATCTGCCCAAATGAAGTTGGTGAAAGTTGTAAGTTCAGTCATGCCATAGGCAGGTTGATGTTAAAGAAAGCAAAGCATAGTGAGAAAGGAGGAGACTGCTTTTCAAACCTGCTTGTTATTGTAAAATGGGTAGGTTTTAGGATGTAATTTTGTAATTATGATATGTGAACATTTAGTTAATGGTCAAATATTATTTCCATTTTTGGCTTGATTAACCGAAATTTGTAAGGAAAATTGATGCGGATAGTAACTATGATATAATTTATGATGGTCTAAATTGATTTTTTCGTGTTTTGTAAAAGATAACAGGAGTGAGAGGTCTCGCTTCAAATTCTTTTCATTATAAAAGTTAAATCTTCACCGAAAGTTTCAATTTAAATTTCCTCTTATCACAAAAGCTATTATTAATATTATGTAACTCATGACATTTTTTCGATTTATTTTACTTTTTATGAATGAGAAACCATATATTGCAAATGGAGATAATCCATTTTGATAGATTAAATGATACATCTTGAGGACCAAACAAACACAAATTTTTTTTTTTTTTTTTGAAGTTAAAATGGGAAATATTTTATTATGAAATCAAGAAATCAAGTAGAAAAGGAGGTGGTATAGAATCCCAAACTCCCGGGCCAGCTTCAGAATGTGTTCCAAACAAACACAAATTAAACATCTAACTTATCCAGTTAAACATAATCATGAAATCAAACACTTTCGTTTCAAAATCAAACTACATGCACTAAAATTGAGATTGATGATAAAATATAATGTAACATAATCAAATCTATTTTTAATATAATTACTATTTTCATCCATCAATCCTACGAATATACTCCCTAATTTAAAATTATTTTTATTTCAAATAATTTAAAGCATTTTGCAGCCAACTGTGATTAACCAGAAAAGGAAGAATCTATGCTTATTACCAGACTATTGTTAATCAAAATATTAATTAATTGTATTAAAAAGATAAAAAAACTTATCCGACACGTCAAATCAGTCAATTAATTACTGAATATATTGAGACAAAACACAAAGAACATACCCATAGGATATTTCACTAATCCAGCAATATGAACAAATTTGGATAAAGTAAGAATATTTTATATTTTATATTATCAACCAATTAATTTCTCAATCCGATACAAGTTAAGCATATCTCCTTGGTAATCAACCATAATCAAGAAACCCAATATCACTATATTAGTATTTAATTTAATTTAATCCCTTTATTAATATTTATTTATAAAAAACCAAAATTGGAAATACAGAAATGGTTTTAGCCTCTCTCATTAACACATCAATTTTTTTTTTTTTTTTTTTTTTTTTTTTATTTAATCCCTTGTATTAATCATTTATTTATGAAAAAACCAAATTGAAATACAGAAGATGGTTTTAGCCTCTCTCATTAACACATCAAGCTCAATTTTTTTTTTTTTGTATTCTTTTTTTTTGTTTTTTTGCCATTTATTAGAAGTCATTCAATTGTTTTTTTTTTTTTTTTTTTTTTGTTTTTGCCATTATTAAGTCATCAATTGACAATACAATTTGTCTTAAATTCAATTACTTCTCTCCCTGTTTCTGTTCTGTTTCTTTGTAGCTCAAGCTTAGGTGACCCATTTGCTTTAGTACCGCTTATTTCTTTCCTTTTGTTGTTTTAATCCTTAAAGACGAAATCACGATGCTCGGAGCTCAATTCCATGTCCGTTCAGTGACTGGTTTCTGGGTTTTAAGAGATCAGATGAATGCCATTGGTGGTGGGGTTGGTGGTGGTAATGGTGGTGGTTTGATTCAGAATCCAAGTGGGTACTTGTCAGTTCAATTTGGTTTCAAACGAAGCTTAAGGTTACATTGTCGCGGCAGCGGTTGTAGTCGTAAATCAATCCTTATTTCTTGTAAATCATCTCGTGGAAGCTCCTCCGATGGTGACCGATCCACCAATGCCTTTGATGCCAACGATCATGACTTTCTCCAAGCTTCCCTTCTCATTTCAGGTCTCTCTCTTAGTCTATTGTGTTCTCTATATATGTAACTTTATTTAATATATCAATGGGTGAGTTTCAGATTAATTAAATTATGCAAAGGAGGAGAATTTTAAGTTTATGAATGTTTCTTGCTATTTAAAAAATTAATTGCAAGAATTAAATTAACCCATTCTAGTGGAATGCAATGAAGAATCTAAAATATCTTATAGTTTAATCTTGTATTAATTTAGATATGAAACACTTGAATGGATCTTACGCTTTTTTTTTTTTTTTTTTTTTTAGATATGAAACAACGTTGAATGGATCTTAACGCTTTTTCTTTTTTTTTTTTTTTGCCTCCTTAGGGGAACGGTTTGGTATATTTTTTTTTTTTTTTTTTTTGCTCCTCACTTTATATTGTTTCAACTTGTGCAGAAACTCTCTTGCATTATCGTATGCGTAGGCAAGGATTTCAAGAAGATATGAGATGGCAGTTTCCTGGTAAATGGAACCCGTTCAAGGAATCAAGACCTGATCTGAGTTTTAGAGGACATGAGTTTCTTCGTCGCTTTCAAAGCCCAACTATGTTTCTTAAAGTTTCTTGTGATGGAGACTTCTTGCTACCTATTATTGTTGGTATGGTAATTAGTACCTGCACCATTTCTCTGTTGTCAAATCTGCAAGTAACTAACTTTAATTGGATTTTAATGCAGGAGAATTCGCCATTGAGAAACTTATAGATACCTTCAAGGGAGGAGATGATAATGGGGTAATTTATAATGGTTGTCATTAGTTTTGTTGTTTGTTTATTTATCATGACATCAAGACGTGTTGTTTTGCTGCAGGAATGTCCGGACCAGTTTCAGCTTCTGAGAAATTTGGTTCAAAAACTTGGCTATGAAGTATGGAACTATATTTTATTATTCATATAGGATATGTTTAGGGCTTATATTGTTGGTTCCTTTCTCTATTATTGCTACTCAGTCCCAGCTAGTAGTTGTTACCTTATAGAAAAAGAAAAAAAAAAGAATGAACTTTGAAAGTATTACTTTCAAAGATTTACTTTGCTGCGGAGAATTAAATGCAGTTTATTACATTCTTAAATGCAGTGAATTATGAACTCTAAAGTGCATCAGTTTTATAAAGTAATTATTTCTATTCATTTCAGGTTAAAATGGTGAGAATTACAGAGAGAGTGGTTAATACTTATTTTGCAAGAGTATATTTTAGTAAGGTGATTCTAAAAGTGTGGACTATATGCTTTAATTATCTTTGTACAACAAATTTATAAAATTCTTAGTCATGTAACATGGAACTTCTAAAATCTGCAGCCAGGGGAAGATGAAATTCTAAGTGTGGATGCTCGGCCCTCTGATGCCATAAATGTCGCGAACAGATGCCAGGTATTTGTTTACATGCCTTGGCCACGCAACTTCTATTAATTTTTTTTTTTTTTTTTTTTTCTTTTTGGCGAAATTTCTAAGTTGTGGATGCTCGGACCCCCTCTGATGCCATAAATTGTGTCGCGCGAATCAGATTGCCAGGTAATTTGTTTTACATGGGCCTTGGCCAGCGCAACTTCTATTAAATTTTTTTTTTTTTTTTTTTTTCCCTTTGGCCTTGGAGGGCCTCTGGTGCCCCACGCTATGTAGTCCCCTCCTTTGGATATCTCACTCCACCAAGAATTCAGCAGAAATAACAAACCTCCTTATGCCATATTTTTTTTTTTTTTTTTTTTCCTTTTTGGCTTGGAGGCCTCTGGTGCCACGCTATGTAGTCTCCTTGGAATCTCACTCCACCAAGATCAACAGAATAACAAACCTCCTTATCCATAAGGAAGTTGTTGGTTTCTGTACTTTGCCATTGAGCACTAAAACTACTTAGCTTGACGAACATAACTTACTGTGGCAAGAGCTAGGTTTCAGCTTTTTGTAAAAATTAAATGAATATATGCTTTGTTATGTTGCCTGTTAACATGTATACTTTATTATATTTGCAAAGGCCATATATTTAATTGCTTTGCAAAGATGAATCAACAAAATTTAGCGTCCTTTTTGGATAATTCATAGCTTTAGTGGCACTCATTTATTATTAGTTGAATTATAATCATAAGTGCACTGGTCAGATAGTTATTCTTTCCTCGGAAATTTCTGGAAACCTGGCACCTCCCGCTTGAGCATTCTCTTTCTCCACCAATTGTCTCTCATGTATCTGATTTTCTAGACCTATTATCATGTGTCAGTTTGAATGTTAATATTTCTTAAATGGTGTTGATTTGGTTGTAAATTTGTCCTAAACAGGCTCCAATTCATGTAAATAAACAAATTGTCTTCAAAGATGCTATCAGAATTAGTTATGGTGGAAGGGTGCGTGGTAGGAAGCCTAATTATGATGTATCCCTTGACAGGTATTAAAATTGCTTTATGTTTTGAGGTCCTAATATTAGTGTCATCTGCTTTTCTTCTGTTAAGCATGGGTTATATTCTCTCCAGTCCTGCTGATGGTCCAGATTCACTGTCTGAGGAGCTTCATCTTTTGAGAAATATGAATTTAGCTGTTGAAGAGGAAAGATACAATGATGCAGGTACTTCAGAAGAGCACTGGTTTTTATTATCACATTAGTACTTATTTGATCATGTAAATATATACATATCTCTGCTTCACTTTTGTCACATAGTGAATGCTGCTGTTTCTCGGAATGATTTTAAACTGATTATTTTGTAGCCATGTGGAGAAACAAACTGATGGAGTTACGCCAGTCAAGACATGACCATAGTTTTTAGGTTTGTCAACTTTTCAATGTGTTGTTCATAGTATGAACATATAGCTCCTGCCTTTGTGTATTTACCTCTCTCAAAACTTGATTTATTTTGGGGTCCCACTTCCCAGCATGTGGTTTCTGGATGAGTTCATGCGAATCACGGCTGTCTTTTTGTGTCCAGTTCATATGTAATTTCCAATAAAACGTTGACACAAGCATTTCCATTGGCTAGAGGAAAAAGACTGTCTGAAGTACTCATGCATAGCTGAACAAACTTATAACAGTGGTATGTACAACTAACACCTTGCTTCAACAAATGAGATGCCCAATATGCAAGTGAAGATCTAGCATAATTGTTCAGAATCTCAAAGATGATCCGATCTTTTGTTAATGTGGATATTGTTGCTTTACTTACAATGTAATTATTAGTAAATGATATATGTAAAAATATAGAAATGATGCTCATCAAGAAAAGTTTATTCAAGTTCCCTGTTAATTCTAGTGATACAAACACTTTGTTCAGAATTCTTTCTGTGATGAAGGATGTGAAGACCTGCAAACTCTCCCATTAGGTTTCTTTTCTTACATGCCAAATGGAAAATGATGGGAGTTACCACTCACTTCATATGCTGATGGTTGCTGGTGCTAACTGACATTCTTCATTTGTTTGTGGAAAAGAGACAGTAGCCTCTATTGTTGGCAAAGTTGTGAATTGTTGTTTAGCTGAAGGCTCCATCATAATGGCCTCGAATGTTTTGTCAAGCTTTTGTATTTAGCATTATTAACCTACAATTATAATGTAAAATTTTTGTTAATGTAACTGAATATGCTTCTGTAGAATTTGGACAGTGAAATTAAATACTGAAAGTCTTGTTTCGAAGAATTTATTTAGTTATCCATATTCATCTGAGTCTCTTTTTTTGTTAATATAGCTTGTTGAGTATTGTTTGTTCATAGCTTATAGAACATTATTCAGTTCTATTTCATCTACTCTGCTTTTCAGGTAAATCATATCATATGTGGTTAATATGGATTAGGATACTCTCATGTTTGAGGTAATCCTGACAATTGATTTGAAGATACAGAGTCAGAATTACTTTAGTAGTTGTGAATGACAGTTCTTTCCTTAAAGATTGTGCTTCACATAAAACACCCTCATCCTCGATAAGACTACTTCTGAAATTGTGAAGTCGTACAGGATGATACACTGTGAATGATTATTCACTTAAGAATTTCTCTTTCTGGAAATTTTCTTACAGCTTTTTTCTCTTCCCACATGAAAATTGACATTTTGAATGCAGGCAGGTGCAACAGTCTGATAAAAACTGAACAAAAGCTTCTGTAATGAGTATTACCATATTCCTTAAGACTTCATAGCTTATTAGATGCTCGTAACAGATTTGAGTGCAGTCAGAGAGTATCAAAGCAGCCATTGGCAAAAAGCAGGTAGTCTCCGAAGTCGTGGATGACGACGAACTTTTGGCATTATCTCTCCATCACCCCAAAGTGCATAGGCTTCTTCGCCGTGTACAGCATCATCGCCTATTTCCAGGTCATCTTCTTCCATCCTAAGATTAACTATGCGGCTTATCAGAATACAAATTAAGCTTGTGACAACTGCATTCCAAGCAGTAATAAAAGCTGCTCCTTCAACCTGGGAAACCATTTGCTTAAAGCCATTTTTGAGTCTTCCATCAGTGAAGCTATACATTAACCCCGTTCCATATGTGGACTTCGGATACATTAGCCGTAGAAGGGCAGGTTTAGCAAAGATGCCGGACAGAATGCCTCCGAGAAGGCCAGCCACTGCGTGCGTGTGAAAGACGGCTAATGTATCATCGACACTTTGGAATAATGCTGATCTTCTGTGCAATACCATCATGGTGTACCATGTTACTGAACCAGACATTGCTCCCATCAACAATGCTGCCCATGGTTCTACTACTCCTGAACATGTAAAATATAAACGTCATTGAACACTATAAAATAAATAAAATAATAGAGGTAATGTGTAAAAACGCTAACCATCACATGAAAAGTTGTCGCAGTGGGCCACAGGCTAAATAAATAAATAAAAAATGAGAGAAAGGCTAACCTGCACCAGGGGTGATGCAGACAAGGCCAGTGATCATCCCTTGGACAGCACCAATGACAGAGCTTTTCTTGTAAATGATCATGTCAAAGGAAACCCATACCAAAAGACTTGTGGCAGTGCAAATATGTGTATTTAAAATTGCCAATGATGTAATAAGACCAGCAGCAAATGGAGATCCACCATTGAACCCCGTCCATCCCAACCACAGAAACCCTGCTCCTCCCAACATGTGAATTATGTTGTTTGGTGGGAAGTGCTGCCTATCATGTGAATGCCTGGGTCCTACCTAATTAAGTAGATTATCATAATCAATCACATACATGATTATCACTACATAATCATTCCAAATAAATAAATAAAACTCCTGAAAAAGCACTTGGTTGCAAAAAAAAAAACTAATAGGAACAAAATGCACAGAAAGACATAGTCTAATAATAAGTGCATATCCATCCCGATAATAGATTTTGATTCGAATTTTCCTGTCCAATGCTAAAAAAAAAAAACTAGTAGAAACAAAATTAAGTCATGTGGGTTATTGTTGGACTATAATCAATTTGAAAAAAAAAAAAGATACATAAAAAGAAAAAATAAAGGATGAGCAAAGTACATGTCAAAATTACCCAATAAGCAGCAGTGAAACCAGCCACACCAGAAGATAAATGAATAACATAGCCACCTGCATAATCAATTATATGGTCTTCAAGAAACCCTCCTCCCCAAATACTAAAAGCCCCAACTGTATAACTAAGTGTTAGCCATAAAGGAACAAAAAGCATCCAAGCATAAATATTCATTCTCCCAAGCAAAGACCCAGCTAATAAAATCACTGTAATAGCAGCAAAAGCAAACTGATAGAACACATAGTCAGCCATAGGAACCTGACCAGATCTTGATTGGCCCAAAAGGTACCTTTCAGAAAGGGCTGATTTGGGCTTTCCTAGTAATGGGATCATTTTGTCACCAAATGACATTTGATGGGCCCATAAGACCCAACAAACAAGAACTGCTGAAAATGCATATAAGGCCATAAAAGCAGAGTTCACAGCCCATTTCTTCTTTACCATGCTTCCATATAGTATTACAAGACCAGGAACACTTTGTAGACAAACCATAGTTGTTGCTGTAAGTTGCCATCCGTTGTCTGCTTTGCTGTGCCATTCTGGTGATGCCTCATCTAGTTCTAGCCCTGATGGCAAGGAAGTGTTTTCTTGAAAACTATAACTCATAGAGAGAAATAAAGAAAGCAATTCTTGGACAAAGAAAGATAATAACTTGGTTTCTTGAAATTATTGTCTCGGCAAGCAAAGACCCTAAGCTAATAATCACTGTAATAGCAGCAAACCACGCAAACTGAATAGAACACATAGTCCAGCCATAGGAAACCCTGACCGAGAATTTGATTGGCCAAAAGGTACCATTTCCAGTAAAGGGCTTGATTCCTGGGCCCTTTCCTAGTAATGGGATCATTTTTTGTCACCAAATGACATTTTGATGGGCCCATAAGACCCACAAAACAAGGAACTGCTGAAATGCATATAAGGCCTAATAAAAGCAGAGTTTCACAGCCCAATTTCTTTCTTCTTTTAAACCATGCTTTCCATTATGTTATTACAAGACCAGGTAAACACTCTTGTAGAACAACTCATAGTGTTGTTGCTTGTAGTTGCCATCCGTTTTTGGGTCTGCCCTTTTGCTGTGCCATTCCTGGTTAATTGCCTCATAAGCTAGTTTCTAGCCTGATGGCAAGGAAAGTGTTTTCCTTGAAAACTATAAAAACTCCTAATAGAGAGAAAATAAAAGAAAAGCAATCTTCTTGGACAAAAGAAAGATAATAACTTGGTTTGCTTGAAAAATTATTGAGTATAAAAAGGGAATGTTAATGGTTTTTGCTTGAAAGAGGAGAATAAAGGGAGGAAATGAAATCTTTGACAGAAGAAATATAGTGCTTTGGTTTCTTGAAATTATTGAAGGGTAACATAAAGAATGCAATGATTTCTTGGGAAGAGAGATTATAAAGAAAGAAAGGGAAATGGAATTTTTCTTGGAACCAAAGGCAGATAATAACGGGGCTTTATTGAAATTAATTGAATTAATAAAAAAATGTAATGTTCTTGGAGTTTTTGTATTTGACAGAATTGGGAAACCTTTGGAAAGTAATCCTTCGCTACAGTTGTAATTATCATAATAACTTGGTTTCTTGAAATTATTGAATAATAAAAAAAATGTAATGTTCTTGGAGTTTTGTATTGACAGATGGAACTTTGAAGTAATCTCCACATTGTAATTATCATTTAGAAGGCCGATACTCAAACATTCGTAGTTGTGTCCAAATAGATTCGCGTCTAATAGATTCATTCCTAGTTGTAGATTCCTTTTTAGTTTTTTCCGATTAAATTAAGAAGAGTTCTTAGTAATTTGTAGAGATTTTTTCTAGAATTATCTCGGTTTGACATAATAATTACACGAATGGCAAACTTATTACTACTATTTTTTTCCTTCTAAGAGCTAATCAAGTTTGGTTAGCTTTCTCAATTTTGTGAAGAGTGGGAGCTATTAGGTTTGAGTTATCTCGGTCATAAAGGAGGACTACCCTTGTTGTGTGGACCACAGTATAACCTCTTTATGAATTTTTTTTTTTTAAATCTTGCTTCCAGGAGGTGTTGTGATTGCAACCTAAAATATGAAATTCTAATACATACATAAAATGGAAAAAAGCTTTAATATGTAATGTTTCCTTTGATTCTTGGGCTTGTGTGAGACTGGCCTAGTATCAAAGTAAGAGGCCTCCTATTGGGTTCCTGACTTGGCAGCCTCCTATTGGGTTCCTGACTTGGCACCATGTGTGGAAAATTATTATTTCGTTGTCAGAGTTTTGCTATAATTATCTAAGTAGTTGTTATTGTTTATATAAATATTCAGAGATTACTTGAATAATCATAGTAAGTCTCAATGACGAAATAATAAATTTTCCTATATGTACTATCATAATGTGTTTGAAATTTTGGCAATTCAAACGTGTGTTGCTGTATTAAAATAAAATTTTTATTTTAAATGTTTAGAGTAAATCTATTTATCAAGAAATTTGTATGTTTAAATTATAATATAATTCAGTTTAAGTATATAATTTTATTGTTTTGTAATTTAGAATTAATTAGCTTTAATAGTTTGTATCATTTTTAAGTTTATAATTATCTAAGCTCTCCGGAAGGAAAGCTAAGCAGTTTGTTGAAATCAGTCATGTGTTCTCTTCTGACTGTATTCGGAGCTCCCTAGGAAGTAATTCAAAAGATTGAATATGTTCAAAGAAACTTTTCTAAGACATATATAAATGTCGGAATAAGAAAATAGGGAAAAATTATAATATAATTCAGTTTAAGTATATAATTTTATTGTTTTGTAATTTAGAATTAATTAGCTTTAATAGTTTGTATCATTTTTAAGTTTATAATTATCTAAGCTCTCCGGAAGGAAAGCTAAGCAGTTTGTTGAAATCAGTCATGTGTTCTCTTCTGACTGTATTCGGAGCTCCCTAGGAAGTAATTCAAAAGATTGAATATGTTCAAAGAAACTTTTCTAAGACATATATAAATGTCGGAATAAGAAAATAGGGAATAATCAGATTTTCTAAAATGTGATTAGTGAATTTTTATATAGCTTATAATATACATACTCATGACCAATTAAATTTTTCTAATTTAAAAAATATAAATAATATTTGATTTATTTTAGAAGATCATATTAACGTGGTTAGTTAGTTTTATAATTTAAAAAAATCAAATTAATATAAATAAATAGTGATCAAAGCACAGAGAATATTATAATTTGATCTATAGAATCAGAATGGAGAAAGAATTGGTGGAAAATTTTCACCATGCAAAGAAAGCTGCAGAGTCAGCTAATGAAGAAAGATGAATGGAAGCATCATCTCGCCTCAATGTTGATATGTTAAATCCACCAATGTCTCCAAGGCCATTCGTAATTCTTTAGCAACTCGTAATTCTAGCAAGAAAATTCAGATTCTTGCTCGTCAAGTCATTTTCACATGGAGGAAAACAATATTAGCTCGTAACCAAGCATAACTCAAGAAACCTGCAGGTGGTGATCTTCAGAAGAAAATCCTTACAGTTGTTGATTCTGTAAAAAGAAGCAGAATACGTCAACAAGTTTCTGAAGCTCCATGTTTGGTTTTTAATGAATCTCATGGTGATATAGTAATAAATGATCCTGTAGAAATAGCAGTTGCTGTTGAGTCTGCACTGTTTGCTGAATGGGGATCGACCTCGAACAATAGTAAATGTGGATCTTTTTTGTTCAATATTAAGGATCCTAAAAACCCAGATTTTCGCAGAAAGATTCTGACAGGAGTTATAAAGCCTGAGGGAGTGGCTAAACTGAGTGTACTAGATATGGCAAGTGATGAAGGAAACTGGAGAATGAGAAGATTGCTGAAAGATCTGCAAGGAAAAGATTTATCGAAAGAAAAGAAGAAGATGAGAAAGGAACAACAAAGGAGTTCAATTGTGGAAGGTGTGGAAAACGTGAGAATACTTACTATCAGCTGCAGACAAGAAGTGCTGATGAACCTATGTTACATGCAAGAATTGTGATAATCGTTGGAAATATTTGTTAGTTATTGATTGAGGAATTACTTCATTTGTAGACTGACAGCCATTTACTGCAGTTTCTTTGCTGGTTTTTGTGTTCTGTTAACTAATCCAAATTTGTGCCTGACAAACCTATAAAAGGAGCAAAATGTTTCTTCCCAAGTGTTTAATTAAAGGGACTCCACAAAAGTCGATGTCTGATAATTTCAAGCTTTTTTTTTTTAATTGTAAAATATTTTCTAAAATTATTAGAAAATTAAAAAAATGAAAACTCGATGTAGCTACATTTAATAGTCTCTTAATTCACAATTAAGGAGTTTTTTTCTTATTTACAAATTTCTGAATTGCATAAAACATTGATTTAATATGTTACATAAAAGTTGGTTTGGAACTCCACTTTACCACTAAATCACAAAGTAAATATTTTCGATTGGTGCCTATAAAAAAAAAAAAGAAAAAAAAAGAAAAAGGGAATTGATATTGGAGTTGTCTTAAAATAAAAGAATTTAAGAATTCACTTATCTTATTTTTTAAATTAAAAAATTATAATATAAAGTGAAAAAAGTGAGATAACAATTGGTCATTTGTTTTGGTTAATTTACAGGCAGATTTAAAAAAAAAAAAGAAAAAAAAAGAAAAAGGGAATTGATATTGGAGTTGTCTTAAAATAAAAGAATTTAAGAATTCACTTATTTTTTATTAAAAAATTATAATATAAAGTGAAAAAAGTGAGATAACAATGTCATTGTTTTGGTTAATTTACAGCAGAATTTTCAAAGGAGCATATGATTTTTGGGTTTTTTAGACCCATAATAAATGATTCCCTGCGGAAACTCTCGTAGAATTTATTATAATTTAATAGCAGTTCCTGTACTTTGCGGCTTGTATTAATTACACAGTACCCTAAATTTTGCAGATTATATTAATTATATCCTATTTTGACCTTATTCTGAATACTTCAATTTTAAAATTTTGTTTATTACTGTACTCTAATTTAAAATCAATGTCCCAAAAATTAATAAATAATATAGATATAGGCCTCACACGCTGACCCAAGGGTTAAACTAAACTAATCTAACCCCCTAACTCACACACCAAAACGCACCGTTTGGAATTAAAAAAATACAAAAATGCTAAACAAAAAAAACTCACGATTGCAACCATTGTCCCCAAAATCAGTTAGCAAAATCGGGTGTTTGGTTTCTGAAGAATTTTTGGTGGATTTAGTTGGGTTCTTGTCGCACGAAAATGGGTTTTTGGTAAGAGAGAAGTTTAGTAGAGTCAATGATTTAGGTAGGACTAATAGCAGATTCAACTTCAATGTGAAAGCTTTGAACTTTGAAGAACTCAAGAAAGATAAGATGGATCTTTTTTTCGTTTGATTTTGGATTGGAGGTAATTGAGAGACGTGATCAGCCATTGAAGCTTGTTTGCTGGTCACTGTTCTTGAAATATTCCTCAGCATAAAGTAATTCTCACCACCTCAAAGTCATTGCCCAAGAGAAAAAGATAATTAGGTTTAAAAGAGAAGAAATTAAAACCACTCCATTTCAAACAACATTGGTTCAAATAATTATTTTGATGGGTGTAGGAAATGACCATGGTTTCAGAGCTGTCGGTTTCCGTTTCAAAATCTCTAGTTCTAATTATAAGAAAGTTAAAACTGAAACCGAACTACTTTTATTATAAGAAAGTTGAAACTGAAACCGAACTACTTTTAGGCAATTTCTAATAAGGTTTTGAAACTGTAAATTCCGGTTTTATTCTGATTTAAAATTGAAATTAGATAATTTATTTCAAATTTAAAATTTTTTTATTTTAACTTGAATAAATAATAATAAATATTACTATTGAAAAACACTAAACCAATTTAATACAATTTCTTAAAATTTATTTTAAAAAATTATAATAAAATAAAAAAACAAGTTGGAAGTTTTTTTTTTTTTTTAAAAAATATTCTTTTCATGGTTTTAAATCGAAACTCCTGGGCTTAAATTAAAATTGTCAGCGAAACCGAACTAAGTGTAAAATTTTGGTTACGGTTTAAAATTAAAAACCATTGATCATAATTTAGTGTCAGTTTTGATCAATTTGATTTTAATTCAATTTCGGTTTGAAACGAAAAGCAGAACTTGTTAAATATAGTAGTTTTATATTTCATTTTCTGATATTAGTTGGATGAAATAAAAAAAGAGAAAGTAATAGCTTCATACTCCAGTATCTATCATGTTTATGTGTAGACAATGTTAGAGTTAGGCCACTCACAGAAAAGGGAAGTCTTTCAGTAGTCAAAAATATCAATCAATTGATGTTGAGAGCCTTAGACGCAACAAATCATATGTACTTGTTTTACCCCTTCAAATACTTATATGTGGAAGGGAAACTTCAAACCAGTCTTAGAGAAAATGGGATACTCGATCATAAAGTAACCTGCAAGAAGATGCAACGAAAGTGCATAAGAAAAGATATATATATATATATATATATATGGTTAAAGCATAGGCTCACCTCGAGTATTGATAAATGTTTTTATCTCATCTAGATGGAAATGGATTATCTGGATCTAATTGTTCATGTTAATCGGGCACAATGGATTAGAGCAGGTCCTTCAGTTTTGCTGCGTGTTGCTGACTTGTTGCATCTTCACTCTTCTTCCATTCATCACATATATCGTGACGGAAATCAAGCCGCACATCTTTTGACCACTCATCAAAGGCTCCACCATACTTCTTTTTCTTTTACCTCTTTTAATTTTTTGTCTCATTTGATTAAAGGTGTTGTATTATTGGAGGCTATGGGATTACACATTTGAGATATAAATAAAAGGATCATTTTCTTCCAATATATAATTAAAGCAAATATAGAGATACAACAACCGATATCATATTTCAAATTCCGACTTTAGAAATAAAATTTATGTAAAAATGCAATTCAAAATCGCGAATCTTACTATCTATTATCAAATTGCTTTATCAGACAAGATATTGCTTTCTTAAAAATGGTTATAATAATAATATATGACTATTAAATATATTCGTAATAATAAGTTTATAGTATAAAAGAATTTTAGTTATTAGAAATTAATAATTAATTACTTTATTCCAACTTTATTTTATCTAAATACCTCCGTTAAACTTTATCTCAATTAAATAAGTAGTAATTAAATAGTGATTTAGTCAATTATCTTTTAGATAGATATATAGATTGTTAGGATTGATGAAATTTAAATATTTAATGGATTTGTTAGATTTCTTTGTTTGGTTGAAAAAAAAAAGAGTATAATTAGTGAAATTGATAAATTAATTTCACCATTTTAAAAATAGAAAAAAATTGGTATATTCATTTTAAAAAATAAAAAACATATACTATGATATGAGATAATGTATTAAAATAATTATGTTCATTATATATTTAATAATAGCAACCACTATTATGATTTTATTAAATAATTACTATTCATCAATTAACCAAACTAGTCCTAAAATTACTACAATGACTATGAAATTGAAAATATAATTTTCGCAATTATTTACAAGCTTATGTCTAACTTTGTGAGAAATATAATTCATTAATAATAATAACAAACATAACATATACTCGTAGAGATCATACATAAAATTTTAGTATGGTAGGTAATAAAGTTTGTTAATCTTTCAATAAACCAAAATAAATATTTATTTTCTTTTAAATAATAAAACTAAATACAAAGATAATTTCGATGAAAGATATAAATCTCCATAATACCCACTACTATTCCTTTAATTGATTTGTACGATAAAATAATTTTTTTGGAAATCTTCTATATTTGGATTATTTTTGTAATAATTTATAGATATGAGGTACATAGATGGCCGCATTACCAAACTTCATTAATCGAAAATTCACATCACAAATCAACACCTAAATTCTCAAACTAAATAAAATCAAATATTATACCTTTATTAAGTAATAAATCCTCATAAAAAAGAGAACAAATCCTTAGGAAAAACCTTCACAAAAAGGTAAAAAAAAAACTCCAAATATAAAGAGAAAGTAACAATAAAAAATCTATTATGGAAAAAATATATATAAATTTATTAAAAGTGAATAAAAAATTAGAAATAAAGGGTAAAAGATAAGGACTACCCTTTCTAAAATTAGGGTTTCTACTATTATTACTAGTACAAGTTGAGCTTATGTCTAACTGGAATTCTCTAAATTCACAAATTCCTTCATTTAAAATTTCTAAAATGAAAGATTACAAAGGAATCTTTTATGTCCTTATCTTTGAATGAGAATTGCTATATTAACGAGGGGTATGTGTCGGCATTGTGAATAAACACAAGTAAAATTTTTCACTGTATAGCTAAAAAAAAGTGACCTACTTACCCACTTTTTTACCTTATTTGATAAGTAAACAAGATGAGAAGAGATCTCTATATCACTACGTCAAAATATTGCCCCCGGACCTGACAAATCCTGGGTCGCCTTCGGACACAAATTTAATCTCAAAACTTATAGTTACGTGAGCTAATTCTTTAAATAAGATCACAAATTATTAGAAAGTATGAAAGTGACGAAGCAAACTCTTTAAATAAGATTCCGATTTTTTTTTTTATATAAATGTAAGATCAGTATTAATGATAAAAGGTACTCTTAGACGTCTTAACGCGGTGTTCGCGCTGACTTATATAATGAATAGAATTTACTTAAGAATCAATTCAATTTCGCTGATTTAGTTCAGTCGCTTATTGGCAAGATAATATATATTGTAATAAAAACAAAGTGGATCAACTGACAATGTGTTGGTTAGAGTGGTAAGCGACTTCAACCTCCAATACTAAGGAGACAAGTCCAAACGTTTAAAAAAAGAAAAAAAAGAAAAGTGTATCAACCACTCAAGAAAGAGGAGTGATTGTGGGGAGGGTTAAAAGTTGTAAAAGAGAGTCTCACGGGTTCCTTATTGCCTATTAATGTTGCTTCCTATCCGTTACAGAGAGAGATTCCCTCATTAATATTTGTGGTCTTTCTGGTTCGGTAATACAGTGAGTATCACCATCATGGCCGATCCCTCTAATTTGCTATGCCTCTCCTTTCTCTTCTCTTTTCCTTTTATCTTTGGGCACCCTCCTCACCCTTTTGACAATCTTGCCCATATTAATAATTATATGTGTTCTATATTTTCCACCAAAAGGATCAATAAGGTTATTTTATTAGGTCATGCATTGGAATTAAAAGTGGGTGCCCCAAAGTGCAATGGAATTTATTCTAAGAAGAAAATAGATGGAGGGAGGAATAATGGATTTAAATGCAATGGCCCAGCTTTCTGCTTCGGTAGTCGCGGTTTTAAATGCTTATGAAGACCCTCTTCCCTTCTTAAATCCTACCCAGACATTCTCATCTCTCCTCACATCTCCTACCTCCTTAACTAGCTATATGCTCCTTCTCTTCCTTCAAGAAAACCAACCTTTCTTTCACTCTCTCTCTTATTTCTTTTTTGTTTGTTTCTTGATTTTGAATTACAGCTTGTATATTCTTCTTCTTCTTCTTCTTCTTCTTGTGGTTCTCAAAGAATTAGTATATATTGTTTTATGTATTCTAAATAATTATTATGTGAAATAGTGATTGTGATATTGGCCTGGTTCACTCAGAACATGTAAAAGAAACCCTAAGTTGAATTCTTTTTTTCATTTCTTGGTTGATTTTTTATGATTTGATTGAGCCGTGCCAATATCTCAGTGCTCTTTCATTTTCCCTCTTACAAGTCTCTCCCATCGATCAGAATTCAGAAGGTTTGCCTTTAACTCATGCATATATGTAATTTTTGCTCTTTTTTCTTTTAATTAATCTAACTTTAATTAGAATTCTGAAGGTTTCCCATTGATAACCTTTTTTCTTTTCTTTTTTGGTTCAAATCTATTCGTTTTATTCTTATATACATATATGTATATGTATATGTTCTTGCAGCTATTAATAAATGATATGAAGCAGGAACATATCCCAAGAAACAAACAGAAAATCAAATCATCATCTGTTAGGAACTGAGCAACTCTCCAGGAGGTTGTTACTAACCCAAAATAAAAGGCATGATAAAATGTTTTGCAAGAATTACTTTTTTTTTTTTTTTTTTATTGCAACTCTCCAGGAGGTTGTTTTACTAACCCAAAATAAAAGGCAATGTAAAATTGTTTTGCAAAGAATACTTTTTTTTTTTTTTTTTTTGCAAGAATTTCTTTTTTTTTTTTTTTTTGTATTTTCTTGTTATGATATTTGAATTTCTAACTTTATACAGTATTTGACAGGCAGTATTGTTTAGAAAATAGATTTACTATATATATATATATAGTTTAATAAATATTATTTTTGTCTTATAAATTATGTTACTGTTTATATAATATATATCCATTTAAATGATTTGAAATAGGACTGTTAAGATAAGTGCCAGACCAGACTTTTTGTGGTGAGTAGGAGATAGTCACATTATGTACATTTAGACAGATAGATATCTTAATAGAAGTCTCTTAGAAACACCTGCAAAAGTCAAATCTCCCTTAAATAGCAACCTTTATTGCATGTATCCATAGAAAAGGAAGTTTCCTCATAACAATAAAAACTTAGATGTTATGCACAATATGTACAATACCCTTTTCTTTGAAACTTCCAAAGCTATATATAACAAACACATTATCCTTTTCTTTGAAAAGACTTGGAAAAAAAAGCTATATACACAAAAATAATGCCCATTAGCTACCGATAGAAATCGAACGCTCAAAACTTAATTGGTAATGTATCAGTGACTGAAAGCATAGTCGAGTCGATCGTCAGTATTTTAATTTAGAGAAAAATAGTTGCATATAGTAAATAGCGACCGATTAACGACCGAGAAAGGAATCAGATGCTCAAAACTTAGTCGCTAATATATATTAGTGACCGAAAGCAGAGTCGGTCGCAATACAAAATATTTCAGTTGCAACACACAAGGGACGAGTGATATTGTTATCTCACAATTTTTTAATATTGGCATATATGTCTCCATGTTCAAATCAGAGATATTATAACATTTTTCAAACTTTTTGTACGTGTTTCCGTTTTCAAATCAAAGATATTATCTAGATAAAACTCTTTCAACGGTATTGTAACTTTAAAGGTAAATTTTGCATGAAAATACTATTATAAAGCATTTTTAGTGCATAAAACGCTGGGTCGATTGGAGTAAATATAAAGGTATTGACTTGCAATTTTTAAAAAACTCCTGCTGTTGAGTGTTGATGTACTATATCTATTTATTGACAAAACTAACCTTAGAAAATGTATATATATATATATATATTGTTCCGATGCAAAAAGATGTGAGTTGACACTCTAATTTTTGAGAATTCTATTTTATCTTTTTTTAGAATTTTTTGGATTTTTTTTATTTTTCTATATTCTGATTGGATGGTTTTTTTTATTTTAAAATTAATATTTAGATAATAACAATATATTTTGAAATCTAATCTAATGTAATAATTGTTTTATTTTATTTTGGTATTTTATAATCCTAAAGCAAAATGATGTGAGTTGGCACTCTATTATTTGATTATTCTATTTTATCTTTTTTTTTTTAGAAATTTTTGAATTTTTCTTTATTTTTCTATGTTTTGATTGGATGGTTATATTTTTTAATTTTAAAATTCATAATATTTAGATAATAGCAATATATTTTGAAATCTAATCTAATTTAACAACTATTCTATTTTATTGGTATTGATTTTAATTTCTTTAAAATTTTGAAAATTTTTAATTACAATTTTTAGATTTTTTTTCTTTATTTTTCTATATTTTGATTGAATGATTATATGTTTTTTAATTTTAAAATTAATATATAAAATATATAGTTAGTTTGTTTCTAATTGTATACATATATAGTTACTACTTTGATTTCTTTCTTTTGTTAGTTTGTTGTATGTTGAATTTTTTTTTTTTTTCTTTTGTATAGGGTATCTGTTAGTGTATTCCACACATTTTTGTTTACATTTACAATCCAACAATCTTCTCACGGGTAAGCATCAATCATCACACTCCTTATTGAATTCAATATCTCTTGGAATCATGCATTTCCAAGAAGATCTTTTTGTTTTCGTCATCATTTCTATCCGGCAATGATATCCAATCAAAATTATGTATGATTGAAGTTATATGCTTAAAATTGTTCCACCTGATTTTGAAGATGCGATTCTTATCTTTTTAAAATCTCAATATATATCGTTATTTGAGCATTAATTTGCCTTTATTAATTTATGTTAATACGAACTCTTTCCATTTTTCAATATAGCTTTAAGTAAACTAGAAATGTTCTGTATGTGTTAGGTTGATTCTAATATAAACTTTCGTATTTATAACATTATTTCCTTTTATTGTAGTGATGTTAAACGATTTAATTTTATTGGTGTATAAATCTGATCTTACGGAATTGGCTGAATTTCTCGAACCGTAGAATGAAGTGATTATTAAATTCAAAATATGGTCATTGTTTTATATATATATTCATTGTTTTTATATATATATATATTAATATAATATATATATATATATATATATTAGATTTATATTTTTAAAACGAAACTATTCAAACAAGACTCTTAAATTAGGTTTTTCATTTCAATTAATGAAAAAAGTGTTTGATGATTTTATATATTAGATTTTATATTTTTAAAAGAAACTATTAAACAAGACTCTTAAATTAGTTTTTCATTTTCAATTAAGAAAGTGTTGATGATTGCTTCCCAATTTTCATTTTCAAAACTTTATATATGACCATATTTATTGGTTCACACTTAATTTAAACGTTTGGAGTTTTATTTTTTAATTAAGAGATCTTTTTGTTTTTGTTAATTTATTTGTAAATGCAATTTATAAATTATAAATCTATATACATTAGTAAAATAATCTTTTTAAAAATAATAATAATAATAAAATAATCCGGAGAATGCGCGGGCCTTCACCCAATTTCACTGAATGCGTGACAAATTTAATAGCACGGGAAAGATTTAGGGTTAGAGCAATTGTGAAAACCCTTTTTTTTCAGCTCAGGGCTGCATGGCTCAGTGTGTGATACTTTGGGACCGGAACTATAATATACATCTACCTTGTCCAGGAAGATGGAACACTACTCTAAACTACTAGAATTCCTTTTTTATATTTGGGTTTTTTTTTTTTTTTAACCGGAATGTTTAATTCATCTTGAGCTGTAGAGCATAAAGGTTTTTAGCTCTCCTAGCAAAATACTATTTTCGGAGATCGAATTTGTATTCTCACCCTTATGGAAATTGAATTTATATTTAATTTTTCATAATTAGTAAATACTAAAATCGACTCAGTTCATGCATGAAAACACGCATATGGAAAAGGAAAATTTCATTATTCACTTAAATTTCGACTCATACAGTGCAAAATATAAGTCATTTTAAAATGATTATTTTGTCTTAAAGTCTCTTTATTATACTCGTAAAATTATGAATGTTAATAATATTACACACCTTTTCATATTAACAATAATAATTTTTTTGCTATTTTTGGTTTTTATAGGCAGAAAATTGTTTTGACGTGTGATTAACACAACTTTTATAACATTAATTTTCACGTATTTAATTAAATATTTAATTTATTCAAAATTAAAAGTTAGAGTATTTAACAGAAAAATATTTAGTAATTTTTCTAAATTAATTCATAAATTTCAATTTATTAATTAATTTGACTCCTTTTTTTTCAAAAAATTTATATATTAACTCAAATAAAATTATTTCTAGATCTGACACCGGCTTCGTTAGAAGTTGGACGTGCATGTGGAAGGCCAATAACTTGGCAAACAGCTGTGTGTTTCTAGTGCGTAACGTGTGGGGCTTGAAAGATGAAAGAGACCAAGCCCAAAGCTAAGAAAGATGAAAGAGACCAAGCCCAAAGCTAAGAAAGATGAAAGAGACCAAGCCCAAAGCTAAAGAAAGATGAAAGAGACCAAGCCCAAAGCTAAGAAAGATAAAAGAGACCAAGCCCAAAGCTAAGAAAGATGAAAGAGACCAAGCCCAAAGCTAAGAAAGATGAAAGAGACCAAGCCCAAAGCTAAGGTAGCATTTGTATCCCGAGTTATGGGTGTAACCAAATTTGCTTGTTTTTACTGAGTGGGAAAATAACAATGGCCCCTAAGTTTTGGCTCATGTAACACTTCAGGATTTCGGTTTCTGAAAATCAACTTAGACATTTCTAAATTTTAATTCTGTTAACAGAGTAGTCCTTCCGTTAGTAATCAAGCCCTTTATCTGTCAAATCGATATGAAAGGACATAGTTGCCCTTGCTTAAAAGAATATGTTGTCGTTGGAGGGAAAAAGAATATGGATGGCCTTTTTTCAGACCAGCGGGTTGTTGCAGAGCTCTGTTTGAGAGATTGAGCAAATCGTTCATGGGAGAGCTTCAAACCGTTGTTCATCATTGAAATCTTTGGAAGTTATATGATTTGGAAGATCGAAAGCACAAGACCAGTTGAAGTTTTTTCGCAAAAAGGTAAGATTTGGTCCTTGTTTCATTGAAGCGTGGAATAACTTGAAGTTTTGAACAAATTTTGCTTCTGAACTAGTAAAAATAGGTGATGAGTAGCATTATTTCAGTTTAGAAACACTTTTTTAAGCAAATATGTAAAAAAGTTAGGATTTTTTTTTATTCCGCAAAACCGATGCTCTGTTTCTCGAAGCCTGCTTGTTAATGAAGTGTTCATGGAAGATTTGTCTTCTAAATGGTAGAAATGGGTGATAAATAGCAAAGATTTTGATTTAGATACACTTTTGTATATAAATATGTTAAAATTTTAGGATTTTCTATGAATTTCGCAAAATCTTCAAACCTGAGATTGATGATGTACCTGAGATTGATAATGAATATATGATAAATTTGCAGGATGAGTTTACCAAAGTATTTTCATATACTATGCAAGTGTGGAGAAGAAGAGGGAAGTATTGGAAATGTGGACCCAGATAAGTACTCTTATCTGATTTTGCTTGAGAAAGTTTATAAGTTGTTTAGGCTAGAATGTGATTTTGTTGAAATTGTGTGTGGTGTAAATTTGAAAATTGAGAATAATGATGATCTTATGTTGATGTTTGAGATGCAGAAAGAGACTGGTGGAAAATGATGATCTTATGCTCTTCAAAGACTCATCAGGTATAGTAGATCATGCAGAATGTTACCTAGTTCAAATGAGGAGTTTGAAGTCACAGAAGGACCATTTAAGTTTTCTGTTAATTTGAGTTTGAGGAAATGTAGTTGTGGATGGTGGGAAATTTCTGGTTTGCCATGTAAGCATGCTTGTATGGGCATTGGTTTAATCATGTTTTTTTGCTTAAGTTTGTTGTCCGTGTCGTTTAACATTACTATTTTCAACTTTTTCTTACTTAATAGGCCAACAATAATAGGAACAGGAGAGGGCAAGTGAAAGGTAGTCAAGGAGCATCGAGCTCACAAGTGACTCAAGGAACAGATTGAAATGCATGTGTTTTGTGGGGTTTTTCACAGGAACATGTAATAGGAACCAGCTGTTATTTCATATAGTTTTTTTGTTAGGCTAAGCTCTTTAGATGCCATAAAGACTTATGGTGTACTTTTTATCTAAGATTTTGCTCCCAAATGAGAAGCTGATTAACTTATTTAGTTGTAATTTTGTGATCTTTGAGAATTTGAATGCTCAAACTCTTTAGTTCAAATGATGGATTTTAATATAGACCTTTGACAGGTTTTCTTTTGCTTGAGCTTCTTACCTATAGCCTGCTCATTTAGTTGTAATTTTGTGATCCTCGAGAATTTGAATGCTCAAATTCTTTAATTCAAATGTTGGATTTTTTAATATATGCTTTTGACAGATTTTCTTTTGCTTGAGCTTCTTACCTATAGCTATAGCCTGCTCATTTAGTTGTAATTTTGTGATCCTCGAGAATTTGAATGCTCAAATTCTTTAATTCAAATGTTGGATTTTTTAATATATGCTTTTGACAGATTTTCTTTTGCTTGAGCTTCTTACCTATAGCCTGTATCATTTTGTTCTTAACTATACAATTTTAATAGCAGGTTGTTAGCTTCATTTACAGCTCTCAACCACCATGAGTGCAATTTTCCAAACACAGAAGTAACTCCAATTAACATAACAAATTTTTTCATTACAGGTCACTTTTAAAGTTACTTATAGCATAGAAAGATACAAGATACCAACCCATCATATCTAACCCATGTTCCCAAAAATGTACTGGTAACCAGTATGACTCCCGACAAAATGCAAATCATACATGCAACAACAACCACTTTTAGGTACCCAACCATATTTTCGACACCCTCAACCTTCCCAATAAGCCTCCTGACTTCACTCTTCAAATGCAAGATTTCATCTATGAGGTCTACACCATCTTGCTCAAAGCTCTTTTGACGCCTTTCTGAGTCTATGAAATCAGATGAGTTGGCTGCCTGTACACAATCAACAGATTTGCACCAACCAAGGAATGACCCGCAGACATTATTTTGGCAAAAATAGTAGAGTCGATTTCTGTTCCTTACTGTCTCAGATATGCGGATTCCAACTTTCTTTCCCCAACTACAGTTCATGCTAACAAATCTTCCCTCGAACCCATTCTCAGCGGCACCACTCGAAGAAGATGACATTCTCGATATCACTGCAACGAAAACCCCAGCCTCTTTCTCTTAAACGAGTTTCTTCTCTTCTGTGTCCTTTTTTTTTTGCTTCAAGACATTGACCAACAGTATGAAGTAATTATATATATATTAATTGGCTTGAGGTGTTTCTCGGGTTTAATTTTATTTCTCTCTCCTTGGACTCAACTTAAAGGCAAAGACTGACAGAAAAAGGGCTTAATTACAGACGGTAGGACTACTCTATTGACAGGACTAAAATTTAAGAATGTCTAAGTTGGTTTTTTTATAGGATTCACCTATAAAAAAATTAACTTGTATAAGAAGAGATTTTTTTTTTTAATATATAAAACTACATTTATTCTAACATAAATATATTAATAGTAATTTAATATATTTATTTTCGATATATAATTTAAATTTATTGGTTAATAAAATCATAATAAATTTATTTTAAAAAATCTTTGTAATTTATTTAATGTATAGATAAGCACGTAAATTGAATCGAGAAAAATTTCAGGAGGATTACATTGCCACGTCAAACATTTGCTATGCTTAAATCTTTACACGTAGGATTTGGCTGAGCAATGTGGACCCATTTATTTAATAGAAATTGTACTTGAGATGGTTCTGGGATAGGAAAGATTCCACCTACACCCTATACATTTTGGTACATCGCTCACGCTCAGGACTCAACTTTATAACAAGAGGGAAAAAATTAATTACTTTATCCCTGCATTTTGCTTTATTTCTGCATTTTGATAAATTAATTTACTCATTCCTGAATTCTCAATTCCGGCATTTTAGTCTTTGCACAACAATTTAACAATAAAAGGCCTATTTAATGAATTAAAAAAAAAGAATTAACCAACTATTTAATTCATTTTTCATTTTAGTCTTTGTACTGCTCGTCGGCAGCAATACCATCGAATTGCGAGAAAGCAATGTGAAATGTCAAATGGTGGTAAAATAAGAAATGGCCACTATCTAATTAGTAGCAGACAGTAATGATGAGATTAAATTATTAATTAATGATTAAGAAAAGGACAACGATTGCATATATTGAGTAATTTATACTAAACTATTCTAAGTCGGCCAAAACACTGAACCATTTCATTGTATCTTAAGATATTATCAACTAATAAATATTTTTCCTCAAAAAAAAAAAAAAATAATAATCAAAACCCTGTCTTAAGAATAACTTGTTTGTCAAGTTAGTATATTCCATATTAATTAACGACAAGATCTAGGTTCACGCCATCTCCAACATATATATAATAAAATATTTTTACTCAAAGAAAAAAAAAATAATAATCAAAACCCTGTCTTAAGAGATAAACTTGTTTGTAAGTAGGTATATTCAATATTAATAACGACAAGTATCTAGGTTTCACGCCATCTCCAACAATAATATATATATAATATATTATATATTATATATATAGCTAAAATAGAAATATATATAGAAAAATCTAAAAAATCCGATAAACTCGCTTTTATCAAAGTAAACTTACTCCGTTATATATCCTATGGATCCCAACTTCTATTTCGTCCCTTTCTATCTCTAAAAATAGGACTGGTGAAAATAAAACTATAAGAACATTTGGTTAACTGATTTATACACTTGATAGTTTATTCATACAAAGAATTATATTGAAGGCGTTTGGTAAGCATTTTAATCGACCATAGTTGATTTTATAAAATACGTTTTGGAACCTTTTCGTATTAATTGATATTAGATTTGTGTTTATAATATTTTTGGACTTCATTAATCTTATCATAATAATTATTAGCAAAATTATATTTTTTACAGGTTAATACTATTTATCATGTTATTTATAGTTATTTAAAAATTCTATAAATCTAAAATAATATTATGTTAAAAAACTTTCTTAATTTGTATTTTTTGTTTATATAATACATTGAAAAAAATAATATCTTCACCTTAAAACAATATATATATATATATATATATATATAAGTATTATATATATAAAAATAATTTACTATACATTAATATTTATTTACATTCTAACAATTATCACCGTCAAAAATTTAGGTTAAACACCAACATTTTATCAAGTTAACCATTATGATCATTAGCAAGCTCAACTGTTACAGCCCATGAACTATTATCAATTATTCATCACTGATATGAACAATTTATAAAACCATTACGTAGCAGTGATATAACTTTAATAAAACAGGATTAAAACTCTAATTTTTTAAGACCTCTAAACTTTGAGGATGGCACCGGAACTATTGTAATTATTCATGTGCCACCCCGTTCAAATCTTTACACTCCTAATATAATTAGATTTTAATGTTCCATTTAGTAGCTTATTCTTTATCATTTTGATGTTTATAAGCTAGTAGTATTATAACTTGATTTAGCCGGTGAAAATTAGTTGTTTATATAAAAATAATTATACATTTAATATTTATTTACATTCTAACAATTATCACCGTCAAAATTTATTAAACACCAACATTTATCAGTTAACCCATTATGATCATTAGCAGTCAACTGTTAGCAACTATTATCAATTATCAACTGATATGAACAATTAAACCATACGAGCAGGATATACCTAATAAAACAGGATTAAAACTCTAATTTTTAAGCCTCTAAACTTTGAGATGGCACTCGGAACTATGTAATTTATGTCCCACCCCGTTCTCTTTACACTCCTAATATAAATTAGATTTATGGTCCATTTAGTTAGCTATTCTTATCATTTGATGTTTATAGCTAGTAGTTTATACTGATTAGCCGGTGAAATTAGTGTTTAGTAAATTTTTGATAGCCACTGATGTTAAAATATAAAATGATTATTTAGAATATATATATATATTTAGAAAAAATCAAACTAGAAATTTCATTAAAAGGAAACTGTATACATATATGAGATACAGATTAATATGTTTCTATATTTTTTTATAGAAAGCCTAATAATAAATAATTCATACAAAGAATAAAAAAACATAATCTTAATTTGAAGTATATGATTGAGTTGACATAACATAATATTTGAAGTATCTGATCGAGTTGACAGAGTATAATATTTGTGCCATCAGCGATCGCTTGCTCCACTTGGTGGCTATTCATAGCCACTGTTCGATTCTATTGTCTTTCTACAAGTCCGATTTAATTATCTTTAAATTTTTTCCGGAGATCTGCATTTATTTCTACATAACTATCCAAATAATAAAAGACATTACACAAAACCACCATAATTGTCAGAACAATAGCTCAGAATTAGATCTGAGAACAAAATCTCAATATATGAGCGACAATAAATCCCAATAATTGGAGGCAATAACTCAGATCTGTACATAGATCTGAGGATTATTTGTAAAAAATAAACAGAAAAAAAAAAAAGAAAAAGGGATGACCGCCGGTGAGAGTTCATCGGTGACTACCTGTGGAAAAAGAAAAAAAAACTTTTAAATTTTTGGTTTAAGAAAGAAAGAGAGAACGGCTAGGTTATTCTTGATTTTTATATATTATATTAATAAAATGATCTTAAAAATACTGATTTTGAAAATAAAATTTATTAGTAATTATTTTTATGAGATTAACGAGTCACGTAATAATATAAACGATATTAGTTCATATAAAAACATCTCAAAAACATAATATTCCATCGACTGATTGATATATTAGTTATCGCCTGTTGATTAAAAATTATCAAACATCTATTTAATATTATTTATCTCTATTAAAATATACAATATTGCCTGTGCATCTTGAAAATGCAATATTTTTTTTTTTCCTTTCTTTACACTGTTATATCTATGTGTCAATTATTTATACTTTTTTCCGATAAAAATATAAACAAAAAAATTTCAGGGACATATTAAATTAATCTTTACAAGATAAAATAATAATTTTATAAAAAATAACATTAAAGTATGAAAGACAAAATATAAAAAATTAAATATGGTAATACAACGAGGCATAAAAAAAAATAATACAGTATATTTTTAAAAATATGAGGATAAAACCGTAATTACATAAAATATAAAGGTAAAATAGTAATTTCAGCCCCTTATTTAATGTTTATCCAATCAGGGTCGTTACGATAAATATGTGGAGGCATGGTGACCCACCACCTGATGGACACGAGCGCTGACGTGGATCTCTCATTGCAAGAGAGAGAAATAGAATAGAAAGCAGCCGAGAAACACACTAAAACTAAAAGCATCACACACACACTCCTCTTTCCGGCTTTTTGTTGTCAAGCTTTGTTCTCTCCACTCTTCCTTTATCTTTCTTTCTATTTGCCAAATTCATCGACCACCATCAGCACCACCACCGGAGCTGCCATCGCCATGTGCGATCCGCCGTCGTTTGACTGAGCTTTTCTCATTGATAGCAATTTTTGCTTTCCTTCCCTGAATTAAGTGCGGTGTCGTTTATTTGTATCCGAAAGTAATGGCGATTGAAGAAGACTTAGAGAGTTGTGGAAGCAGAGCAGTGGAGTCGTATTCACAGGCGAATCCACGACACCATATGCAAAAGCTGGAGGTGTATAACGAAGTGCTTAGGCGAATTCAAGATTTTAATTATGAGGAAGCGAATCTTCCTGGCTTCGATGATCAGCTTTGGCTCCATTTCAATCGATTACCTGCAAGGTTCTTTTTGCTTTTAGTTTAACTTCTGATCCTTTTTAAAAATATTCATTGTTTGTTTGGTTTCTGAGAAACAGAAGGAAAGGAAACGTTAGAGAGAGAATAGATTTCATCATCACCTGGAATCTTTTATTTGGTGTTTCTTTACCAACTCATGCTTATTAGGAGATTCCTAGTTTTCACTTTTTCTTTTTTGGTCCCCGCCTTTAATTCTCTGAATTTCAGATTTACTTTTACTGCGTATTTGCATTGTAATCAAATAATGCCAAGAAGAACTATATAGGTTCTAATTAACAAGCTAAATAGTTATATTCATATTAGCTTTGATTTTTCTATTTTTTAATTAATTTAATTGTAATTAATTTTCTCCTTTTCTTTCCTTTTGAGATAGATACGTTTGTTTAGTTAATGATGCTCAAATTGAATTGTCTGTTTTTAACCTTTAATGCGGTGTTCTGGTGCTAATGTAGATATGCATTGGATGTGAATGTGGAGAGAGCAGAAGATGTGCTTACCCATAAGAGATTGCTGCAGTTGGCAGAAGATCCTGCTAATCGACCAGCATTTGAAGTTCGTCTTGTCCAGGTAAACACTTGTTGATTAAATAGTATTGGGCGTTGTTTTGCGTTTTTCTGAGAGATTTTGCTTGGTAAAATAGTCAACAGTGATATGGAAACTCAAATGCAGAACTTAACTTCAATCTGTTACACAATGTGGTTTTCAAATTCCTCTGTATATTTGCTTTGTATTTATGTAGGTTTTATTTTGTTATTGGGCCTCTCAACCTACTAACTAATGTGCCGGTTGTCTTGGCATGTTATCAATGCCTGATTTGTGCACAACTGTGATCAAAGTTCAGAATTGTGTTTGGTTAAACTCCATGACTTACTATTTTTCCCTGATGAGAGCAGTCACTTTTATTTTCTGCCATGGGATTATTGGTCTTTGCTTTTGAGCTTTCTTTCACCAAATGAAGGTGATCCTTGTCATTTAGCTGTTATTAAAGAATATGTACTCCAATGAGAATGTTTGTCAAATTGTTGATTTCAGCAAAATGCAATGTTCTTTTCATTTTTCATGTTTATTAAAGAACTCTTTTTTATTGTCGGGCCTTCCTTCCACATTGAAAAGCTTATTGTGTATAGAAAGTCCTACTATTTACCCTAAGTTCGAGGATTCTAGTTAATGATTTAGCAGTTGCTTATTTTACACAGAGTTCATGCTTACTGAAGCTTCAAACATGCTGACTATCATCTCAATTTTTTAAAGTAATGGGAACAACTTTTACCACCTTTAGTTGAATTTCTTGATATGAATTTCACAAAGTTTGCATATAGTGTTTCTGTTTGATAATAGCATTTGTTTGATGGCATCATCGTTCTATTTTTTTAACGTAAATATTTTTCTGATATGTTGTCTGTGCATAGCTTGTCATTATCTAATTGGTCCGAATCAATGGTTTGCAATAAATTGTTTCTTTGCTTTTCTTTTCTCCAATGCAGGTCTATCCTGTCTCCAATGGCATGTCTATTGATTCTGGCCATGCAGATGCTGCAATGAAAGAAGATGCACAAAGTTCTTATGTTTCAATCAGACAGAGGTATATTCTTCAAAGTACACTGTCCTTTGTAAAATTTATGTCTTTTTTGTTTGTTGCTGATGCTCTTGCTCTGTGTGTATATGTCCAGCATCCATCCACCTCCTACATTTGGCTCATCACCTAATCTTGAAGCACTTGCATTTCAAGCCAATAGGTATCATGTTGAAGATGGAGATAGTGCTGTAAATTCAATGCACCTTTCTCGGTAAGAATTTTGAGAAACCTTAGGATATTCCTACTTCCCAAACATCATCAGCTGTCAATGTGTTAAAGTTGGAAATTTTCCAAATATTGATCTTATTGATTGATATAAAGTCATAGTATTGGATCAAACTTTGAATTTCACACATTCTGTAATTGATGAGGCTAGATTCATTATTTTCATGCGGCCTCTATGTTTAGATTTCTAGAGTTTGACATTCAACATTTAGGATTATATTTTAGCAACTGTGATATTTACTTCAATTCTCATTGACATTATTATGCAATTGACAACTCTGTAGGCCTATGCACGAGATCACCTTTTCAACAGTTGACAGGCCAAAACTCCTTAGTGAGGTTGGTTATTTGTGCTAATTGCATAAATATATTATTTTTGAAAAACCATGTTGGATTAATGTTGACTTGGTGGCATGGTATCTATGTTTTTGGGCACAAATATGTTTAAAGGTTTTCAGATTTTTTTCCATCTTGTAGGCTACACCATTGTCTATATTTGTAAAATAATTGAAGAAACAAACTAAACATATATGAATATTCAAAATTTCTTATGTGTTCAAAAAGGCAGTAAATTGCATTAAAGACCTAAGGTGCACTAGCTGTCTAAAATGTTTAAGCCCAGCATTACTATAAAGTTCACGCACTAGATAATATATACAAGTAATTTTCCAGTTGACTTTCCTACTTGCTGAGATTGGATTGAACATTCAAGAAGCTCATGCTTTCTCCACTGTTGATGGGTATTCATTGGATGTTTTTGTTGTTGATGGTTGGCCACATGAGGTAAGACCTTATACTTAATCGTTCAAATTGTCTGAGTGACGAAATTATTAGGTCATTGAAAAAACACTTAGCATCTATAGCCATGTAGTCCACCTGCGATTGTTGTGAAGAATTTTCTTTAGATCTTTCATACAGAGAATTGGGTTAATCCTGCCGGTTTGAACAATGATATAATGACATAAGATGGCAACTTATATGCAAAATAACCTCTTTATTTTATTGATATCACTTCAGTTACTAAAATTTTGCATTTTGTATTTCTTACTCTGACATTCATGGAATCCCTTTTTCCTTAATTTTTATTTTCAGTTTCTTCCCTTGCTGTATGTTCTTTTTCATGTATCCCATAGTTTCTATAGTAATATCATAACCATTGATTCTCTATTCTTTTAGATCTTTCTTAAGAGTTCTCATGTGAACATTCATGACATAGAACAAATATTGCTCTTTAATTATTATTTCTAAATCTCAGCACATGTTCAGTTTTCAGGTTTCGATTATCTTATACACCATATAGAAGAGAGAATATTTTCAAATGAATATAGAAATTTCAACATTCATTTAATTTGGTCTTAAGTCGGAGCAGAATTAAGAGATTATCTTTGAAACTGTTTCAGCCTTCATTAATATTTTTTGGTTCTTATTATTCATGAAGTAAAATTCCATCAGATCATTCAAATCTATCTAGAGACCATTTTTACTTCTTTCTTTCGTTTAGCTGTTTAATGATGCTTCAAATACTTTTTAAACATGCTCTATAGCTAAACTGCTTGCTTTTATTGTTTTCTTTATAATGCTAAGGTAATGCCAGACTGACACCTTTCTTTCTCATTCCTGTATTTCTTGACATAATTGCATGTGGAAAACTTCAGGAAACTGAGGTCCTTAAAAATGCTGTGCAAAAGGAAATCCAGAAATTTAAGGTACTGCCTCCATACTGCTCTTTTTTTTAGTTACAGATTTGTCATTTTTGTTGATGCATGGTGCTAAAACAACTCTCTTAGTTAATCTATATATTAGGCAACTCTGAACCCAATGAGTAATGGAGTGCATGACCGTAAGGGAAGCAAAATTGAAGAGAAGGATCCATGTAGCCAACCTCAACTAGAGTGTGATTGAGGCTTACCTGGGTTGAATTCGGTTAACTATAACAAACCTAGGATGCCATGACTGGCTGGTGTTAGGGTTTGCCAAGGACTGTATCTTGTAATTGAATCATAAATTTTGTGCTGCTTACTATGAATCATTGGAATCAGAGTAGGATTCTGCATATTAATTACTTGAACTAATTTCATTATAGTACCATCATTGATAAATGGGACTACTGTGGTTTTCTGTAGTAAGCACTTAACGCCTAAATTAGTTGAATCTGACTCTTTTCTTGTACCAATCCAGTTTTATATGGATTTTTGGCATACCATATAATAGATCAACTATGCATGGTATATTTTTGATAAGTTGTGATGATCTGCAGGAGCGGTGTTTGTCAAAACAGCCATCTATTTCTTCTGTGACCAAACAAAATGATCCTGGGGTAGAATCTCTTCCTGACTGCATTGAAATACCTAATGATGGAACTGATGTCTGGGAAATTGATACCAGTCAGCTAAACATTGAAAACAAAGTTGCATCTGGAGCATATGGTGATCTGTAAGTTGTGTCTTTTGAAAACTGTGCAACACATGTTGTGCAAGCTCTCTGTTGTTTTTACCTTCTAATCTCTTTAGGTACAAAGGCACGTATTGTAGTCAGGAAGTGGCCATCAAAATCCTCAAGCCTGAGCGTGTCAGTGCAGAAATGCTTAGGGAGTTTTCCCAAGAAGTTTATATAATGAGGTTTGTCAGAAAATTACCATCTGCCATTTCGAAGAAGTTTTATTCGTAAACTCAATTTTATCTTTCAAATTTAATACTTAAAAAAATAAAAGCAAGACATGTTTGACTTTGTGACTGTCTTCAAATGCCTACTGAGGTTTCTTTTACATGAAAATGCAACTGTATTACATAAATGTATGTCATTCTTCAGAAAACTGTAGCAGGGTAAACCCTAGTATCACTCGATTTTTATGATTAATATAACTTTATTGGACCAAGTAGTAAACTTAGGGAGAGCCATCACCAGTGATGATCCTGAAGGGATTTTTTTTTTTTTTTTTTTTTTTTTTTTCGATGAAGTTTTATTCGTACAACTTCAATTTTATCTTTTCAAAATTTAAATTACTTAAAAAATAATTAAAAGGCCAAGACATTGCTTTGACCTTTGTGAACTGTTCTATCAAATGGCCTACTGAGGTTTCTTTTACGATGGAAAATGCAAAACGTTATTACATAAATGTTATGTCATTCTTCAGAAAACATGTAGCTAAGGTGTAAACCCTTAGTATCACTCGATTTTATGATCTAATATAAACTTTATTGGACCAAGTAGTTAAACTTAGGGAAGAGCCATAACACCTACGCTGTATGACTCTCTGAAGGCGATTTTTTTTTTTTTTTTTTTTTTTTATTTTTTTTGCAGGGGGCGGGGGGCGGGGGGGGGGGGGTGGGGGTGTTTAGATTTTGACCAGACTTCCCTCAGTTATCTGTTCTTTTGCCTGCCATTCTTTACTGATTTTGACACTATGTCATGAACTGTCTTTCTTGCTCTTGTTATGATGTAAAATTCCTGAATCTATGCTTTTTATCTCTTGGGTTCTTTTGTTGGATCCTACAATAACATTATTTGGTATACAGGTGGGGGTGTTTAGATTTGACCCAGACTTCCAGTATTCTTGTTCTTTTGGCTGCATTCTTTACTGATTTTGCATATGATGAACGTTTCTTGCTTTTTCTTGTATGATAAAATTCTGATCTATGTTTTTTACTCTCTTGGTGGTTCTTTTGTTGTCTACAATAACATATTTGGTATACAGGAAAATTCGGCATAAGAATGTTGTACAATTCATTGGTGCATGCACCAGACATCCAAACTTGTGCATTGTGACTGGTAAAGCCTAACCAATCCTTTAAATATAGTTGTATGCTTAGTGGAAATTTCATTTGTAAAAATAGTTGATGTTTCTATATGTGACTGTTAAGGAGTTATTTTCGCCCTCTGTTCTCCTTCCACTTCACTGGTATCACCTATTCTTTATTACATGAAATATGTTGCTAATGATGAGATTGGCAGAACCAACAGTGAATCCTATTTATATTGACTATAATCTATCATTAATAGTCTTAGTTATAGGTAGACAAGGCTTTTTCATGCTCTGCTAATAATCATTTTTTGATGCTACATTTCTGCTCTATCAGAGTTCATGGCTAGAGGAAGTATATATGACTTTATACATAAACAGAAGGGTGCGTTTAAGCTTCCATCCTTAATCAAAGTGGCAGTTGATGTGTCCAGGGGAATGAATTATCTTCACCAAAATAATATAATCCATAGGGACCTGAAAACTGCTAATCTTCTGATGGATGAAAATGAAGTAAGAGGATTTACTTATAAATCATTGGGATCCATGATCTTTGATTGCTTTTTATTGTTAGTATTATTGTTATTGTTATTGTTGTTTCTTGATTTTCACCTCTAGAAAATCTGTCATTGTTCATATTGCATTTACAATCATTCTTGATTTGGGTTTGCTTATTGTCTCATACTGCTAATTTGATTTTCCATACTTTTCAGTTTATTTTATCCTTTTCTGCTCTTATCATATTAATGTGCATCTTATTGTAGTGGTGATATGTGCATTTCTCTGGTGCCTACTATCAATTTCTGCTGAACTGTTTATAGACAATCCATTTGATCTTTCCCTGGTTATTTGAAAACTCTAGTATTCATGTTGTGCTGTGATACTAATTATTGGTGGTTTTTCTTCATTTGTTCACATAACTATATAATTCTCCATTGGGAATATGAATTAACTGGCCTTTGAATTCCATTTGGATTGTTTAGTGCTAAATTATGCTGGGGCTTAATAAATTAATCACCTTATAGTTCTAACGTAAAAAGTTGTTCATTGCTTAAATGGTACTACTGAGTGCTATGCTTTTTAAATGCAAAACAAGTAAATACCCTCTATTTCTTTCCTAATGCAAAAAACCCGTTCTGCACTCTTGTCGGTGAAAAGAGATCCCAACTCTTTCATTGGCAATGCTATTTCCCTCTAGGTCAATAGGATTTTAAAAAGTAGTATCCCTTGTGTGAGTTTTCCACTTTAAAATACAAGTTGGCAGATGTTTGCTTTTCATCTAGGCGGTAGTTATGTTCATCGTGGATGAGAGAGTTTCAACTAGGTTTGGATTGGATGGTTCTCCATGCCTAGATATTGGTGTTGAATGGTGTTATTTTATGTAGATGAGAGTAAAAATGTATGTGTGTGTGTGTGTGTACGCAGTAAAAGAACTATGAAAAGATAAAGATTAACTGGATTTGATTGTTCTAATTTCCTATTTCTTTCTGATACAGGTTGTCAAGGTTGCTGATTTTGGGGTTGCCAGAGTGCAAACTCAATCTGGAGTAATGACAGCTGAAACCGGAACATACCGTTGGATGGCTCCTGAGGTATGCATTTTATTGGACATGAAGTCTAATTTCTCATTCATCTACTTTATGTGACAGTAATTGACAACATAAATGGGATACCTGGTGTTCCATTCTGAAGGATTGATTTTGTGTTTGCTTACTAATTATAATTTAATAAAGAACAATGTGATTTCTCCAATATAACAGAAAAGATCATCTTCCTTGTGATGCACAGCCAAATCAACAAGAACACGAAAGAAACAAATATGTTAAGGAAGTCAATATTTCTCATTCAATATGAATCATTGATGATGATTAACAATGAAATTCTTATAGCGTTCTTTTTTTTGGCAAAAAAAGAATTACAATCATATGTAGAGGCCCAAATAAAGCTTCAGGCTAAGCTAAGCTAACTATGTTATGTGGTACAGGGTCTCAGAAAGTAATTAAAAAAGTTAACAAGGAAAACCTAAAAAACATTACCAATTAAATAGAAACAATTGCCAATATATTCTTTTTCTTTTCTTTATCTTCTTAAATTTGCTTATACTGGTTTTAACTGTATGAAGGTGATTGAACACAAACCATATGATCACAAGGCAGATGTTTTCAGCTTTGCAATAGTGTTATGGGAACTTCTAACGGGAGAAGTCAGTCCTGCATTCTTGAAGAAATTTTTTTTATGTTATTTTTATCTTCTTTCCTTGGGTCAATTGACCTGGTTAATTTATGCTGGCACAAATCTTATCTCTTATTGATAATTATACTTTGGGACTGAAATCTCAGCTTCCTTACTCGTACTTGACCCCGTTGCAAGCAGCTGTAGGTGTAGTGCAAAAGGTACATGTCCTTTTTTTTTTATTTTTTTTATTTTTGTACTGATATGAAACTAAAACAATTTTCTAATTTAATTGACAATCCACTTTTGACCACAATTGTTGTAGGGTCTAAGGCCTACAATCCCCAAGCATGCTCATCCAAAACTTGCGGAACTGCTCGAGAGATGCTGGCAGCATGATCCAGCTCAAAGACCCAACTTCTCTGAAATTATCGATATCCTTCATCAGATAGCCAAGGAGGTACTTAATTGTCATTCCTGATCAGTTTGATAATTTGGATCTTTAACCTATTAAATGGTTCTAACTTGTAATTCAAACAGGTTGGAAATGAGAGGGAAGACCGGCGCAAAGATAAATCATCTGGTGGGTTCTTTTCAGCACTGATAAGAGGTCACCATTAAGTTGGGACGAAGTGAGTAGCTGTTAATAATGCATCCATGTGCAGGCGATTTCCGTCGTAGATAGATTTCAATTGTACAAAATGCTTTGCTCTGACGGTGTTTTTTTTCCCTTTTTAAGTTAATAGGTTCTTGTATGTTCTTTTTTTTTGGCCTTTTCTCTTCGCTTTCTTTCTCCATTCTCTTTTTTGTAGGTTGATTATAGTGTGTAAGTCTCTTCTAAGGGATACATGATTATATAGAAATTTTCGAATCGTCATGACCTCTCTTTTTTCTTATTACATTTTTTTTTTTTTTTTTTTTTTTTTTTTTATTAACATTTTTTTTTTTTTTTTTTTTTTTTTTTTTTTGAATCAATCTCTTTTTTTTTTTTTTTTTTTTTTTTTTTTTGAATCATCTCTTTGTAAAAGGCGAACAAGAATTGTTCGGTTACTGTTCAAGGAGATTGACACTGCCTATTGATTTATTTTTCCTCCTTGCTAGGTTATGTAACTTGATCTTTTTCTTTTTTGGAGAAATAACTTGATCTTATTTTTGGAAATGCAGTCTTGATTCTAATTCATAATCTCCCATGCATTCCATTGTTTTTACCAAACTTGCTTCTTGTTATTTATCACTTGGTTTGTACACAGGCTTTATTTGAAGAGCTATGATCAAATGCAATGTAATGTAATTAAAAGTATAAACAGTACATTAGTGAAGCTTTTAATTATATTACATTATATTATATTCCATCGTGGCTCACCAAACAATCTTAATGTTAAACTCTTGTAAAGAACATGGTCATGTTAAAAGCTTGCTCACAGAATTAAATTGTTATCTTCAATTTCTCTTGTTTTTATCTTTCATCATGATTACAACCATGTCTACTGTAAATTTTGTGCATTAAAGGAATTTTTAGGATTTTTTTTTTTTTTTTTTAAGTCATTTAGTTGTGAAAAAGCTTTAGCTTTGTCAAATGTAATTTGATGTAATCGAAAGCATTTTTAATACAAAAATAATACTAACAAATACATTTAATTATATTGCATCATCAACAGAGGTTTTTTTATTGACTCCATATCAAAGACAGAGAACATATTCTATGAATTCAATGGAAGTATTACTTTCAACATTTTATTTTTCTTTAGTTTTTCATACAAATTGGGAAACCAATCATTCATATAATTAGATATATGTTAACATTCGAAAATGGGATTGGTAGAAATCCATTTGAAAATTCTCCATAGTGGTAAAATGTACTAGTAGTCATTAGCCAATGGCTGCATCTTCCAAGAGCTGCCTTGCTCTTACCCGAATCTGTAATCTCACAAGTGCCTTCATGCAATGCAGGGCTATACGACTTTGTTTCCTTACATACACCCCTCGAACTAATGCTTGTAGTTTCACCAAGCTTCTAAGTGCTCCAAACGCCCTTCTTGCCTTCAACAACCAATATATTATTATTATTATTATTAATTTGGGTTCTTGAAACATATAATTTTTCTTATTGCTCATTCAACTTTGCCCTGATTGTTCATCATGATTGTAAACTTTCCAAATCCAAATATGCACTAAATTGTTTTCTGGCAGTGGATTAAACAATTTTATAAAAATAAAATAAGCAGTGGATTAAAGAACTTACAAGATGGCCTCTGAAAATAGCTTGGATTTTGATAGCAGCAATATCTTCTTTCCCAAATTGTTTACTGAAATTAGGCAAAGAAATTTCAGTAATCATTTCTTCATAAATGGTGGTTTGCTCTGTAACTGCAGTACTTGATTTGGCACCCTCATCATCGGGACTTGAGCAAGAATTAGAGAGAAGAACAACACTAGCAGTAGAGTTTCTATTTCTATTATAATTAGAAGATGATTTAAGGAATTTTCTTCGAACAATTTCCAACCATTTCTTAGATGTTGTTCTTATTCTTGCCATTGAAATTTCTTATCAGGCTTAGTTTTTTTTCCTCTCTTGGCTTGGCAGTTCGGCAGGTGAAGGTGATAGTATTCTTATGCTGCAAGAAGACGCGTAAATGGGTAGGAGAAGTGGAAGTGGGCACCATGTTTTTGTGTTTGCTTAGCAAAGTGGGTGTCAGAATCAGAAACTGGAAACGTGGATATATAAATTTATATATGTTTCAGTTTGAAGCATTCTACTGCTTCTCCTTCGTGTAATTGTGGTTTTTAACATTTTTTAACAGTTTCTAAACTCCATTGTATTTGGAAACGGAGAGAACAAAATCATTAAGAATATACATTAAAAAGGGAAAATGTTATTTAGTCCTCAGGTTTTACATAATTATCTAAGTAATCCCTGACGTTTAATGTAATATATAACTAGTCCCCGACATTTTACTCCGTCTAATTAAAAGGTCCTTCCGTCCTAAAAGTTGGTGTTTTGCCGTTAAAATCAGTTAAAAACAAAGACAGACATTTCATAATGACACGTTATGCCCTTACTGAACTGTGCATGAAAATAAAGAAGGTTTGACCATATTTTATTCTTACAAAATGCAGAGAAAGGAAAAGAGGGGAAACACAAAAGCTCCTCTCCATTTCATTTGCAGGTAACAAGAGACAGCCTACATGTCTTCTTCAAGCCCAGCCGATGGAGCATGGGAAGGAAGGTATGTGAATATGTATTGCAAGTGTGGGAGAAAAGCAGGCATTAGGATCTCAGAGACACAAAAAAACAAAAATCGACTGTATTATTACTGTATTGAAAATGCATGCGGGTCTTTCCTTGGATGGTGTAAAGCTATAGATTCATTAGATCGATCTCAAGGAAGCGATTGAAAAAATGCATGCGGGTGCATGCGGGTCTTTCCTTGGATGGTGTAAAGCTATAGATTCATTAGATCGATCTCAAGGAAGCGATTTGGAAATGAGGCAAAGAAGTGTAGCTACTGACTTGTGTGAATTGAAGGAAGAGATGTTGTACATGAAGAGGGAGATGATGAAAATGTACAGTGAGATTGTGACGATTGGAGGAAAAAGGGAGTGGTTGGAGTCGGAGATTGGCAGCTTGAAGAAGTTGATTTTCATATGCTTGATGGCTATCATGATGCTTTTCACCTTATTTGTAATGTTGCTGTACAAGGGTAACAGAGGATTGTGATTTTTTTTTTTTTTTTATTTAGGGTAGTTTGGTTAGTTTTTGTAGTAGTTTGGTTAGTTTTTGTAGTTTATATAGTTTTTGTAGGTGGATGTGTTAATGTGGTGGGCTAGTTGTTAGATGTTAGTAACTCAGCTGGGCACAACCAATTTGAAGATGATTTGAATGTAATATACTTTATGCAATAAAATGTGTACTTATTAACTCCAAAGTCGTTTGGTGTTAAGTATAGCAACTGCAAAGCAAAAATATGTATTCAAACTTGGCTCCCATGCAAAGGAGTGGTTACAAATAGTTCCATTGTCATTAGTTCATTGTCATTTAATCAAATGTTTCCAATTCACAAAAGACAAAAACAACAATATTTAACATAATGTACATCAAAAACCCTACTCCAAATCAATACTTTGGTCCACACTGTGCGTGTTTGTTGTTTAGAAAAAGACAGACATAATGACAATGGGAAAAAAAAGTTACACAATTTGTTTCCTAGTGCTTGGCTAAGAAAATCAAAGATTCCTTATTCTCCCTAACTGTTGCAATCTGTTTCTCAGCAGCAGCACCTGTTTCCCACAAAAATGCACAAATAGCAAAGGATATCTATACTGCAACATATGAAAGTCCAAATACCATCTGCAACACCTCATAACCCAAAAGAACTCTGGCATCCATTTGAGTTCCACAATAAAAAAAAAAAAAAAAAAAAAACCATCTAAAAAAAAAACCATCTTCAACATTTGAACAAAAAAACCAAATCTGCAACATATTAACACAGAACAAAAAATATATATTCAAGACATAGGAGCTCCTCTCCCTCTCAAACCAGAAGCTCCTCTCCCTCTCAAACCAGAAGCACCTCTCCCTCTCAAAGCAGAAGCACATCTCTCTCTTGTTGCAGCAACACCTCTCCCTCTAGAACCAATAACACCTCTTCGCATAGCAACAGCAGCACCTCTTTCCACAATAGCAGCAGATCCAGATGATTTTTTTCCTCCTCTTTGCACAGGTTGTTTGTTCCTCTAATAAAACAAATGGTATGTAAATTAAAAACAACATACTATAAAACAACATAGTAAGTATTCAGATTGCAATAGTGAATCTAACCTGAGATATGGCTGGTGGGGCTTGCTCGCATGTTCTTTTATTATGGCCTAGTTACTTGCATGTCACACACCTAACTGTGCAAGATTTTTTAGCTGTGCTTGGATGAGCTTCTTCCTCTTGAAGTATTCTCCTTTCTTTTGTTCTGTAAGGCTTCCTTTTAACATTTGGAGGCTTTAGGACTAGAAATTCAGTTTATGGTGGGATGTAGTAATTTGGAATTGGATGAATGACTCCTCTGTAGGCCTTTATATACTTCTCTACTGTGAAATACTCGTGACAAAAGTCTTCAAGATTGAGTCTCATGTATCCAAGTGCAATGCAAGCATGTTTACATGGAAGACTTGAAATGTCCCAATAATTGCAGGTGCATGTTGTTTACATGGAAGACTTGAAATGTCCCAATAATTGCAGGTGCATGTCCTTTTCCCAATGTTAACAGCAAAAGCCACAGGCCCCTCTCTCTCCTCAAACTCATTATTGTTACTTGGTAGTATCTTGCATTGTCTAGATTTCTTTTATCAATCTGTTCAGTGCACTCTTGCATTTTGGAGTTACTCTCCCTTCCCAAGCAGTAGCCATTGCAAACCTTTTATAAAGCCTAACCATACATTTCTGCCTAATAGAGTCTATTAGCTCAACAATTGGTTTGTTCCTCAAGTTTCCAAGCCAGCTGTTGAAACTCCCTGTCATGTTATTTGTCACATCAACGCTTTTAGCTGCTGGATGAAAGGCATGTCTAGTCTAATGTGAAAGAGGAATATCCATTAACCATTTTACAGCCCTTCCCTCATTCTTACCCTCAACATTCTTCATATGCTGCTTCAATGCATAACTATGGCTAGACTTAGCTGCCATCCAAAATTCCTTCCTCAACATCACCCCTAGAAAGTGCTTCTTGAAGTTCATTAACAAATGTTGATAACAAATGTTGACAACAATATTCTGTAGATTGAACCTTCAAACTATTGTCCCTTCACAAGCCTCAACAAATCTCTAATGTTCAAAAAGAATTCAACATCATTAGCTAAATAGTTTGAAAGGTGAATTATGAAATACTTTGGAGAAGTTACAAGTTACCTTTTGTCTGTCTGAAATGAATGTCCATGGCTTTGAATCACATCCCGGTCCAATGCATTGTCTAAGACAGTCAAGGAAGAAGGTCCATATTGCAGTGCATTCATTTTGAACACTTGCAAAAGCTAGTGGGAACAGCTCCTTATTCCCATCTAGTGTAACAACACTCAGTAAACATCCTCTAAAAGGGCCCTTTAGGAAGCATCCATCCAATCCAATGAGAGGCCTACATCCCTCCAAAAATCTCACTTTCATTGCTTCAAAACATATGAAATTGGAGCTAAAGACAAGTGGCTCATCCAAATTGTTCCTTGGTTGTTCCTTGGCATTGATTCAAATTTTATAAAAGTTCTAGGGTTTGACATTTGAAGTTGTGCAATGTATTCATGCAACTTATTGTAGCTCTCAACATGTGAACCTGCAATTTACTCTCTAGCAGCTGTCCTTGCCTTATGAAGCTGCCAATATTCAGTCTCAATGCCCCATTTTCCCTTCAACTCAGTTTGCATTAAAGCATAACTCATTCCTGGATCAGCAGCCAATTGAGATTCCAGTTTCTTCTTCACCCACTTTGTTGTTGCGTTTGGATTCTTGTTGTTTAATGGCCTCGTGCATGTATGCTAAGGTTGTAGGGTTTTTACTACAAAACTGACTAAGTCTGGAGCTACACTAGCATGGAACCTAAATGTGCAGCCCTCCCCCTTACATTTTGCTGTCACTCTTCTACTATCATTCTTGATCATCCTTATTATGAACCCTCCCCTCAGCATAATCCCTTAAAGCTTCCCTACAACTATCAACACTTAAGAATGCATGCCCAACTTTGAATTCAATATCACTTTCAACTGGTGTTTCAAATATATTGTCATATATTTTCTTTCAAGGATCGCGTATTTTCTTTTTAGCTCTTCTTCTTCTTGGTGCATCAACCTCCATGTCACTACTTGCAGCTGACTGTTCCTTGTCAGTATCAACATCACTGAGACTAGCATCAACATCATTATTGAAGTCAACTTCCTCTTCTGGATCTGTTTCCATTCCCTCAAGTGTTTCAAATTCACTACTCTCATCTTCAGTATCAGAAAAGACATAGTCATCATCTGTGGACTGGCTATCAACAACAGTTTCTGTTTCTCCCCCATCCCCCTCCAATGGTTGTTATTGTTGTACCCTATCTCTAAAGCTGTGAGGCTCCAACTGCAATTGCTCTTTTCCCCTTCCTATTGTCCCTATTCACATTTGCCTCATGAACATTTGCCCTGCCTCTACATCGCCCTCTCCCCCTCCCTTTGCCCCTGCCTAACTCATTTACATAGCCTGAATACTCAGTGTCGTCAGCCAGCATAATATCCCACATTTGTGATCCTATCAACATTTCTGCCCCCTTCCCCCTACCAGTACCTATACCCTCTGTATTTCCAATCCCAGCACCTACATTTTCTTGCTCAATAATGATCACATCTCCAACATCCCCCCTTATCTCAGTTTGTGATCCAATATTACTTTCTGCCTCCCCAACACCATTGCCTGGAACTTCCCTAATAGGCTGCAAATTTTCATGATGTAAACTCATATTATCTGCCACCTGACTGTGGAACACATTTGGCATAACAACACTCGGTTCACCTAGCTTCCTAACCAAATTCAGTTCAATATAATCATTGTCCTTGAATCTTTCGAACATTAAAGTCACGTTTGCATCGTTCTCTATTCTATAATTTTCAGATCTCTATTCATAATTATCAAGAACATGTAATATCCACATTCCCATCTTTTAATCTTGGTGAACTTTGCATACGTTTTGGTAAGAAGGAACAATGTAACTCATTATGTCAGGTACGTTTTGTAAGAGAACAATGTAACTCATTATGTCAGGTTGTGCATCATACAAATACAATGTATCCCCTTCATATATGACCCCAATAGTGTAACTTTCAGGCAAAGCCATCAAATTCAAGCTCTCCTACATTGTAATTTAACATATGTGTTACAAAAAAGCATTACCGTCTACAAAAACCCTAAATACATTATCATTATACACAAAAGAACTCATAACGATGCTTAAGAATTTCAATATACCAAAAATCATCATCATAAACATCCTCAACAATATTGATTTTCAATTTTTTTCAAGCAAAAACTGAAGTGGGTCTCAGTTACTGGTATTTACCTCAAAACAAAGCTTCAAGATTGTGATTCCACACAAATGAAGCACTGCATGCTACGACCACTCATTTCGTTTCGTCAACAAACATCATTTTCTTCAAAAATTCTTCAACACTTACACTGGAGATGAAGACGTTTTTTTGCGTGAGAGAGCAATCGTTGGGAGAATAGCAGTCTGACTTTTCATTTCCCTCACTTGGAAGGTCATATTGGTCCACGTCAGCGAGGGAGGGGTATTTTAGTATTTTTGTCTTCAATTAACGGCAAAACACCAACTTTTCAGACGAAAAGACCTTTTAATTAGACGGAGTAAAATGTCGGGGACTAATTATATATTACATTAAACGCCGGAGATTACTTAGATAATTATGTAAAACCTGAGGGACTAAATAATAATTTTCCCTTTATTTATTAAATGATCTTCTTTAATCTTTAACGCATTTCGCTGTGTGGGCCTGTCTGTCTCTCATATAATTTGGACGGCACTTGATGAATTTTCATATTATTATATTTCTCTCAATGGAGTTCAATACTATTATAATTATTGTCACATTGTTTACTAATCCTCGTTAATGTAAAAAAAAAAAAATTGCAAGTCTGTATTTGATTTACTTAAAAAAATTCAAATTGATTTTTCTCTCTGGTGTTTAAAATAAATAAATATCTACTTCGAATAGTACTAAAATTATCATTAATTAGATCGACTATTAATTTATTCAGTGGGATGATATACTAAACCCCTTAAACAATATCCAGAGTTCGAATCAAAATATTTTGAACGGAAAAAACCCTCTTTAGATGATTTGCCAACATATGTATATTTACATTTGAATAATAAGACAGGACTACAGTAAACTTCTTGAACTTTATAAAAAAAGTTCGAAGTTTAGTTTCATGAAATTTACAACAGTAGATTTTTGGTTTATATTTATTTTTTATTTTTTTTTATATGATATTGATTTTCCATGGGCCAAGGAGACTTCAATATGCTTTACAATATTTCTCTTTTTAATACTTTCCATTGTTAATATGTACTGGTTAATAATGTCTTCTAGCAAATCACCTTCTTCCCTCCTAATTGTCTTTAATGAATTCTTACTTCGAGCTTTAATAAGCATTTACATTTCCCATAAACATACACATCAAATTTCTGTTGGAAGTTTATTCTGTGTCCAAGCAGCATATCCACCTGCAATGTCGGTCACACCTGTATAACCCTGGAAAAGAGAATTGGAAATTCAATTAAATAATTAATTTTGTGCTTAATTAAATGAAAATCAAACCAAGGTCAAGAGTTGAAGCTTAATCAGAATATGTACTCACCGCAGCTACAAGATCAGTTGCAGCCATCATAGACCTTTTCCCCAGTTGACAGCCCTGTAATTAAATGATTGAATTTACTCATTAAACCAGGAGAAAATAAAATAATTATACTAGTTTGAACTACAGAGCAGTGAAGAACAACAAGACTTTAAAATAAATATACAAAAAAAAACGACTTTAGATCAAGAGACTTACAACAAGAATTTCATCATATTTTCCAAAATGTTGAGATACTTGCTCAAGAAATTTGGGATTTTTTGACATTCCTACATTGAGAAATAAAACATAAATTGACAGAAACTTAATAAGCTGCCTTAAAGGAAAATAAGAGACAATTGCCAAATTGCACATATATAGTTATAGGGAAATGGGGAAGGGAAACACAATCACCATTCACCCAATCGAATATATGCGATTCATTGAAAGTGAAAATAAAGTGGACTCCACGAACCTACCACACCCACACAATTACTAACAAGTTGAGAATTCAATGGACCTAAATAAATGCTAGTGCAAAATCCCAAAATAAAGTCTTTTTTGGGGTCATGGTCATCCTTAATAATAATGCATTTAAAGAAGTGACCAAATTTTAAAGCTTCAAGCTTTTTTCTTTTTGGTACATAAGGAAGAAGCTCAAAGGAGCTTAAGGACAAAAGTAAGGTAAAGGGGGCTGGGAAACAAGAAGAAAGTCCTTTCCCTATTTGTATTGTAAGAAGAGAAAAAAGCTTGGGTATAAAATCCTATTGATATCATGAAGAAGTCAATGATCCAAACAAGGGAAATGATGAAGAACATGAACTCCTAGAGGGAAAGCTTCAAGCTTTATTACAACCCAAAATTACTAATTGCTCTATTGCCTAAAAAAAAGGGAAAATCCAATAGAGAACATAAGTCTCATACAAGATAAATGAGCAAGACCGACAAAATAAGACTTGAAACTCTGCTTCTTATGGAATAAATCCAAAAGAGATTTTCATAAAAAAATTCAATAAAGCTTAACAATTTCATATATATAAAAATTTAAAATACAATTAAATTGCCTAATAGTTTCAAAAATATTAGAACCTGATCCAACTTTGTACATATATGGAATATTAATAGCCCCCACCACATGTCCAGCACTGAACTCTTCAGGAGTCCTACAATGTTAGCATAAAAATAAGAATAGTAAGTTCTTTTCTTTCTTTCCTACAAGCAAATATAGCTTTTGCTTCCAAAATCAAAAGAAGAAAAAGCATCAAAATCAAATACCTAACATCCAAATATCTGTGTCCAGCTAGAAGAAGTTCATGTGCAACTCGTACTGGTACAGAAGTTGGAACTTCCAAATTACCTCTCAGACTAGCCATTGTTGGGCTTGAAAGAAAGAAATACCATAAATTAAAAAAGAATAACTAATGACTGAAAATTCCCTTTAAATAAAATCCTTAATTATTAATTTCATCTTCTTTACCGTACCGGAATCTGAAACTTCTCTGATTAACTCCAATGCTCCATCGCTTTGGATTAATTGCTAACGGCAAAAGCAATAGCTTTCTATAAGTAAAAGCACAAGTAGTTAGCCTTAAAAAGATAAAAAAACTAAAAAACAGAGTGCCCAGAAAATAAAACACAGAGAGAAACAGTGTATACCAAGAAAGAAAATAAAACACCGATCTACTACGTTATTAAGGTAGTCAATCCTCATTTCTAATTGTTATTGTTTGGACCTCCAACAGCTAACAGATATCCTATATTTGACTACTTACTGCTAGCTGTTGACAAGATAAACCAAATAGATTCTGAAACAAAGGAAAAACAGAGCACCCAGGAAACTGAAACAGAGAGAAACAGAGAAGAAGAGAAAGACAGACCTTTTATTTATATCATTAGCACGAAAAGCTGGAGTAAGTGAAGAGCTAGTGAAAATAGCAGAGGAAACAACTGATTTGGCTTCCATTTTGGTTTGTGGGTATTAATAAATGGGTTTCTCTCAAAGGTTTCTGGAGTCTAAATGAGGGATTTTTGGTGGATATATATGGAGAAGAGGATGGTTATGGAGGTTAAGGTGGATGAGTGGCTTAAGTAATCAGGAAGTAGCATGGCTGCCACGTCAACTGTTGCTGTTCCTTAATAATTTCATATAAATCCAACTGGAATCAATAGATGACACGTTGGCTGGCACACAAATATTTGCATTGGATAAGGTTGTACTTGCCTCTTCTCCGCCTAATTGAGATTTCTCTTATGTTTGCCATATCAATAATTCTTGTCTTATATACCTTGTTCATCGGTTTTAAATTATTATCTTGAATCTTTTTTAAGAATGAATAATGTTTAAATCTTATTATTTTAGTTTTATTTAATATATTTTTTTGTCAGTAAATATAATAGTCATACTGCTTTATTATCGTTATTAAATCTTCATATAAATAATAATCTGTCAATAAAATTATATTTAATCAAATATTTGATTAATTTTGAAAAATAATTTAATACGAATCATTTAATTTTGATAAATACTAATGTAAGAGTATATTAATGAAGGAAAAATTATAACTTAATATATTAACTAAATTTTCTTCATCTCTAAATAATTCAAATCAAGACGCAAATTATTAGACCTTTTTGTAAAAATTATAACTTAATATATTAACTAAATTTCTTCATCTCTAAATAATTCAAATCAGGACGCAAATTATTAGAAGCCTTTTGTGATATATATATATATATATATATATATTATATATATATATATATTATAATATATATATATATATATTGTGATGATATATATGTGATTCGTGTAATTATGTGTCCCATACAATGGATAAATGGATTTTTTTTTCATTTATTTTAAAATATAATAATATTTATTTTTTAAAAGATAATTTAATTTAATTTTTTAATATATCTCTATTTAATATATATTATATTCTCACTTTTGTATATTACAATCATTAATAGAGGAACATTTTGGAAAAGAATTAAAAAAAAATAGTCGAATTATATTAATTATTTTTTTTTATTTTCATAAAGGTCAATAAGCCTTCCAGGTTCATCGTAGCCTTGCCTAACTAACTAATAATAGTTGGGCAAGGTTATAACCGAATCGAATAATAGTTATATTTAATAATTTATTTTTATAACTAACTAAAAATTAAAGTTGTGTAATCATGTGCTGAGTTTTCAAACCCCAACCACGAATCAAAAACTAAAATTTTTTTCTTTAGACAACAAAAATTGAATATATGAAATCAAATAAGTTCAGTTTCATTGATTCAGTTTGATTTTTTAATAAAATTAATTTATTTTTGTAACCGAATCTAAAATTAAAATTACCCAAAATTAGAAATCAATAATAATACTAAACCGATTAGTATTCGGTTGGGTTTTTCAAAGTGATCCGATTTGCACTCACCTCTATTAATAAAATAACAATTATCCGTTGAAGCACATTTGTCAATACCCGTCGGTTTCTTTACACGTGGCGTATCAGACCGTTAAAGGGTCAACAAACCTGTGGTGATGGTAGCCAAAATCCAAAAATCTTCTTGGTTTTGTATAAAGAAAAGACTTGCTGTCGAATAGAATGCATCCAAATCAAAATCTCCTTGCTAATTGCTTTGGCTATTGTCTTGGTGCTCCTCTCTTTAATTCTGGTTCACAAATTGCAGATTTGATAATTATTTCACAAATATACGCATTATTTAGTAATTGAAAATTAAAAAAGATTAACAAAAATTAAAAAATATCAAATTATTAACAAAGGAAGGTATGCCAAAAGGCAAACTAATGACTGAAATGAAAGAAAATATTTCATTTTCTCGTGGTTAATTAAAAACAGTAATAATTTAAGTAACAAAAATTGTTTTCGTATTTATAAATAGAAAATATTTAAACTGAGGATTGTAGAGCTTTACCCCGAAGGGAGCCCTTCCAGAAATTCTCTACGGCCTAAGTCAAGCCTAGGCCGAAGAGGGGGTTTGGAAATAGTTTTCAACCAGCAATAGACGCGCCTCGGTTAGAACCTCACTAGCTGCGTCATTGCCCCAAGCGCAAAGATGCTCTTCGATCTAGTTGAGCCTATCTTATATACTGCTTTGTCCTTAGCCAAACAGCTTTTGCTGCCGATGTGGGATTTTGGGCTTTCAGTTGCTCTTGCCTACCTTCTGTAACAAAAAGTCACAGAAATACCAAAACGCTTTGTTTGCAGCTAAATTCTCTCTCTTTTTTTTTTTTTTAACTATTTCAGCTAAAAGTTTTTAAATGCAAATAACCTCCAACCAAAACAAAAAAAAAAAAAAAAAAAAAAAAAAAAAAAGAAAAAAGGAAAAAAAGCAAACTTGTTGATTAATATTTTGAAATTTAAAAAAAAAAAAAAAAAAAAAAGAAAAAAGAAAAAAGCAAACTTGTTGATTAATATTTGAAATTTTTGATTGTCGTCAAAATTTTATCAAAATGCTACCAAATAAAATGTGGAATTTAAATGTAAATGAATTTTTTTATTAGGTTAAAGCTTGAATTTTAAACTTCATGTTTGAAATGAAATAAAAAGTTGAATTTCTCTATAACACCCATGAAGTAATGAATTATTACGAAATATATATAAAATATTATATTTATGTTAGGCTAAATGCATAAATATAGCATTATGTTTCAAAAAAGTTGTGCTACCCGCAATTTATAAAATAACAGTTATTAAATTTTAATTTACAAAATTTTTATATTAAACTTCCATTTTGTAAAACTGATGAATACATGATTGTTAAATAGTTAAAAATATGAAAATCATTAAAATAAAAGTTGCATAGATACACATTAAATTAATATTTTGTATGTATAAAGTAAAAAACACTGAAAATTTATTGTCCCAAGTGCAATGAAGCGTGCAATTTTACGAAAATCATAATTTTAGAGGGCTCCCTTATAAAAGTTATGAATTTAGCCATTATGTTATTTATATCAATAATAATATTTAAAAACATATAAAAAACCTAATTTAGAAGAGAGGGAAAAAGACATGAAAAGATAGAAAAATTAGAAAGAGAAGGTATTTTAAAGAAAGAATCATTTATTTTTTCAACAATAATATTAAAAATATTTTTGTCTATCTTAAACCGAATAAGGGTATCATTACCAACCCCAATATCCATTTCTCTATTATATATAATAAAATACATATAAAATTTTTTTTTTGTCTCATAAACACAACAGACTCATAAATTTTAGAGATGGCCCATGAAACCATTTAGGCCCCGTGCGTACAGACAATTTGAACTGGTGTTGGTGGTGTGCGCCAGGCCCGTGCAGCGGTGCAACGCATGGGCGACGCTTGAGAGCCCCAGTAGCAAGCTACTGAGTTGGGCCCTCCCCCTAAAAAAATTAATTTAATATCATGTGAGCCAATGGCCCACGTATCAGATATTAAACTGATAAGAACAGATACTACACTTGATCTTAGCCAAAAGGCCGAGAAAGGTATGCTTTGCTTGTTCTCTCAAACACCATTTTATACAGCTTTCTAGCTCCAAGCATCTCTTCTATTTCCGATGTGGGATATTGTTTATAAATTCTCATCTCTCGACCTAAGCCTTGACAGCGAGATGAGAGCTGTATGAATGGGTTTCTTTCAAATTTTGGAGTATTTATGAGAGATGAGATCTAAATTTAATTTTTTTTTAAACAAAATTTAAAAAAGGAACACAATTTTAAGCAACATTCTTCAAAGATAATTACAAAAAGGTGCATGTTTATCCTATTTTTTAAATTAACTACGTTTGACAATAAAAAAAAATAAAAGGAAAAAAAGAAAAGAAATTGCAAAAGATAATTGAGAAAAAGAAAAAAGAAAGTGAATGTTGTTTTCTCCCCTTTAAAAAGTGATTTTTTTTTCTTTTTTTTGGTTTTTCCTAGTAAGTTCTTGATGATGTGGCTAACTTTATGATAATTTTTTTTTAATATCTATTTTTCAATTTAGCTACTATTGTTGTATAATAACTCTCTTTTTTATTTTCTTTATACAAAGCTTGAAGAAAAAAATAATTAAACGTTTTCATAAAAAATTATTTGAAGGAATATTTTTCTTAATTTCTTTAATGGAATAATCCGAAAGAAAATCAAATGAACCGATTTTATAAATCATATATTTATATTTTGTATCAGAATAGATGGATCGTACCGTTGATTTTCTGTTTGAGAAATATTCATTTCTTGGCTATTTTCATTATTATCTAACAAACAATTAACTTAAAAAAAAAATTAAGATTATTAGTATTTAAAGATTTATTTCTATGAAAAATTCAATAATTTAATCATTATTTATATTAATAATCACTAATCAAACACAACTAACCACGGACTATTACGGTTGATCAACGGTTTAATCGGCTGATCAACAATAATTTAGCAATCTGAAATTGCAATTTTTAATAAATTAATTTTGTAAATATTATTTTTTATTCTAATAATCTTGTTTATTTTTTCTAAATTTATAAAGCTTTTTATATTTTTTTTTTTTTTTTAATTTATAAAGCTTTTTATATTTTTTTTTTTTTTTTTTGAACTTTTTGAAGGAGGAAGATGCAATCTTTCATGTCCGTGTGAACAACAAAAACTTCCTAATTCTTTTATCCTTGTTCATTTTTCTTGTAATTCAAGATCTATAGAGGTGGTTATATATTTAACCAAAAAATGAAACATTTTTCATTTATCATTCTTTTTTATATTTAAATTAAAATGAACTACACAATGGCAGATAGTTCTTTTCTTTTTTATAAACTTTAAAATTTTAAAAATCCTCTAAGACTTAATTTTATAACATTTCATATAAAATGATATATTTTACAATAGTTCGAGAAGATAACAGAAGACAAAAAAGAATTAACTTCATGTGTACTTATAAATAGAAAACGTTTAATAAACTGAGGATTGTAGAGCTTTACCCCGAAGGGAGCCCTTCCAGAAATTCTCTACGGCCTAAGTCAAGCCTAGGCCGAAGAGGGGGTTTGGAAATAGTTTTCAACCAGCAATAGACGCGCCTCGGTTAGAACCTCACAAGCTGCGTCATTGCCCCAAGCGCAAAGATACTGCTCCTTTGGTTGAAGCTTCTATTATATAGTTCTTCGCCCTTAGCTAAACTGGTTCTGTTTCCGATGTGGGCTTTGGGCCTCATCACAAAAACGCTACGTTTGAAACTAAAATCAAATGTTGTTTAAGTTAATAGCATAAAATGCTAATCCTTTTTTTTTTTTTAGGATTTTCCTTCTTGTTTAAGTTAATAGCCTAAAATGTCAAATATTTGATAGAGAAAATAAAAAAAAAACTCTTTTATTATTTAAAGTAATAAAGTAAAACTGATATGATAAAAATATATGATGTACCATTGAATTCATGAACTTGTTCATGTAATTATGAATCATGTATGCATGTTGAACCTTATTATTTTCAATAATCGATTTTTAAATTCTAAATTTGAAATAAAAATGAGTTTAATTAGATTTGAAATAATTTTGTACTTAAAATTATTTAAAATTTATTACTTCCAAGTCTTTTGATTTTTAATAAATTCATTTAAATTTAACACTTCAGAAATTCAAGCAAAGTTCAACTGGCATTGGTGGGGTGCGCCAGGCCCGTGCAGCAGTGCAACGCATGGGCGACGCTTGAGAGCCCCAGTAGCAAGCTACTGTGGTGGACCCTCCCCCGAAAAAAATTAATTTAATATCATGTGGATCAATGATCCCCGTATCAGATATTAAACTGATAAGAACAGATACTACACTTGATCTTAGCCAAAAGGCCGAGAAAGGTATGCTTTTGTTCTTGCCACGAAATTATTTTTATTGTGTGCTCATAGCTCTTCTCTCCTCCTCAATTGTCGATGTGGGAACTACGTTTAAAGCATATCTCTTTGCTAAGAGCGTCCAAGTCAAATGTGACGGCTCCAAATGTATAATTAAGGCTATAAGGCATATTTTTTTATTAATATTTGTTTTATGAATTTTTTAGAAATTATAAAATATCAAACTTAAGCCGAATTGATTGTTGGATTGGCTATTATTTCAAATAAGACCATTTTCATATATTTTTCACTCTTGAATGAAGGAAACTAAAAGCAATTACATAGGACAAAACTATTGAATTTATACCAAATTTTGAGACAAAAAAACTATGAGACAATTTTCTACTTCCACTGGTAACAATTTCAGTTTTACTGAGATGGAGCTTGTTCAACACATTTGAGTGATTGAGTATATTCAATCTTTACTAAAAATAATTCTAACTTTTTTTCAAAAAAAAAAAAAGAAAAAAAAAAAACCCATATTCAATTTGTACATGAACCTCAATTTTAGTCAGTTACACCTAACTTTGTTGCATTGGTCCGTGGGCTTTATGATTTGGGCCTTTTGATTTAGTTAACCGGGCACAAACGAAACTTAATCATCGGCCACATGTTTCTCCGGTGAACAATGGCCAGCTTCATCAACGTCTCTTCTCCGCCGTTGCTGTTGCGAGCTTCAGCAGTTCCTTCTTTATCTCCTCCTTCCCTTAAACCGATAACCCAATTCAAGGTTTTCTCTCAACAAACATTTACTTTCACTCCATAATTTCATTATTTCTTCTCACTCGCTATATTTTCATGTTTCTATGGTTTCTTGTGTAAGGGATTGTGTTGGCGCTGGAGATTGAAGTGCACAAGTAAAGAAGATGCAGAACCAGAATTTGAAACGGCGAAGCCTGCTTCATCTTTCCCTCTTTCAAGCGTTTCTACATACAATTGGTGTGCAGCTCTTGGAGGTATCGGGTTTCTCGAAACTGCATACTTGACTTACCTTAAACTTACCGATTCAGATGCCTTTTGTCCTGTTGGTGGCGGCAGCTGTGGCGATGTGCTGAACAGTGATTACGCTGTCGTTTTCGGTACTTGTCCTTTACAAGCTTCATATATATGGGTTCTATCCAGTAAATCATAAATCTTTAGATATGAAATGTTTCAATTATTGTCGTTTTGATATTTGATAGGCATTCCTCTTCCGGCCATTGGAATGGTTGCATATGGTCTAGTTGCAGCACTTGGGTTTCAGTTGCCTGTAAAGAACTTACCTTTTGGAATTGGAGAGTCTAATGGTCGCTTGATTTTACTTGCAAGCACCACTTCCATGGCAGCTGCTAGTGCATATTTTTTGTACATTCTTAGCTCAAAATTTTCTGGAGCTTCTTGCTCATACTGCCTCTTGTCAGCTTTCTTGTCATTCAGCTTATTTTTCATCACTCTAAAGGTATGCCTTCTTTTTTCACATTCTCTTAATTAAGTATTTGTTAGTGGCTATTTGTATAATTGGGTTCATTAAACTGATAATTTTCTTCTTTTATAGGATTTTGGGTTGCAAGAGATCCAAAAAGTATTGGGTTTGCAGTTATGTATAGTAAGTTTGGTCCTTTTTGCTTTGAACACGTCATATGGTACTTCTCCACCTGTCTCCTCAAGGTGATTTAAAGTTTTTGCGTAGATAATGACATCTTCATTTCATTTACTTAAGCAATTGAGCTTGTTCTACAAATATTTTTCCCCTCTTTATAAAACTCCGGCTTTATATGTGTTCTTTTGTCCATGTGATTTAGTCAGAAACTTGCTGAGAATAGTTGTTGTTGTTAGAATAGTTGCCTGATCATTTTTTTATTCATTTCTATATAAGCAGCCTGGCCGAAATCGAGCTACCATATTTTACCTCTGAGATAACCACATCGTCAAGTCCTTTTGCTGTTTCTCTTGCAAGGCATCTACACTCTATAGGAGCTAAAATGTATGGGGCTTTCTGGTGTTCTCATTGCTTAGAACAAAAACAGGTACTAATTGTTTTGAATTAATAAGGTACTATTAATCTGAAATCAGGAAGTTGTAATTTAATGTACGTCAGTTTTTGTTTGCTAGTCTGTTTAACTTATCTACTAGCTTATCATAGTAATTAAAATGTTGGAATGAAGATAAGGACCTTAGAAAAATTAGTATTATTGATGATAGTTGCTTATGATCGTTTCAAATCCATAAAGAACAAATGGAACTCATTATTGAGATTAACGACTGGTTATTTTAGGGAGGCTTAGAGAGGGAAGCGGGCTATAGCTGATTTTAGAATTCTGCGTGAATTATTAACATGGCTCAATACTTTTGCCCATAAAACTCATTTTCAGTTCTTGAACAGACCACAGTAACTTGTATATTATAGTTGGGTATTTACCAAATGCAACTCATTGAAGTTCGTTGAAAGAGGCCAATCATGGTTAGTAATAAGAATTATCCCTAGTTGGAGACCTCTCATTCTTATTCCACTGGATAGGAAATTCTTGGCCTTACCATCATGCCTAACCATTGTTCTTACATTATCTACTTTGTGTTACTAATATAGATGTTTGGAAAGGAAGCATCAGGAATACTGGACTACGAGGAATGCTTTCCTGATGGATATAGAAAAGGAACTAAAATAGCCAAGGCATGTGCAGATGCTAAAATTGAGGGATTCCCAACTTGGGTGATTAACGGTGAGGTAAGGAAACTTGTATTCTGTTGAACCTCTTTTTTCTTCATTACAAGTGGCATCATCTAAAGGTGCCTTTCATTACTAGTTTCCCTGTGAATGCTTGAATCTTAGGTTTTATGTTGTCAATGCCAGGCAGCACAGATAGGTTTAGTGCCATTTTTATAAAATCCTATTCTAGTAAACATATATAAGATCCAAGGAATACATTTTAATGGATTAGGTTAGATCTCTTTGTAACATAGATATCTTTTTGCATTAACTTCTCTATGAAGTTGCCAATCTGCCATGCTGGAGGTGCTGTGTCTTCTTCTTCTCTTCCATCTTCCCCCTACAAAGCGCGTTGAAGGCATTCTTATTGTAGCTTGGCATGATTTCTTGCAGGTTTTGAGTGGAGAGAAAGAACTGTCGGAGCTTGCACAGCTTTCTGGGTTTGAATTTAATGAACTGAGTCAACCCAGTTAGAGTAATACATTATAATAGCCTTTGCACATGTACAGTTTTATAGATGAACTTGTAGTCTTCAAAACTGCCGAATTGTTCATAATCTTTAAAAGTTGAGTGCTCAATATACTGGCTTTGTTCTTTGGTGGGTGGCTTGGCAAATTAGTATACCTTTAAACTATGTACACAAATAAATTTGTTCTAGGAAGAGCAATAATTTCAATTGTTCAATTTGAATCCTATATGGACAAGATGCTCTTCTATTCTTTGTTTTGTTCTCTTCCAACAATGTGTTAGTACATCTGTGTACAAGTTTCCAGGGTTTTCAATGCATGTTTTCAGCTAGATGTTGAATTGCTTCTAGACGAGTACATTGAAATATTTTTAGGCTCCTCCAAATAACTTATTAACTTATAATTAGAGAAGACATACATGGCGGGTGACGGTGGTGGCCCTTGACCGATGGCTATTAATGATTCATAGATTAATAAACAGGTATTTATAATGTTATAATAAATTTGTTAACATTTGGAAAATATTTCTCTCATAAAAATAGGAAGTTATTTTTCTTCAAAATGACTTAATTCTCCCTTTGTTCCGAAAAATATATTCCATTAACTGATTTTTTTTAATACTTGAAATTTTGAAAACTTTAAAAATAATTTTTCGGATAATTAAATTTCCAGAAACAAATGGAAGCTTATTATTCAAATTCATTAACGTTGTTCAACTTCATAGCCTTTCTACAAGTGTTCGACTTTATGGTGGTCTTTCTACATGTGTTCGATTCCATAGTCTTTCTATAAATTCGATTTAATCACCTTCAAATTTCTTCATTCTAGTGAGAAAATCTGCGATAAAATCATCACAATGATGATAATAAAACTCAGAACTAAATTTAAGAACAAAATTTAGATATGGATAACAATAAATCTCAATATTTTGGCAATAATAACTTAGATTATTTGAAAAAACAAACAAGAAAAGAGAAAGGGGTGACCACCGGTGAGAGTTCACCGGTGGCCACTCATAAAAAGAGAAAAAAGAGCTTTTAGGTTTTGAAAAAAAAGAGAGAATGCAAAGGCATCCTTCAAACTAATTTGTCCCGTAATTTATTAAATTTGTTACCAATAAACATTATATAAGAAAGCAACAACATTTTTTTAGATAACTTATAAGAAGGAAACACATAGATATAATAAAGACAGAATTAGCACTATTTTTACATAGACAATTTTAATCTTCTTTGTGATTAATTCTTGCAGTGACCGATAGTAATTCACTGTATATGCATCAAACCATCGTTGATGAAGACATTTGATATTTGGAAATGGATTGTGCATCAAATCATTGTTGTTGAAATTTGAAATTTCAATGGTAGGCTGTATATAAGCTTTTGATAAAAATAATGCTCTTCAGAAAACTATTTTTCAATCAATGCTATTTCAAAATTATTTACCAATTTAATGTTTGTCCTGACATGGAGAGAGGGTGTTGCACTAAAACCACTAATTGAATTGGTGGTTTCGGTGCATTAGAAAATGTAACCCGTACTGACAAACAGTCAGCAAAAAGTAATTATATGAATAAACAATAATTTTTATTTTGTATTAAGACCATCAATTCAATATGTGGTTTCAATACAAGATGAGAATTTTAAGTTGTCAATTCGACTTTTCACTAAAACACATAATTCGTTTGGTGATTTTAGTGCAACTATGGGATGTGACCACTAGTCAGTAAAAAGTACATGGAAAAATAGTGTTTTGTTAAGAGTCTACCAGATTAATTAGTGATTTCAATAAAAAATAATTGTCCACTCAAAATATTTTTTCGTCAAAATGCACGTATGATCTAGTGGTTTTTTGTGGTTGTTGTGGGCTAAAACCTGTTGCTCGGGTACCATCATATCTCAAAGAAATGATTAAATGAGTGCCTAGCATGAGATGTAGATCCATCACAAGTGCTAAAAGACACCGCAGAAGTATTAAAAGCAGGTACTATATATTAAAATGGCATTGCCTCGTTATTTTGGAAAAATAAGTATAGGTTTGCTGGGTTGCCATCATCGGAGTGTAATGAATGTTCAATGGCATTTCTTATGTTGTAGACGGTACACTCCACTTAGATTGTGGTGCAAAAGATGATGTGCTGGGCACATTAGTGCGATGTAGGGGCAGGTTAAAGCATTGGGTGACTTTCAGTGCGAATTTGCTTATTCATTGCACCGAATAGGCTAAATAATCTTCGACGGAATGATGAATTCTACGTGTTGGTGATGTTGAACTGTGATATATATGTTGAAGTCCATCTGTCTGTATTAAAAAATATTATGGAAATAAGAGCAAAATTTTTTATTCAATTAGATTAAGAAATTATAAGATAAGATAAAAAGATATCGAATAATTACCACAGTTTCAACTTCTACACCTCGAAATGAAATCCAATCGAACTAGGCTAAATAATGCTTCGACGGAATGATGAATTCTACGTGTTGGTGATGTTGACTGTGAATATAGTATGTTGAAGTCCATCTGTCTGTATTAAAAATATTATGGAAATAAGAGCAGTAAATTTTTTTATTCATTAGATTAAGAATATTATAAGATATAGATAAAAAGATAATCGAATAATTACCGCACAGTTTCAACTTCTTCTACACCTTTCGGAAATGCTACACCTCGAAATGAAATCCAATGTCTATTTCGTTGCACATATCAAATGTATTGCACCAAAACCACTAGATTATATGTGTGTTTTGATGAAAACATATTTTGAGTGAATAAATATTTTTTTTATTGAAACCATTAATTAATCTGGTGACCTCTTAATAAAATATTATTTTTTCATGGACTTTTTGCTGACTAATGGTCACATTCCATAGTTGCACTAAAACTACCAAACAAATTACGCGTTTTAGTAAAAAAGGCAAATTAACAACTTAAAATTTTCATTTTGTATTGAAACCATCAATTGGATTGATGGCATCGATACAAAATAAAAACTATTGTTTATTTATATAATTACTTTTTGCTGACTGCTTGTCACGCCCGACTCTAATCATTAGAGGAATTGTCCGCTTTGGATCAAGCCGAATCCCCATACAAGATTGGGGGATCCGCATGGTTTTTTTTCTTGTAGATGAAATGGGAAACCTCCCAAGAGGTCACTTATCTTAGGATTTCCGTTAAGTGAGCATGCTTAACCCTGGAGTTCTTCCAACTCTCCAGCCATTCCACCAAAAGACGTCTCTAATAATTAGTTTCCCCCTTTTCGATTCATTCATGTGTCTCGCATTCCACTTTGAATTTCAATTCATGTGTCTCGATTTCCACTAACCTCTAATCTAGCTAGCCCCTAGCTAGCCTGCCATCCTAGAAGCTAGCTAGGAGCTTCGCTCTACCCACTTTTTTAGGATCGCTTTGCCGAGTCGGGATGTCACACTATTTGTCAGTACAAGTTACTTTTTCTATTGCGTTAAAACCACCAACTTAATTTGTGATTTTAGTACAACACTCTCTCTCTGTGCCAGGTCAAACATTAGATTGGTAAATAGTTTTGAAATGGCTTTAGATTGGAAAATAATTTTCCGAAGAGTATTATTTTTGTCAAAAGCCCGCTTTATATGCTAACAAGAGAATATTGTATCAATTTAGGAATACTTAGCTAAATTTCAAATGAAATATTATTTAAAATGAATTGTACTTTTATATGCGATTCCGCAGGTTTTCTCATTGATGTGCAAAATGAATTTTAAGTTTAAATCCTTTGAAAATAAGAATTTTTATTAATGTTATTCTTAGCATATCGAGTTTTTCAATGAATATTCTTTTTTGCCTCATAAATTTGAATTTACATACTTTTCCTTTTTTATATATGTTAAATTAGTAATTTATTTTTCTTTTTGAAAAAATAATAATTTTATTTGTATATACTTACACTGAATGTGCATTTCTATTAACAAATCATTTATGAGTTATAATTATAGTAATTAAATTAATAAAGGAATATATTAAGAAAAGAGTAAAAGCTGTTCTGAAGTACTGGAATGTGGCATTCATGAATTTTGTAAATTCGGTTGAATGTATAAAATTCATAGATTGTGAAATCGACGAAATACATTTTATTTTATGGTTACAAAGAAAAAAAAAAGTAAAATTCATGAATTTGAAAGATATTTTCGAATAAAATCAAATGATTTAAATTTAGTTCGATCAAAAGCGAAAAGAGAGCTAGATCAAGCAATCATTTCACTCAATTAAATTAATAATAAAAAACTTTTTTATAACGATGAAGTTGGAGTTATAATAATAAAATTAAAAATCTAAGTATTCTACATATTATTTACAATTTTACATAATGCTTCAAAGCATCACCAACTTTTTTTTTTTATTGAGAAAAGCAATTAGAAAAACAAAATCGTGAGTGTAATATATGAAATTTCCAGCTAACTCCAAACATAAATTTCTTGTCATTTAAACTGATCTATAAAATACTAAATATAAAAATCAGATAATTTGTTTACCATAGTTGTATACCAAATAATTTTAAAAAAAAAATCAAAAAAAAAAAAAGATAGAAAATGGACGGTTGAGATCTTGCAATCAACAAACCTCCAAAACGGATCAAAACGAAACCCAAAGTAGGTTAAGAACATGAAAAGGACCTAAAAGGAAGCGAAGCACACCGAGTCTGGACCAAAAAGGAAGATTCCTTAGAATATCCTTTTAAACGTAACTTCCTCCAATTGATATTTCTTAACCCCAATCCCATAAATACGCTTGTCCTCCTCTTTATTAATTCCTTCTCCTCACCTTCCCTTTCCCTCTCTCTCTCTCTCTCTCTCAATCTTCACTTTCTGTTTTAACTTGCCCTTTCTGTCTCCTCCGTCAACTTTATCCAAGCAATTGAAAAATTAGAAATCAAAAACCTAAAATGGAAAGGAAGCTGTGCACTCACATTTCTCAGATTGAGCAACAACAACTAATTGACAAGCTCGACATCTTTAAGATCCATGGAAAAGACAGACATGGCCGCAAGATCCTTCGCTTTATAGGCAAATCTTTCCCTGGTTAGTATTTCGCTTTTGTATTTTTGAAATTTTGCTAATTCTGTTCACGATTCTGATTTTTCTGATTATTATTATTAGCTCGGTTTCTGAATGTGGATTTGGTTAAGAGCTACTTGAAAGAGAAGATCTATCCTCAGTTGGAGAAGGAGCCGTTTTCAGTGTTATACGTGCATACCGGAGTTCAAAGGAGCGAGAATTTTCCCGGAATCTCAGCCTTACGATCTATCTACGATGCGATACCGATCAACGTCAAGGATAATCTCCACGCTGTTTACTTTCTTCATCCAGGGTTACAATCCAGGCTTTTCCTTGCCACCTTCGGCCGTTTTCTTTTTAGCGGCGGGTAAAGGCGCATTTTAATATTTGAATATATTCTATAACTAACTTGAGCCTCGAGATTAGTTTTTTATTTTTAACTTAAAGGGGTAGTGGTGGGATTGTGTGTGGCAGGTTGTATGGGAAGCTGAGATATATCAACAGGATTGATTATTTGTGGGACCATGTAAGGAGAAATGAAGTTGAAATTCCAGAATTTGTTCATGATCATGATGAGGACTTGGAGTACCGTCCGATGATGGATTATGGATTGGAGAGTGATCATCCAAGGGTGTACGGTGCAGCGCCCACAATGGATTCCCCTGTGTCTATGTACTCTATGAGGTGTATCTCGTGAATTAAAAAAGACGAAAAAGATAAAAAGAAAAGGTGCTTGCATCTTTATTTTATGTATATATAGAACTAAGATTTGGACGAGAGAGCGATCAGCAAAATGTTTTTTTTTTTTTTTTTTTTTTTTTTTTTTTGTTTTTTTTTTTTTTTTTTTTTTTTTTCAATTTAGTTAGTTATGAGGTGAACTGTAATGTTTTTGTTTTCATTATAATATTAGTAAAAGATTATTAGTATTAGTATATTGCATTTCTCTCTTTCTTTTTTAAAATATAAATTCGTCAAATTATTTAGTCTTTCTTCATCTAAAAGGTGTCACCCTTTCCTCTTAAAAATGTATCAGAGAATTCATTGAGGAAGATAAGAAGTGGGAAGTCTTTATTAAGGAGAGATGAGAGGGTCTGGTCGAGGAGAGACGGGAGGGGGTGACTGACCGCCGTCCATTTGTGGAGGCGAGCACTGTCAAGTCGTTGATTGGAGACTCTTGGTTGGGAAAAAGTGGCTTCAGTGTGTTTTCAATACGGTGCGTTTTGGACACAAAAGTTAGGAGTGGGTTAATTTCACCCTTGTGTCAGATTGAATTACAATATAGCAATTGCTGTTTCTGATTTTCGGTTCGAATGTGAAAAATGATTAAACCGAATCCACCAAATTAAACTTGCTCGATTCAATTTAATTTAATTTTAATTCTTCCGAAAAATGCAATTCCATTTTATTTTATCGGTTCAATTTCAATCAAATTGATTTTGAATTCAAATTAAATGCTCTGTTTGTTTTCGTCAAATAACTTATAGTAAGTGATAATTTATAGGAAAATCACTTATTGAAAATTTTCTTTGAATAATACTTTTCAAATGATTTATTTTCCATTTTTGATTGTAATGTTAAAAATTATCAAAAATATTAAAGCTTATCTCATACGACCATAAAAAATGTTAACAATAGAAATTTTAAAATTTTGAAATTTATTGTTAAATATGAGAAGAATGTTAAAAAAAATATATATAAATTATAAAAGCCTTCGATGGTTGGTGGGGTTGGCTGCCAGTGGTGGTGGCCGCCGATGGCGAGTGATGGTGGTGGCTGGTGGTGGTAATCGGTGATAAATGGTGACAGTAGTAATGACTATATTGATTAATAAATTAAAACAATATAGATTTATAAGATTTGTTAATATCCGAACAATGTTTCTATCTTGAAAATGAGAAGTTGTTTTCCTTAAAAAATGACTTGATTTCATTTGATTAGGAAAATATTTTCCATTGACTTATTTTTCTGGTCGCTTTAAATAACGGAAAATTATGAAAAACACTTTTCAATAAGTTATTTTACGGAAATAAATGGAGTCATAGTATCTTAAGTTGCATTAAAAGAAGTAACGTTTAAAATTAGTCTAACATCTTACCCTCATTATAACATCTCACCCTCATCCTACGCGCTTATTTACTACATAACTTAAATCTTTTTGATATAAAATAAAACCAGAAAAAACCTTAGAAAAATTCAACAAATAAATTAGTCAAAATTTATAGTTAAATAAATAAAATTGCCTAAGTCTGTGCCATATGTTTTTAGACAACTCTTAGCATCACCCGTTAATCAGATCAGAGCAAATGAGAGAGAATGGCTGCTGTAAAAAGGATAGAAAAGGAAATTCAATAAAGTTTCATTTCTGTGCATATATGTATATATATATTGGTTCTAACCGGCAATTAATTTGTCTGTCTTCCAACTTTTAAGCTAAAATTCTGCTACATCATTGATCATACTATCATTCTTTGGTGTTGAACTCATCATTCTTCAACTGAAGGGATTTGTAAAGGAAGATTTCATTTAACTAAAACAAAAAAACCATCCAAAGATCCAAATTTGCTCTAGAAAGAGATCCAAATGTTTGTTTCAGCCCTGAACACAAATATAGCTTTGAAACTAATTATACATTGGAAATTTTCCAATTTCAGTGAAGAACATAGCCATAAACAAGGAGAAATTGGAATTATGTGATCTCTACCGAACTCCATACTACTGTAAGTGTTGAGTAAGTTCATTTACGAATGAATTCTAGATAGAATTTTGGAGAAAATTCATTTTGATCAAATAATTTAAAATGCAGCATTCCAAAGAATTCTAAGTAATCCAGAATTGAATTTGAGTTATCCTGATTCCTAAAGTACTCTTAATAAGACAATAACAATCATAAAAGACATGGAAGTTTAAAAGCGCACGTAATGTGGTATGGGCTAAAACATAATGTAGTATGAAATTGATTCCACCAGATCTAATTTTGTTAAAGGAAGGAATTCCAGCCAATTGAAGGGATCTTCTCATCAATCCAGAGATCATTTCGATTCCATTAGTGATGAGGATTCGGTTCAACATATAAGTAGAAACTGGTTTCATATGAAATCAAAAACCAATTCACAAACTTTTGCAGAGTTCATTTTGGCTCAATGGGGGTTAGTGTTATAAGACAAGAAGAATGCCTTTTGGTAATTGGTGAATGATTGTATGCATATGAGAAGATATGCAAAACCATCAGCAATAAGCACAATTATGAAGCACATAACTTGAAGCAAAAGTACCATTTTAACTTGACTCCGTTATTTAAGATCAGTTTCCCTTTTAAAAAAATTCAGTTATTTTGGTTTTTGTGAAAATCAAATTGAACTGACCATTTACTCACCCCTATATTACACTACTGAAATTGGTGCATCTCTGTGGAAATAAACAGCAAAAGTGCGGCAAAGAACAATATGCTTACCAGAAGTTCACCGTGTAAGCAAATATTTTTTTGGCACAAAACAACATAAGCATACTTTATTTGCCGACTAATGAAAATAACAAGACATCAAAATGAATCTAACCATTTGAATATAATTGGGTTAGAAAATATAGCAAATGTAAAGCAAAAGGGAGGAACACAGAGAAGATGATTGCAGTTACTACAAGATCATCAAAATTCCAAGAATTGCAGGCACAAACCGCAACAAAATACAGTTAATTCAAAATGATATTTAACCACCAAATTGAACAAGACCTCAGTAATGATGCCTTTTGGCATTCACATTTTGCACTCCGGATGAAGAAGAACCTGTCCTTAACCAAGTTGGTGGAGGCCAAAATATCTCATCATAACCAGGGCAATCAGCTATTGACCCACAATCACCATAAACTAAATCAAGGACTCCAATGTGACGATAGTGCAGTTCTGTTGAGTTGAAATCAACAGGGTAAAGGTTACGTCTTAGCCTCCCAGTACCATCACGCCAATTTAATCCATAGTAAATGCAATTTCTTTTACATTCAAGAAAATCTTTGGCCATGACAGAGAAGGTGCAAGATTCGCTAAGGAAAAAGGTCCTATCATCCAAACGGTTAACCTCATCCCATTGGGACTTTTCTTCATCCAGTTTATAGACAGTAAATTGAACACGGCTACCAATGACAATATAGCTATATACTAAGAACAAATCTCCAAATGATTCTATCAAATAAAAGAACCTATCATAAACACATGAACGAATAGGAGTTTTAATAGTTTCAGAAACCCTAAAATCAGAGTCGAAAACAGTAACATCTCCCCTGTCTTTAACTGCAAAATATTTCCCTTTATGAACAGCAATATCCATAGCTTCAAAATCAGGCAAAACCCATTTATCATCTGTTAACCTCCTAAAAAATAAAGAATTAGGGTAATCCTTTATTCCAACAACCACAGACCCATCAAAAAGAACTTTATGAACGCTAACAGCATGTCCTTCAACTGGAATAGCACTAAAATGCTCTATAAAATCAAGACTATAACATTGGGCCACTTGGGTAACTCTAAAATCTAATAAATCTAAAACCTTCAGAGATGAATTCTTAATGGGTAAGTCTTTATCCAAGGGATTAAGGAGCACAAACTTACCATTCTCTCCTTTCTTGACTCTGACCAACCAAGTTCCAGATTCTTGGGTTCCATTTTCTTGTTGTGGAGGTTGGATAACGTATACTTTCGATTTAGAGAGAGCGAAATAGCCTTGACGTTGACGATATGGATCGTTGTTATCATTGGGTGAGATGGGGAAGGGAAATTTGACAGAAAAATCAGGGAACGCTTTACGCATAGGAGATGAAGATCGCCATGAGGAACAGACAGAGCGGAATCGAACAGAATCCAAAGGATCTTCGAGACGATTGGCAATTGAAGCTAATAGATCCTCAGGGAGATCGCTCCATGGCCTCATTTTCTCTCCAGAATCGAAGAGGGTTTAGCCGTTTGCGTAGTTGCCGGAAAAAAAAGTGGGCTACTGTTCTAATAACAGTGACCCAGGGCATAAAATTACAAAACTACCCGTGCTTGTAATGCTCTAAAAGGTTGGGGTGCCGGGTGCAGACCAAATCGCCCAAACCGATCTAAATCAAACCAAACTAACATTAAAGTCGCTGCTTTTATGTTGATGGTTTGGTACGTAAAATTTTAAAACCGAATATTTGATTTATAATTTTAGAGTTAAGACCATCTAAACTAATATATATTCACATATATGTATATGTATATATTAATTTTTTTGAACCTGCATTGCAACTTATTTATACTCGATGATTTTTTACTTGTCGCAAATAAGAGTAATTAATTTTTATATATAATTTTCTATTAATTTTTATAATATTATAAATAATTTATATTACTAATAAGAGTATTATTTTTATATATAATTTTCTATAATTTTTTATAATATTATAAATAATTTATACTAAAAATCTAAAAAGCATTCATAAAAATAGAAAAAAAATATTTTGTAAAATTACTAAAAATCTAAAAGCATTCATAAAATAGAAAAAAATATTTTGTAAAATAATAAATTAAAAAAATAAAATTTCTCAAAATGAATATTAATTTGACTTGGATTATACATTTTAAATTTATATAATATAGATATTATATAGTATAGATAAATAGTTATTATAATAATTAATATTTTAATCATAAATTCACTTTTTTTTTTTTTTGAAAGAAAAATGCTATCCATGCATTAACTTGAATTATAAAAACTTAACAAATAAGGCGGGATAGAGTTCCACGAGTGAGATCGGCTATTATAATTATAGACACTTTTGCAAGAGAATGAGTTCCTACATTTGCCTCGATTAATAAATAATGTCTCTCGCCTTGATTAACTTCTTTTAGTATTGATAAAAAAACAAACAATTTCTCTCGCCTTGATTAGCGGCTATCTCTTCCTCCAAATCTAAAATCTTAAAAGCTTTTTTTTTTCTTTTTTCACGGGCGACCACTAGTGAGCTCTCATCGGTGGTCATCTATTTTTCTTTTCTTTTTTTTTTTTTTACTAATAATCCTTAGATTTGTAATGAATCTGAGTTATCGTCACCCAAATATTGAGATTTATTGTTGTTCATATCTTAGAATTTTATTTTCAGATTTAGTATGAGTTGTTGTATTACCATATGGTGATTTTGTTTAACCTTTTTTATTATTTTGATAATTATGCAGGAAGAAGTGCAGATCTTCTTTCCAATAGAAGGAAGAAATTTGAAGGTAATCAGATTGAACACATAGAATGAAATTTCTAGTTTGATTTCTTCTCAAAAAAATATTATAATCACTATTTTAAGCATTATTTATAATTTTGATCTTTTTCATTTCTTTTTACTTTTTGCTACAGTTATGCATGTATAATTAATTTTATAATTACTTTTTTTTGGAAAAAAAAATTCCTTTCAACATATTAAAATCCATAAAGATATATTCTTAACATATTTAATATATACACAAACACGAAATCAAAGTGGATGATTAAGCATGACCAAGATTCTAGAACCGTCGATTCCGGTTGCAAAAAAGGTGAAACCGAAACTGAATTGCTTTAAGACAATTTCTAAGACGGTTTTGAAATTGCCGGTTTTTATTTTTATTTTTTTTTGGTTTCGAATCGAAATTAAATAATACATTTTAAAATTTTAAAATATTTTTTAAAGATTTATAGGTTGAATAAATAATAATAATAAATATTACTGTTGAAAAAAACTAAATCAATTTAATAAAAATTCTTAAAAGTTACTTTAAAAAACTATAATAAAACAAAAATAATACAAACAAAAAAAATAAGTTAGAGAGTTTAATCAATTTAATAAAAATTCTTAAAAGTTACTTTAAAAAACTATAATAAAACAAAAAAAATAAGTTGAGAGTTTCTTTAAGAACATACTTTTCACGGTTTCAAATCGGAACTGCTAATTTTAAACTAAAATCACCAGTTTCGATTTTAAAAATGAAGAACCGAAACCGAACCTTAAGTGCACGGTTTCAGTTATGATTTTAGAACTAAAATCATTGACCATGATTTAGTGCCGATTTTGATCGATTCAGTTTCAGTTCGATTCCGATTTAAAATCGAACCGTGGTCATCTCTATGGGTGATAAAGTAATTGGAAGACATGGAAATAAAGGCATCATTTTAAAAACTTTGCCTAAACAGATGTACATTATTTGTAAGATGGAAGACCTTTTGATATGGTCTTACCTTATTTAGTATCCATAAAATAGTATTACCATATTACATTATATTACCATATAACATATATATATTACCATATAATATGTATATATTACCATAAAATTGCATTATCATAGAATATATATATTACCATATAATATATATATATATTACCATATTTAATGTATATATTATATAGCTTATTTAATATTATATGATTTTGATTTCAAATAGAAAAATAACAATCAAATCTGAATAGGAAATTAACAATCATAATTTATTGACTTTAGTTTTTCAATCAATTAAATTAAAATTCTTAATAATATTTTTGTCAATCTATAAATTTAGCATAGACGTTTTTAACAATCCTAATATTCCTTGACTCACTTTCACTTATATATATTATTAATTATTAATTATTATATATTATGGATCTAAAGAGAAATAAAAATATTATGATATGCATTTTTATTTTTTTTAACAAAATTATTATACACTTAATTATGGAGCAAGTAAAAATTTACGAGGAAACAAAATTAGGCAAATAGGATAACTTAACCTCTTATTCTGCCAAAAATTTAAAATTTCTCTTTTCTTTTTCCACGAGCGGCTACCGATGAGCTTTCACTCGTGGTCACCTCTTTCCATTTTTTGTTTGTTTTTTTTTAAATAATCCTCAAATTTATATCTTTTGATGCAAATTTGAGTTATTGTTACCTAATTATTAAAATTTATTATTGCCCTTATCTTGAAATTTTATTTTAAAATTTAGTTCTGGGTTATTGTTATCACTATTATGGTAATTTTTTATCTAGAGTATTTTGTTATTTAGATATTTATGCAAAAAAAAAAAGTGCAGACCTCTTCTAGAATAGAAGGAAAAAAATTTGAAAGTGATCAGATCGAACTTGTAACAAGATCATGGAGTCGAACAGTGACCATGAATATCTACCAAGTGGAGAAAGCGATCGCCTATGGCATAAATATTATGCTCTATGAACTCAATTAGATATTTCAAATCAAGATTATACTTTTTTATTCTTTGTATAAGTGATTTATTATTAGATTTTCTATATAAAAATGTAGTAACATACTGATTTGTATCTTAAATACATATACAACTTCCTCTTAATAATTTATAGTTTGATTTCTTCTAAAAAAAAATTACCGAAGCAAGTAAATTTATTAATAATTTAAGGATGCAACCGCCTATATGTGTGACATCCCGACCCGGCAAAGCGATCCTAGGATGGTAGGCTAGCTAGGGTAGTGGAATGCGAAACACAGGAATGAATCGAATCATATATCGAAAAGGGGGAAATTAATCATTAGAGGCGCCTTTTGAAATTAATCATTAGAAAAGGGGGAAATTAATCATTAGAGGCGCCTTTTGGTGGAATGGCTGGAGAGTTGGAAGAACTCCAGGGTTAAGCGTGCTCGTTTAACGGAAATCCTAGAATGATTGACCTCCTGGGAAGTTTCCCATTTCACCTGTGGGACAAAACCGTGCAGGCGGGTGGATGTGTTGGCCGGATTAGGCAGTGGCACAACCCTGTGACCTCCTGGTGATTAGAGTCGGGGCATAACAATATGATTTTAGGTAATAATTTAAAATATTTATATCATCTCTGCATTTGATAAAACAATTCTAGAGTTCCACAATAATTTTTGAGTTGATTTTTAGCGTCTTGATTGATTCAAAACTTTATCTATTCAGTAACATATTATTTTATAATAGATTTTAGAGGTTGAGATAGTTTTTTCTTTTATCAAACATGAGACAACCTAATATTTAGCATTTACATATAGGGTGATTAGATTTTTTTGACAACCATCTCCGTTATTTTTTTCATTGAATTCAGCAAGTTAATAATTAATATCTTTTTTTTATTATTTTAAGGTAAATAATTATTTTAACCAAGCACTTTTAATTTAAATAGCTATACAAAGAACTACACTAAAAGCTATTAATTAACAGCTAGTAGAATAGTTAACCATTACTAGAACAGGTTCTTGAATGAATAGTTTGATAAATGAAGATAAATGATGTATTAAATTTAAAATTTTTTAGAATTTTCCTAATTAAATTTTGAATGCAATTTAAGAACGCTTGATATTAAAAAAGAAAAAAAGAAAAAAAGAAAGAAAGGAAGAATGATCAACGATTCTATTTTCCTAATTAAAACAGAACAATTGATATTATTTTGATTTTTTTTAAAGTGTCATTTAATCAGAAGAAAAAAAAAGTCAAAAGCTATCAATTTTTTTATTTATTAGATGGACTGAATTAACACGATGAACCACATAATACCAGTAAGCTATTCTTAACTCACCAAATTGCTGAAAATTCTGGTAATTGAGAGAAAATAAATTCAAAATTTCTCGATTCTCACATTACTGAGAAGACCAATAAAACTATAATTGGTTGTCAAACTATTAACTTAATCAAATAGATGGTATATGATATGTTTATTGATTATATTATTAATTTATTATCTCAAAAAAACAGAATAACTATTTAAAAAGGAAATTAATAGACCAGTTATAAGGATAAGTAACAATCCATTTTACAATTGTACCAAACACTTGTTAATAACCACAAATACTTCTAGTCTTTTTGTACATTTTACAATTCGTACTTATTGATTTTTACAATTCGTACAATAATGTAATTTAATTATAAATAATTTTCTATTAATTTATACATATATTTTTCTATTTTGTTATAAATTATAATATTATGAATATTTTATATTACTAAAAATCTAAGAGTATTTAGAAAAAAAGAATATTTTATAAAATATAATAAATAAAAATTTTTTTTTTTTCAAAGTGAAAATAAGTTTGACTTGGCTTATTAAGTTTTAAACTTATATTATTGACAGATAGCTATTATAATAATTAATATAATAATCATTGCTATAATTTTATATTTTTCTTTCCTTTTTATTTTTTGTCAAAGTCCGATGACCATATAATTAATTTTATAATAGTTGTTTTTGACAAAAAAAAAAAAAAAGACCATATAATTAATTTATAATAGTTGTTTTTGGACAAAAAAAAAAAAAAAAAAAATCTTTCAGCGTATTAAAAAAAAAAAAAAAATCTTTCAGCGTATTATATAATTTGTTAATATAACTTATTATACTATAGTTTTTTATTTTATATATATTTTTAATAACTTTTATTTTCTATTTATATCAAACAATAAATCTTATAATATATTTCTTAATAAATTACATTTATTCTTTATTGAACAAGTTATTTGCAGAAAATAATTATAACTAATCAAATTAAAATTTTATTAAAAGTAATAATTAAATATTATTATATCATTACTTATGGGTTGTGGCTTAGTTGGCAACGCAAGTTGGTATATGAAAAGAGTTTTCGGGTTCAATTCTACTAAGCACACCTGCAGTGAGTGGCGAGAACCTTAACTGTGACTAAATCTCGAGTCGGATTAGGCGGTCCCTGGTAATAGGGTCCAAATATCGGTGATTTACACTAAAATATTATTATATTCTTACCATATTCAATATGTACCTATATAGTATAATACAATCGATCAAAATTACCTTTATTTTTTCAGCCAATGAAATTACAATCCTTAAAAATATCATATTCTCCTCATATTTAATGTATATCTTATTTACTGTATAATATAATTTCTTAAGTTTATCTATTGGAATTTAGATTTGAATAGAAAATTAATATAATCCATCAAAATTAAATTACGTTTATTTTTTCAATCTATAAAATTAAAATCCTTAAAGATATTATATTCTTACCATATTTAATATATATCTTATTTAATGTATAATGTAATTTCTTAGTTTATCAATTAGAATTTAGATTTAAATAGAAAATTAATATAACCAATCAAAACTAAACTACCATTATTTTGCAATCAATAAAATTAAAATTCTTAATGATATTTTTGTCATGTCCATAAACTTAGCAGGGACATTTTTTATGATCCTAATATCCCCCTCTCATTTGTACTTTTAGATATACTAGTTTTTTTATAATATGTATTGCACATTGATTATGCTCGTTATATACTCAATTTTTATGCTCTTTTAATTTTTTTATCTATATAATATTAAAGCATAAGTTTTTATTTAGATTCAAATAAATACAATTGGTTAATTTATATTAGATTTTGTCGTATAAGTTACTTGTAATGTTATTTTTCATGTACTTAATTTATTTTTGTATAATGAAAGTGGTTCAAAATAAACTTCAACCTCATCTCTAAACATAATCCTTCGGTCCTTAATTTATAAATACAGATTTTTAAAACCCTAATAGGTAACGAAAAAGAAAATCAAGCCATCACTCAATCTCCAATGAGTGGATTAGAGAAAAGAATATATGCACATACAAACAAATTCTTGAAACTTTAAAAAGTGATCCAAAACAGGAATATATAATTCTAGTTTTTTTTTTTTTTTCAGTTTCATAAAAATTATTTTCTTTCAAGTCAAATAAATTTAAAATATAAGAGAAAAAATATTAAGAAAATTAAAAATACTTAACCATAAGAGAAAAAATATTAAGAAAATTAAAATACTTAACCATGAAGGATAATAAATATTCTACTAATTAAAGGGATAGTAAGTTAAAAATTAATTTTAAGTAACGAAAAAGAAAATAATAAAAAATTAATAATTTATTAAGAATAAAACTTTTTTCAAAACTCAACATATAATAAGAAATAAATTATATTAAAAAAATTATCAATTTGAATTTCAAAAATCAACCTCTTTTTAAATTGAAAAGACCATAATTTAATGAAATTTAATGTTAAAGGACGAAAAAAAAGTCAAGTCAATAAATAAAAATTACGAAGTAAATCATACTAAGATCCAATATTGGTAATTTAATGAATTTATTTAAGTACTTTGTTTCTCTATTGTTCGACGTTGCAAATTTAAAATAAATAAGTTAACTAATTAATGAAAAAGATTGTATAAAATAAATGTTTTATCCTTTCCAAATAAACTTTTAATTTTCCCTACAATCATAAAAAAAAAAAAAAATACTTTTTTCTTTTTTTATGTCTCTCCTAAATACAATATTATGTATATTCTATTTGAAAATTTATTTTTTAAAAAATATATCCAATCAATTTGTACAAATATAAAGAAAAAATATACTTTTTTTTTCTCTTTTTATCTCTCTCCTAAATAAAATATTTTAAATTATAACCTAAATAAAATTAAAATATTTAAAAAATAAAATATTAAAAATCTCAAACGTGTCCTTTTATATATATATATTAAAAATAAATTTAAAAAAAATAAAATTTTAAATTTGTTAATTATCTATGTGTATTTATTTAAAAAATAATTTTTATAAATTATATCCAATCAACTAAATAAAGTGTAATTTTCTAATCAGCTATGACTAAAGTTATTTTAAGATATTTCAAATTTCATTAATTGGCTATCATTATATGGATTGTTTGTAGTTTAATTATATTTTTGCATTAAGAAATGTTGACAGACCCCCCAAAAAAAATTATTGTCCGAAGGAAACTTATAAAATATAAAGAGTAAATTCGTGAATAATAAACAACGATATGAACTTTGTCGCCATGATTTGAAGGAGAACGAATATTATGGATGTTTTTTTTTTATTGTATTAATATTCTTCGCATAGTGCACAATAATTATGTTATCTAAACCTACTTGAAAAATTTTATATTAATTTAAAATTTCTTGATAAATATAAATTGAAAATATTTTAATTAATACAATAAGAATATTTAGAAATGGACTCTTTATTAATTTGTAAAAGATATTAGTTTTCCATTTAAAAAAAAAAAGTTCGTATAATCAAATGCTTTAATTTTCTTAACATCCTCTTGAATTGTACCATCATCATAAAAAAAATTTGTTGTACCAACATAAATTGAAATTATAAAAAGGAATATGTACCCATAATAACATTTAGTATAATATTATCGTATTCAAAAAATATTAAAATTATTAATGATTTTTGATAAAATTTATTTTTGAATAGAATAGGATTTTAGATTTGAATAGGAAACAATATATTTGAAAAGTTTTTTTTTTTGAAAACTTAACAATTCATTAATAATGAATATAAGTTAAGTACATCATAATATTTCCATAGGAAAAAGAAATATAAATATAAAAAATTGAAATATTCTGTTTACAGAAGTTCTTGATATTGGCAGAAAGATTAAATGTTTAAATTATTTTCAATATCCCTCGTTGATTCTTACTTATTATTTCAATATAATAATTACTCATGTGTTATTTAAGATGAGCATAATAGAAAAGTTATATGAATAAGGAAAAATGCTCAATTTGCCAATTAAATTTGGGTATAATATTCAAAATGATCAAAATTCACATTTTTTGGTCAAAAATGCCAGTAAGAATTTCTATAGGTTTTGATATCGTGTAACTGTTATTACTGCGTGTGTTCATTTCTTTATCCATTAAAATTCGTTCTTGATTTATGATTTTTTTTAGTAAAATTGAAAAAAATTGTTGGTAGAGAAATTCTTAATGAAAAAAAAAAAAAAAAAAAAAAAAAGAAGAGTAGAACCAACTTAGTAATCGCAGTGACTTGTTAATTTTGCTCTTCAGCTGATAAATGTGAAAATTGTTGGGTTTAAAAAGATTTTCAATGGGAAAAGACAAGGATTATCAATATCATTTTTTTTCTCTTTTATCAATATTTTTCTATCTCACGTGCTTTTTATTTATCCGTGTACATCACAAAAAAAAAAAAAAAAAAAAAAAATCAAAAAAAGAAGAAGATTAGAACACTTAGTAATCGGCAGTGACTTGTAAATGCTCTTCAGCTGATAAATGTGAAAACTTGTTTGGGTTTAAAAGATTTTCAATGGAAAAAGACAAGGATTATCAATATCATTTTTTTTTCTCTTTTATTCAATATTTTCTATCTCACGTGCTTTTTATATCGTGTACATCACGCGTGCTGACCCAAGGGGGCGGGGGTTCGCTGATTGCTTTTTAACCATAATAATTGCTACTTCTTAATCTGTGTAAAAATAAAAAATGAACTATCTTTTTTAATTCTTACTTGTCTTTTTTAACTATTATATTCTATAATTTACTATATATATATCTTACATTTGAAATGAAAAATGTAATTATTATACAACCGTGTAAAGCACCGATGACAACCTAATTTATAATTATGGCCAAACCATATAATTTATTACGAATTTTCTTTTCTAGTAATTACACCCCACAATTAGAAATCTTAGGTGTAATGTATTTTAAAGTTTTAAAATTGACAAAAAAAATCATATTAATACTGAAAAATAAAAATATTTTATTAATTTTATTCTCTCTCTTTCTCTCTTCAATCCCGTCGATCACATTCCCACCGTCCCACCGTCGTAGTAGTTAGCACCACATGGCCTACAGCGGCTCAAAAGTCTAAAATTCCATAGCCAATTATAAATGAAAAATAAAGTGAGGCTACAACGCACAATTATAAATGAAAAAGGATATATCTATTACTACAAAATTTATATCAACGATCAGGATTTCTCACAAAATTTTCTATACAACTATCAATTACACTGCATATACTTAAAGAGACCAGAAAAACGTATAAAACTGACTTATTCCAGCCTCAGCTTCTTCTCTGTGCTATTCTTTAATGTCTTAGGTGATCGAGCGAGTGATGCATGTGAATTATCGTCTCTTCCCTTTTTTCTATTCACGAACTCCGAAAAGGAGGGAATGCCAGGCAACTTTGCACTCTGTGATGGAGAAATACTCGTAGTTTCTGATCTGATACTGCTATGGAGTTCTAAGTCAGCAGTTGTTATTGGCTTTTTTTCCAACAAGGGTGACAGTGTCTTGGGAGGTTCTTCCTTGGGCACACTGTTCTCAGGAAGGGAAGGGGGAGGTGGAGGGGTACTGCTGCTGATCCGATTTGTTAACTCGGTTGCATTTGTCGTTGATATCCACCTCACCGTACTCGCAACTTGTGAAAAATAGAATGTTTTCCCACTCTTCCCATACTTCTTGAAGCATTCGTTTTCAAGGAAGGAAGCTGATTCTTCAAATTTGATGCTGCAAAGGGGAGTTTCTGAGTTAATAACTACGACATCTTATTTTTCGTAGAAAGAACGTTCAAAAATTTTAGTTTAAGTTCAATAGTTAAAATTATCAACGGGATAAAGCTATTGGAAAATTTATCAAAAGATGGATAGAGTGCTAGCATACCTCAAGTTGCCAAGCCGTTCCTGAGCCTGCTTCAGAGCATTTAATAATCTTTGCTTGGTAGATTCTCTCAGTGTTTCAGAAATAGCATTCTTGTCGAGCTTATTGGCCTGTTAAGGAATTAAAATTAAGCACAAGGTAAAGGAATTCCAATCGGCTTAATTAAACAAAATGTAGCTTGTGAGGTTGATAGGTGACAACAAATGCAGTATTGTTCTTGATCAAACTGAACTGCATTGGAACAATATTTCGTATATGACAATGCAATCAAAACAACATTTACTACCATCAGGAAAGCATACAGAATATGCATTTTAAACAACTTACTAAACTGACGATATCAATTTAAGATGTCAATGGTCCCAACAAACAAAGGGAATTACCATCTAAAGAAATAGATGCCTCATCAGCAGTGTTCCGTTCTTTGTTACTTAAGCTATGGGAAAAGAAATGAGATTAATCTTCATAGGAAAGTGGGGGTGAAAAGCAGACCTGTTTCTTAGAGTTCTTATTCTGATAATAATTTTCTTCTGCACGCTGCAATATGTCAATCCTTTCATTCACCCCTGATTTTATTGACTTTGATCTGGCTAGGCTCTTAACAGCCTCAGTAGCATCTAGCAGTCGAAAAACACAAGAACGATATGGTAAACAAGATAACTAAGGATTTCCAACCCTACATCCCCCCAAAAATAGATGGCAAAGTTTCAAAAGAGAAACACAAGAACTTTAACAAGATGATTCACCATCCGAATCAGATATATCTTCCTCTGAAGCACTAGCTTCATCACCGTGATTCCAGAATTCAGAGAATTGTTCTCCATCAATTGAATTTGTGGAGCTGGAATAGATAACATAAATTAATCAGGTCATAAGACATAACATATTACCTCACACATGAAGGCTGACTCGCAGCAAAAACAATATAAGGCCAAAATATTCCTAATTTGTTAATTGAAAAATGGAGAAAATGGCTTGTGGGTCATGCAAGGAACAAGACAAGATAGCAATAATAAAAGTAACATACACCTATATATAACTTAACAATAGAAAGTCATAATGGACTGTCAAACTTTCTTAATACTCACTAGGAACATCCAATTAGTATAGTAATAAGAAACCAACAATCCATTGAACATCTACATCATAAACTATGAAAATCTTGCAGCATGAAGCAAAAAACAGCAGCGAGATAATATTTAGGAAACTTATAGCACAAATGATTGCGCTCTAAGTAAACCCTCTTGAGGATCTGAAGTGAATGATTTGAGATTCCGGATAAGAATAAAGGCAAATACAAAACAAGTCTCTTTCTAGGGTACACAACTCTCTTAGTTAACTAAATTTCACTATCAGTTAGAGAAAGCATATGCTCTTCAATAATTGATTTCCAGTCTATTATTCAATGACAGGAAAGAAAAACACCTGCTTATAAAAATTCTAGAAAAGCTGTTTCTCTGACGAGCAGCACAAGTTGTTGTCAGCTCCTCCAAGTACTTGGCCACTATATTTGGATGTTTGCAAGCATCGCAAGATTTTTTACATAGTGATGCAGGTACCTGTTTTGGCCGATGATAAAGAGCATTCTCACATGAGTGTTGATAAAGAAAAGAACCTCAGAGTATCTACAAATGAAAAGTTTCTATGAATTGCATAACCTGTTCCCCAAAGCTCTCAAGAATTTTTTTCCTACGGCATCCAGAACCTTCACAATACTCAACCATCTGAATGTTATGCATAATTTACATGAAGCAACAATTAAACAGAAGGTTTATAGTACAAAATGAGCTGAAAGTCACCTGACTAAAGTCAGAGAGGGATTTTTTTGACGATTCATCCTGTGAACTTGAAGTTTGTGACTTCTTGCTCCCAGCAGTTCTTAGAATAAACTCCTGCAGTACGGTTCCAAATGTTTAGGAAAAGAACTCATAATGGGAACATGCAACACACAATAAATAACTATACCATTCTTTTGCGATCATCAACTCCATAGTACAACAGACTTTTACAGGGCAATTGATCTCGACCAGCTCTGCCTGACTCTTGATAGAAAGCTTCCATTGACTTTGGAATATTAAAGTGACAAACCATTCTGACATCCTTTCTATCTATACCCTGGAAAAAAATGATCACAGTCAATTGGTGGCACATGATAGCTAGACTCCAGATTTAATTAAAATCATTAATCTTTTAGCCACATACCATTCTGAAACAATGATTTGCTCATTTAGCGATCATGCACCAGTATGCTCCAAGCAGAAGAATAATAATAAGAAAACAGAAATCATCACTATCTAGGGTAAGAGGACAAAACAAAAGAAACAAATAAAGCATTTAGAAACCGCAAGTTCCCTACAGATGAAGCATATAATAGAACATAAAGTGAGAGCTTTTATTTACGGCATAAGTTCATCATTCCCATTAAACTCACTATTTTTTAACAGAAAGCTACACAACGAAATTGCTACATTAACAAGTATGTCTGTGGAAAAAAAAATGACAGAAATATATTACTCATTAGGACATAAGGCATGAAGGTAATCAATATATGGAGTTGTTCATACCCAAAAGCTACTGTAGCAACAACAACTTGTATTTTAGAAGAAATCCAATCATCTAAGACAGTGGTACGTAATTTATTGTTCAACCCTGCATGATAAGCTGAAAAATATTGCCCAAAGTCATTAAGGAACATATTTTTTGACATTAGCCATGAAAAAATAAAAATCCACGGCTAAATGACAGAGAGAAAAAATTTAGTTACCAGAACTGGAAATGCCATTTTGGGAAAGATGAGCAGACAAGCCATCACAAGTGGTTCGCTCTAGGCAATAAATAATTGCACATACATCCCCACTGGATTTGAGTACAGAGGACAAATCAGCATAAGCATCATCCAGAAGATCTTTATATCTAACTGTATTATCGAGAAACCAATTAGATGCATATTGCAAACAGTAGTAGACAGCATGGTACCCCTACTTCAAAATAAATGATTAGGACAAACAAACAGAAGGAGAGTAACAATGGTTATTACTGTTCGCCTTCCCAGTGTATCTTTCTTCTTGTTCTTCTATTTTTCATTTTTTTTTAAAAAATAGATTCTTTCTGTCAGTCCATTTTGGTTCTTTTTGATAAAAACCATACAAGGTGAATCCTGAACATATTTCATCCCAGCTCTCAACTGTTTAGAAGACAAAATCCTATTCACAAGTGAACAGATGAATTCCTACCTATTTGACATAGCTCATGAAAAATGGCTTTTGCAAAGTCTTAATAAATTTTTCAACATAGTCTTTTATTCTTTCTTAATTTCTTTCACCTATTTTTTTTAAGACAGATTCCAAATGAAAGCCTGATTGAGCTTATTTGCTACTTATGTAGACAAACTAGAGATAATTTGGTTTTGTTCTTCAACTCATTTTCTTGGGATTTTTTGGCTCCCCCATATTCAGTGGTTGCAATTACTCTAACCACCACAGATACTATTAAAATAGTCTAGTTGCAACTGTCTATAAATGTGCATTCTTTTTCAAGCATCCTCAGTTTTAATTTTCAATGTATCTAGAATAAGAATAATCATACAAAAATTTCAGACTAGGGATCAATGAAAAAGTTTGATAGACAACTTAAGACGTTTTGCTAGTAAGCCAGACTGTCTAAAATAAGATAAACTGGGACAGGACTATCTATTTTTCCAAACAGAGAATCTTCTTAAATTACAGTCAATGCCTTGTTATTTTCTGAAATAAGCTAGCAGGACGTACCTTCATAATATATATTTGGACGATTAAAGGAAGATTTGAGAATCAAAGGGTCTTGCAGACACAAAGACTCTATCACATCCCTCTGCACTCTGGAGATAAGATGAACAACTGAATAATTATCAGCTCTCTTTCCTTTTCTATTATTCGCCTTGGATGATTTAAAAGAATTGTAAGGCCAACATAAATAATGAAAAAGAACGCATTTCTCACTCAGGAGAAGCTGTGGCCGTCAAAGCCAAAGTTGGTATATCTGGAAGACGATTCTTTAAAGTTGAAAGCTTACGATAACTAGGCCTGTTCCAGAAAAAAAATTATATATATAAAATAAAAGAGAATTTCAGTAATATGTAAATTCAAAAAAAAAAAAAAGCACCTTCTGATATCCACTCCTTTACAAATAATGATTTGCATATATACATAGGACAGAGGGAAAGAAATTCTAACTACATCTATATACATATTTGACAGCATGGAGAAATATTTTGTGTGTTTGTATGCAAGGACATCATGAAGAAGACAGGCAGGAACATCCAGCAAAAATAAAATAGGCAACAATAGGAGTCACGTCTCACTTATAGATTAAAGAAGCAACAAACCTGAAATCATGGCCCCATGATGAAATGCAATGTGCCTGAACAAAATTGAGCGAGGAGAGATAGTAAATTAATACCGATAATAACCTGCATGTCCTTTTGTGGACAAAGTTCAATCTCTACCAACACATAGAAAACATAATTTTCTACCTCATCTATTGCAATGAGATTCAAGAATCCTCTAGCATGAATCTTTGTTAGCTTTGACATAAATCCTGCTGTTGCAATCAATTCTGGAGTCACATACAACAGCCTTACGGATGGTTTTCCAGAATCCAGGTCTTCATGAATCTAATAATTTATAAATAAATAAGAGTCTCCACTTTAGAATTACACATTTTCAAATTGACAGGTCTTAGGCACTGTAAAATCCAAGGTCAATAAAAATTATCAGAAAAGCAAATCAAGCCCAAGAAAAAAACTCACTTTATTTTTGACCTGTGATGTTTGGGTTGAGGAGAGAAACTCAGCAGCAATTCCTTTCTCCTTCAAAGCCATGACTTGGTTTTCCTGAAAACAAGTTAAAAAAAAAAAAAAAATTTAATATCTGTGATTTTTTGAAGGAAAGAAAAAGGAGAAAGCAAGAGAAATTGCTCTACAGTACTTACCATCAAAGCTGCAAAATAGAAATGAAGAACCAATCAAAAAAGAAGTTAGAGCTGTGTCCTAACTCCCTTGAAAAAGGAAAACCAAAAACAATACAACATAATCACCTATTAAAGGAGAAACAACAAGCACAATCCCTGGTTTTGCAAGAGCAGGAATCTGATAACACATAGACTTGCCTCCTCCAGTTGGCATTAAGCAAAAGCAATCTCTCCCTTTCAAAGACAATAATCAATTAAACAAAAATCCAATTACAGGTAAGTGAAATGGTGTAATTATAGAGTACCTGATAAAACAGCTTGAATCGCTTCCAACTGCTTGGCTCTGAAATCAGAATAACCAAAATGCCATCTCAATAGCTTCACCAATGCTTCTTTTCCAGTTATCTTCTTCTCATTACTGCAAATATTCTGCACTGGCAATGGCGACTTCTTCATCTCTAACCTCCTATGCGAAGGGAAACGTCGCCGTTATCACCTGGATAATAGGTAAAACCTTCGTCTTCGCCGAACAACTGATTCTATTTCTCTGTTAAATTTTCGTGAAATTTTCAATTCTTCGTCCTCTGGATTTGTTATCAGGAGGGAGATGGCAACCAAGCCCAATATAGGATATGGCCCATTAGACATGTCTACATCTAAAATACTAATACGACCGTCGTTTTTTGCTAAAGGGCCCAAGGCCATAACATAAGCAGAGAAAGTCCATTGGTTTGATCCTTTTCAATTGGATGTACCCTTTGTAAAATAATGTCATGTCCTTGACGTCATTCGATGCTGTAGTGGGAATGAGTTGATAAAAAACGCTCGCTTAAAGATTCATCAAATGTCGTTCGATATATCTAATTAATCTTGTTCTTCTTTTAGTTAGAAACGTTGTGCCTTGATGTCGTTTTATACGGCGCACATTTTGTGCTTTCAATTCTCTCTCTGCTTCTCCTCCCTTCAACTTCACTGACGTGAATTTGACTATCCTAAAAACCAGAGCTTTATCATGAGGAAGTGAAAGCTGAGGATTCAGCCAAGAGTTAACAAGGTATTACAACTCTAATTGAACTTAAATATATTGAATTTGCAATTTCATTTCTCAAATTTTTCTTAAAAAAATGAAAAATTTGCTTCCAAAATCTTAGTTGTGTATCAAGAAAGAGTTCGGTTCTAAACTGTTCAATAGTTTGGTTTCTGCTATGTATTTTTAGGGTTAATGTGTTTTTTGCTATTCCATTCCTGATATTTGTAATTGTCGTTGTGAAGGTTTCTTACTCAGAACATTTTAGAGAAAGATGGTTTTCTTGTGCTGGAATCGACCCTCTCCTCAAGAGCAGAAGGATTGTTTAACCAAGTAAATTGAAGTCGATAAGATTTTCAATTTTTCTTCTTCTTGTTGTTAGAAATTGAATCTAGTTATGTAGTTGCTTATAATTTTTCGTTATGTAACTTAGGTCAGCTGCCTTCAACTATAACTCTAAGTACAGGGGAGCTACTGCTAAAACTGCATCTTCCCTCAAAGAAGATCATGAACTCTCTAAAGATGGTTTCTTGCTAAACCATGCCCGTGTTTTAGTTGGTTCTGGTCTTGACACTTTCGAAAAGGGCAAGTTAGCTCTTCAAACATGGAGGTTAGTGGACTATATGTATTTTTCTTTTTACACATTGAGAGAGCTTTTAATAATGAATTGGGAATTTTATTTCGTTGCAGGCATTTTGGACTGAATTGGGCATTTGTCGATCCGAAAACTCCAATTCAAAGTGGGGTGAAGTTCTGTGTTTGTGTAAAGGAGTTTCTGCCTTGGGTCATGATGCCTCTTCAGGTGGTTTATGTTAATGAAAGTAGAAATGCTAAAAAGAGTATGGCTTCATTTTCTTTTGGTGGCGGTACCCTTCAAGGTCATCTTCTGGTTAGTGCTTGTTTGCTTGCAATTTGAGATTTGAATACGTTTGGATGATTATCAATTGCCATTATCTTGATAATTCAATTCATTGCTGAGGTTACATAGGTTGATTTGCAGTTCCTATAAAGCTTAGAATTTTTTTTTTCTGCATTTTCTTCATCATATAGCATGCGCAAATCCCTTTTTCATATAATATGGCAGCCTATGCTTATCCTTTGCAACATTTACTTAAGAAATATAATAACTTGATTTTTCATTTTAGCACTATTGCCATATTTTCATCCATGATGCAATGAATCTAATTCTATTTGCAAATTTGACTCGTGGGATTACCAACGTACTAGAAATGCTTTAAAGACATGTATGAATTCAGGTAGTATTGTTTAATGTTATATATTGCAAAATTTTCACAATATTCAGATGATTGTATTGCATTGCTTTTATAACATTTTATCTGTATTTAATTAATTTTCATGTAGCTCAACTTTTTACTCTTCTATGCGTTCATTTGGATCTTGTCCTTAGGTTTCTTTATCTCATATCTATATAGTTCATTTTATTCATCAACAACAGTGAGAATTTTACTTCACATTTATGACTCACAGTTCTTGTTTTGATATGTTTGATTTCTGTAAGTGCATGCATTCGGATTCATAATGGAATTTTTAGGTCATCTCCACTGGCATAAATGCGTATTAATTTTTCAGATTATGTTCATCAAAATTTTTCCACTTCAGACATGTACACTTACTATCACTAGCATATTTGCTATTTTGCTGCAAAACAGGCTGGGGAAGAGCGTTTTTCAATTGAAATGGATGAGAAGAGTCAAGTCTGGTATGAGGTGCTTTCCTTATCAAAACCTGCCCACTTCCTGTCATTTATTGGGTACCCTTACGTGCAATTCAGGCAGAAGGTTTTCACCAATCAGTCTGCCAAGGCAGTTCTGAAACATGTGAATGCTTCATAATCCTTTGTACCATCTAATGTAAGTGCAACACTGGCGCATTTTCTTTAACTCATAAGTTGTTTATTCAATCATGTATCAAGACCTCGGGCATAGTTGTAAGTAATTAGCAATTTGCTGATTCCATAAAGTGGTGCTAGAGTTGAGGCCATTCGGAATTCTGTTTTAATTGATCCATCGTGCACTTTGATAAGCATAGACATGCTTAATCAAAGTTCAACTATATGCAGCAGTCGAGCAAGAAAAGATTTGCTAAAACCAAACTGAATTGAGCCAAGCCACCAAGTTAGAAATAACAGATGTCAAATGGTAGAAAGTATATATAAAAGTTCATTTGTTTCTGCAATATAACCACAATCTCCAAAATTTGGAGGCAGAAATCTTGTGTTTAATTTAAAGAACCAAGAAATGTAAGAATTTGTTGCTGCAAGAGGATATAACTCTCATACATCGTGAGTACTACATAAAGGTTGCCTCCCATAATCTCTGCATAGAACATGAAAATCCATGTGCTTGTACGCAGAGGTAGAAACGGGCAGGATTGGGTTGTGTCAATTTGGGTTTTAGATCGTCTGATCAGGTCATGTCATGTCAGGTCGTCCGCGATATTAAGGTTTTAGGGGAAATGATATTCAGAAATTAATTATAAAATGAATGCTCTTTTCAAAATTAATCAAAATTATGTGTTTTTTATGCCATCATCAGTGTCGAACAAATTTCAATTCTAAAACGTCAATTTCACAAATAGAATAACAGATACAAATAATATCAATTTGCAGTGGATAACTATGGATACAACTAAATACCAGCTAGCCTTTCAAGCTTCATCCATTTCAGCTCCCATTGAATTTGGAGAAACCATACTACAATTCTGACCCGACATTAGAAGCAAACTTCACATTTTGGTTCTTAGCAAAATAAAGTTGTAAATGATGAATAGTTTTCTGTTTAAAATATCCAGAGTCTTAGATCTATTTTATTTTTCTTGGAAATGCTAAGCTAAACATAACAATAATGGTGTTTGAGGATCAACCATTAAAGGATCAAACTTTAACCATTAGAATATTAGCTCTCGCAATCAGTTATAATTTATAATTAGTGATAAAGCTGGGAATTGAACTTAGGAGGGGCAAAGGATTACCAGTTGTTCATGATTGATGGAGGCAAAAATTGAAAATTTGGGAGGAAGAAACAAACACACAAGTGATGCAATAGATAAATAAAATGATCAAAGATCACAAGTCTAAAGCAACCATGTATTTCAAACTCAAAAACCAAGAAAGCAACAATGTCTCACTGAATACATTAGAACTTCAACATTAAAAAGATTTGAAATGATACAAATGACCATTCTAACTGAAATAAGATAAAGAACATTGAGCCAGATTTGTTCCTTCTGAGCCAGTATCTGGTGGCCAAAATACCTCAGAATACTCGGGCAATGCTCCTATTTTCTCAATACTATGATCTTCTAACCGAAACACACGAATGCAATCATTACTCAATCCTCTTCCTAAATAATTGTCATCTTCTGTGAAATAAATACAGTTCCCTTTACCTCCAGCAAAATCGCTACACGAAATGGAGAAATTACAATCAACACCCAAAACAAAAGCTCTATCTTCCAAAGATTTCACATCAACCCATTTACCCCAATCTTCATCCAATTTATGTACTCTAAAATCAATGGCATTAGGATTACATTTCCTATACCTCCTATGACGAATGGGAATATTATTTCCAACATCATCAAAAATATGATAATCTTTCCATGTTATTCTTTTTCCATCAAGATACCTATCAACTACATAAAGATCACCACATGACTCCACCAAATGCTTCTGTTCACCACAACCAAACAAAGGAGGTGAATATTGAATCAATTTCAAAGATGAATCAATCCAAGAAACTTTACCCCATGTATCAACAACATAAATTTGACCCTTATATTCAATAATATCATCATATTGAAAGTTTGTATCATCTAAAAGGGTCCAATTGTCATGTCCATATTTCCAGTAACCTAATTTTCCTTCATGGAAAATAGCTAAAATGCCAATCTCATTTTTGCTGTAATGTTTTTCACTAATTGGAAATAGAACTACTTTATTAACCCCATAAACAGGATGCCCAGATGGGTGTTTAAGCATGAATCCTTTACTTAATTGGGTAAAATTAGTGTCCAATAAATTCAACAGAGGGTACCTGATTTTCTTATCTGAAAGTGGGTTTTGAAGCTTCAATTTTCCGTATCTGGACTCCCCAATTTTGGTTAACCAACCTTTTGTCATTGAACAACTAGAGGAATTCGAATTCTGATTTGCAAACTCAATCCTACAAACAGTGGATTGGACGAGAATAGCATCTGCTCTGATGGGTTGAGGAATTTTAAGGATTAAATAAGGAATTTCTTGGTCAAAAGAAGGAACAGCAACGTAGCATCGCCAAGACTTGCAGACTGAGCGACAGCGGAGAACGTCAACAGGAGAATCGAGACATTTTCCGATCGATTCTATTAGCTCTTTTGGAAGATCGGCCCACTGACTCATTTGCTCTCTCTCTCTCTCTCTCTCTCTCTCTCTATTGATCGAGCTTCCACTGATTCTGGTAAAGATTGGATCTTTGTGTCAGTTTATTGGTGGTGGTGGTGGTGGTGGTGTTCCAGTGGGATGCATCTTTATGCTGCTTCTTTTTTCTTTTTTTTTTTTTTTTTTTTTTTTATTTTAAGGAATTAAATAAGGCGGAATTTCTGTGCGCTTACAAAAGAAGGGAACAGCACGTAGCCATCCGCCCAAAGACTGCAGGACTGATGCGACAGCGGAGAACGTCAAACAGGAGAATCGAGACATTTTTCCGATCACTATTAGCTTCTTTTGGAAAAGATGCCGGCCCACTGACTCATTTGCTCTCTCTCTCTCTCTCTCTCTCTCTCTTTCTAGTTTGATCGACGCTTCCACATGATTCTGTTAAGATTGGATCTTTGTGTCAGTTAGGGTGGTGGTGGTGGTAAAGGTGGTGTTATCCAGGCGGGCATTGCATCTTTATGCTGCTAATGCCTTGTTTTCTTTTTTTTTTTTTTTTTTTTTTTTTTTTTTTTTTGGCATTGACTTGACCTACAGTTTCTATGGAGTCAACTAAGTCCTTGCCATTGTTTGAGTGCCGATTGTTTCGAAATAAATATTTTTTTTATGAGGAAAGAATTTAGAGGAAATTTTCTTTCCTTATCTTGAAATGTGGTAAATGTGGATATTTTTGAAGGAAAGAAAATATATGAAACATCAAAATATAGGACTTTTTTTGTCTGAAAAGAATGGAAAAATATCCTAATTTTTTTACTCAAATCAGCAAAATTAACAGCACTCTAAATTAGGAAAAAAATAAAAATAAATTAAGAAAATTACATTTCAATATTTAAATTATAATATAATAAATCATGATTTTTTTACATGTATAGAAATTTATAAATTTTATTTATGTTTTATTAGTTGATTAACAATAAATTAATTAAATAAACTATATATATAATATATATAATATATGTATTATATTAAATCAAATATTAATCGAAAAAAAATTCTATCCAATTTTAATTAGGAATGAAATTCCTATCGTAGAAGTTTGGATTGGATCCAATATTAAATCAATTATATTTATAATTTTATTGTAAAGAACTTAACTATTTTATATTAAAAATGTAAAAATAATTAAATTTATAAATTATAAATTGAATTATTTTCTTTTCCTCATATTTTCTTTTATTTGCTTTGTTAATATTGTTAGTTACTTTTTGTCTTATCATTCTATTAAATTATCATTCTATTAAATGTATTAATTATTTTATCCTTAATTTGCTAAGTAAATTTTTTGATCAATTTTCAATTAGTATAAATTTTTTAATTTTTTTAAAAAATTATTTAAATCATGATTGTAATCTTTTTAACATTTAATGCTTCTTTTTTTTTTTTTTTTTTTTTTAAGTTGTTGCATATTTTTAATCTAAAAATTTATTATACCTTTTTTTTTTTAAGTTGTTGCATATTTTTAATCTAAAAATTTATTATACCTTGATTTTAATGTTACGTCTATATTATTGTGATAATAAAGGATAAATATTTAAATAATAACTCAATTGAAAATTTAATCTATCAAATAACTATATTTTCTTCGACTACTATCAAAGATTTTTTTTTATTTTTTATTATCAATAATTCATTGAAGACTTTCTACTATCAATAGTTTCTTTGCTATTGCTATATCGATAACTTCTTACTTTATTATTATTAATGGCTGAGGTACTAATTTTAAATTTTGATTTTTTTTTATTTTGGTATACTATCACAAAAAATTTTCTATTTGATTATCAATAATTTATATATGTATTTATTTTTATATATGGCGAGATTTTGGATCAAATAATTATTTATTTTCAACTTTAACTATTCCATTTTGTCAAAAAAATATATTGTAAAAAATTATTAAAATTTTTCATCAAATATTAGATATGTATGATAGTGGTTTGCACCTATTTTTATACATGTAATAATTATAAATAAAAGAATTGAATTTTTATATTGTCTTTATAAAAATTAATAAAAAATATTTAAAAAATAAATTATAAATAATCATCGTTGAACACTAGTCAAAATAAAGGACTTTTCTTGTCTTCAAAGAATGGAAAAATATCCTAATTTTTTTATTTGGACCCGAAAAATTAGGTAAAAGATAAAGAATAAAATAAGAAAATTACATTATTTTATGTGAAATAAATTATCTTCATTATTTTATTTCCTTTAACATTTTCTTTCTTCTTCTATTCAAACAAAGCTTTAGTGACAGGGAAATTTTACCACCTGCAACTGAACAATATATTGAAAATTTAAGTCTCGAGGATGTATCATACAAATGCCTCCCCATTGTAACGAGGGACTCAACTGTTTATCTAAAAATTCTCGAACTACGGGTATGTATCTTTCTACTAAGATACCTATATTTGATGAAAGAATAGCATCATGGGGCACCAGAGACGAGCCTTCCAACTTCCTCGAGGGCGAAGAAGAAGAAAAATCCTCAGAACCAACCATTTCCGGCTGCCAAAGCAAAGCCCAAGGCATCTCTTGGTGCTACATGGCTTGAGTCATAGAACCTCGTGAGCCTTATCGTAGTACCTGTTTATATATCGTTCCTGCAAAGCCAACGTAACTATTAACATATGGAACAACTTTCTTAACGCAAAATTATTGCATATGAAAAAAGTTAGCAGTATGAAGTACATAGAAGAGAAATTTCCAACATTTCACCTTTACATTTGATACATCGGGCGTATCTGGAGTTTGCACAGGATAGAAATTGTAAAACTTCATATTTCGATAGGCCTCTTTTGTTTCCTCACTCATTTCTTCCAAGGTCTTTTCCCTCAATTTCCTTGCCTGCAGAAAACCAAAATTAGTTCAAAGCTAGTTTACATATCTCTTACAAACAGTCTTAAACAAAAGAAAACAACATACTGGGCTGCATAATACCTCCCAGATAGCTGTCTTTGCTTTTTAAACTTTCTCTTTGACGAACTCCTGACAAAGGGTGAAACAAGAATTGGGTTCAATATTAGTAAATAAGAGAACCTACAAAAAAATGAATACATTTAATAAGTTTTCACCTTGAACTCATCCTTCTGATCTGCAGACAAGTCCTCATTCTTGATCAGCTTATCAGTAAATTTCTGTGGGTTGATAGAAAATTTTAGCACAACTTAATTGCTTTCCTTTTTGTTTATCATTTTCCCTTTCAAGATAAGTTGGAAATGGTTAGGAAGCGAATTTTACATAATTTGGCAATGGAGGGGTAGAATATATTCATTCAGAATCCATCAATTTAAGTGAACTCAACATGCATACTTGGCAGTATTGTTTAATGAATTGAAAGATTTTAAATTTCTTTTGCCCTAATAAAAAAATTTTTATATGACAACTAAAGATTCTAAAAATTTGTAGAATTGATTTGGGATTTCATATTTTCAGGTTTTTAATGAAGGAAAAGATTAGGTGTAGAGATATAAGTATATTATAATTTCCATTTACTTATATTCTAGGGCAAGTTCTTGTGAATGCAAATGCCTAACAAAAAAGAACAACAAACATTGCCTAATTAGAGTACCTTGTAGAAATAAATGAACTCAGCAACAACACAACACCACAATCTTTCAGAACTCATCAACAACGAAACATCAGACTAGATCTAGAGGTAGACAACAACTTAGTAGTGTGATTCTCCATGTCAAAAAATCCTGAAAACTTGTCATCATATTTGAAATAAACACAGTTCCCCTTGGCACCAGGCAAGTCATTTACGAAACAAGAGAAACAACTTTCATCACCAATAAATAACATGCGATCTTCCAATCCTTCAACCTTAACCCATTTATTCTTCCCCTCCTCCAATTTGTAAACTTTGATTGGAATTATATTATCAGAATCATACTGAGAGTCATCAGAATCATAGTCAGAATCAGATAAATACAATAACAAGAACAAATCCTCAAGTGATTCCACCAAGTGCGTTGGGTCGTCCCCACAAAAATACTAATAAGACACAATTCAGGAGCAACGAATGTAGTCTGAAAGTTTTTGGGATCAACTGTTATAACAGATCCATTACAATCAAGAGCATAGAATTTCCCATTGTGAAAAATAATATCAGCAAAACCTCTATCAATATTAGTCCATTTCTCGTCTCCTATTCTCCACAAACACAAATCCCCCATGTCAACCAATAGTACCATATCTGCAAATTCGTTCCCAATCTTATAAAAACTCGAAGAAACCACCACTTTCTTTATATTAATATGCTATTTTAAGTCTTGGATAACACTTCCACCGTTGTCAGGAGCATCAATTAAATAAGCCTTGCCGATCTCAAAAACTTTATAATCCAACAAGTAAAGAACTTCAGGAAACTCATCAAAAACTCCATCACCAAACGTAGAAACCTTCAACCAGGTTTTCTTAAATCGATCAAAAGGGAACCGGGAGAGTGGGTTTGTAATAATAACCTTGCCAGATCTTGATTCTTTAGCTCAAACAATCCAACTCTTGGTACGGTTGGTGACGGGTTGGATAGAGTAAATTGTGTAGAGATATTTTAGGCTTGATTTTAGTAAATCTTTGTGAAATAGTCAAGCATAATTAGTGTCCTTGATTATAGGGTCAATAGCTAATAATGAGCTTGTATCAATTCAAGCATAATTAGTGTCCTTGATTATATGGTCAATAGTTAAAAATTAGCTTGTATCAATTCTCCTATATATATTCTTGTATATATACCCTTAAAAAAAAAAGATTAGAATACTATTTGATTATTCTGCTCTTGATTCAAACTAATTGTGTATTCAGTGAGCACGAGATAGTCGTAGTTGAGATCATTGGTTTCATAAGGTAACTCAATGAAATTCATTTGATTTTTGGATCAACCATAGAATTCAAACTATATAGCTTTACTAACTTGCACTTAAAATTTATTAAATTTACTAGCTTTTGTATTCCTTCAAGTTTAGAATTCATTTGCAAATTCTATCAATTTCGATATAATTTGGTCCAAGCACAACTTATTCCATAGAATTAAACATATGGAACTTCAAATGTATTTTTATTTATACCAAACATGAAAAATGGGATTTATAAATGAATTCCATACAATTTTATGGAATTCATTTACCCCAAACAAGCTCCTCGTGAGCTTTGAGCCTTTTAAGGATAGATAATAGTATAGCCTAGCTAGAAAATAATGCTTGCCTGAGCATTTGCAGATCCTTGAACAGCTTATCCTTGTCAGATTGCATTAATTATATAGAAATTTGCAGAAAGGTTGAAGGGCAATCTTAGAGCCAGGTTGATCCCATTCCAGTGATTCCCACCATTTTTCATCTTGAACATAGATCTGTTCGAGATTAGGTGGAGGAAATGCTTCACCATCAACAATTGGAAGCTCAAGCGGGAGCCTTCTTATATTTGGACATCCACTAATTGTCATGTAAAGGAGAGAAGGACAAAGCACCAACCCCAGACAGATGCTCTTTAATTCTGGTAGCTTACACAAAGAGAGACTCCTCAAGTTGGGGAGAACAAACCTCATGGCAATATCTTTATTTTCCATTGGTAAATGGTTGCTGCTGCTTGCTTCCTGCTCATCCGTTGTTGTAGCTGCTAAAAACTGCTTCATTTGTGGGCAGTCATAAATAAGAACCTCTTCAAGGTTTTGAAGTAGTAGAAGCAACCCAGGTTTGAACAGACTCCTTATATTTGAACAACCTTGGATTTTGAGAACTGTGAGACTGGAAAAGGCACTAGGTTGAAGTAGTAGAAGCAACCCAGGTTTGAACAGACTCCTTATATTTGAACAACCTTGGATTTTGAGAACTGTGAGACTGGAAAAGGCACTAGGAAGAACTGATTGTGGTGTAGCATGCAAAGAAGATGATGTCATTGCCAAGCTCTCTTTTCCTGAATTAAAATGAATTTTCATTCTTCTGTGTTGAAAAATAGCTCAATGTTTTGAAATTGTGGCACCTCTCAATACTCAGGTACTCAACATCAATTGGGACCAAAAGTGAATCTTCTATGCCTTCTTCACTGATGCCATAATCAATTATTCTTACAACTTTTTTGAAGTCTCCAGGTTTATGCAAGTCCTCCTTTCCCAGTTGTAGAAAGTACTTTCTCAAGACTCGGCCATGCAGAGACCCAACAAATATATTAAAACTAGATAAACTGTAAAATTGACATTCAATTTTTTCTATCATTTTCAAGCCTACCAATTCCTCACCTTTTACTTTCAAATTTTTTGATCTCCACCACAGTCGCAAGTATTCAAGGCAAGAGAGTTTTGGTAATATTCCGATTGGTAACTCTAGATCTTGCACATAGAGATTAAGATACCTGAGATTGATCAAACTTTCCATGCCTTCAGGTACATGTTGGATTCCAGTATATCTGAGATCCAACTCCCTTAGTGCACCTAGCTTTGCTACAGAAGGCACGGACTGCAATCAAGCCTAGCTTGCTTACAGAAGGCACGATGAAAATAGCTCTTGCAATGCTTAAGAAATATACATGCAACAAGATTCACCCAATGTGGGAGATGAGTTGTAGGTAAAAATTCTTAATTCCAGTGTAATATTCCGATTGGTAACTCTAGATCTTGCACATAGAGATTAAGATACCTGAGATTGATCAAACTTTCCATGCCTTCAGGTACATGTTGGATTCCAGTATATCTGAGATCCAACTCCCTTAGTGCACCTAGCTTTGCTACAGAAGGCACGGACTGCAATAGTTTGCAATGCTTAAGATATAATGCAACAAGATTCACCAATGTGGAGATGGAGTTTGGTAAATTCTTAATTCCAGTATAAGAAAGATCTAGAAGCCTCAAAACATGCATGCATGAAAAGAAAGAATCTGGAATTCTAACCAGATCTTTATTCTGTGCCAGTAACATGGTTTGAAGTTTTGGACATTTTGGTGACAATCTAGAAGGAATTTCTGATATGTGATTGTCAATCAAGGATACGCTCTCAAGTTCCTCCATCCATCTGTCCTCATTTGGCAATTCTCTTAACCGAACTCCAGCTTCTACAAGGAATTGATGATCCATGCTTTTCATTTGAATTACCATGTCCCTAATTAGGTCATGCATCTTCACATATTTCTTATCATAAATGCTTTCCAAAAGACAAGCATTTTCAAGCTTGTTTAGCATAGCATATCCCTTGGCAAACTCTGCTTGCCTACTTTTCATTTTATCTACTATTCCTACACCAATCAAATGCCTTATCAGCTCTGTCCTTTTGATCAAAAAGTCTTCCGGGTATAATGCACAATATATGAGACACTGCCTGAACTTGTCATCTTTCAAACGCGCATAACTAAATTTTAGCTGCTCAAACACCTTACCCATGTCACTAAGCCCCTTTGTAGATTCCCTCAACTCCTCTAGAGCATTTTCCCATTCATATATGTCATCTACGCCCTTCATACTACCAGCTATAGTGATAATTGCAAGAGGCAAGCAGGCACATTCATCAGCAACTTGTTTTGCTGTTGCTTCTAATTCTGGGGTAATAAAAACTTGATATCCAACTTTTTCCACAAATAAGTTCCATGCCTCCTCTTCAGTAAGAAGCTCCATTTTGATATCCTTGCAATCCATGCTCCGACAAATGTCAAGCGATCGAGTTGTCAATACTAATTTGCATCCATTATCAGGTGTAGGCTCAGGAATTCCTACATCCTCAAGATTGAATGCTTCCCACATATCATCAAGGATTAACAACCAGTTTTTCTTTACTCGCAGCCATGCAAATAACTTGACAGCCATTCTTGTTTCATCCTCATATTGTGCAAAATCTTGATTCAATGCAGCTGCAATGTCTTTCTGTAAGTTCCCAAGGTTTAGTGCTTTTGACACTGTCACCCAAATCACATTATCAAATTTGTCATGGCCTCTTTGGAGTCTGTTGTTGATATGCTTCATAATGGTTGTTTTTCCAACACCACCCATGCCATAAATTCCAACCTTTCTAACATCATTATCCATCAAGCATGTCCAAATTTCTTCCATCTTCCTTTTCGCTGTTTCACCTACTAATGTTGTTGCAGGTAAGATCTCTCCAACATCTGCAGGTGTATCAATCACCAAACTGTCACCAAAATCACCCTTTTGATGAAGATCCTCCACTTCTTGTATCTTCTTAAAAGCAAGTTTTGCCAAGCGTGCACGTGAAAGATATTTCCGCTTCGCAACTTCTTGCTCAATTGCAAAAGTTTCACCATTGATAGTCTCTATATTTTGCAACCAAAGCTCAACCTCTTTTCTAGGTAATTTCCCTGGAATAAGCTCTGCACTTAATCTTGAAGCTACATCTTCCTTCCGACTGTTTAGTTCATTCACTTTCCTTCTCAAATTACTCACATATTGGTCCATGTGTCTATGATATTCCCAGCGGGTTCCTACTGGAGTCCATAACTTGTTTACAAGTTCTATAACTGACCCAGCAAGCTCCATCTACAGATCGATGCAAAAGAGACAATATTTTACAAGTCCTTGATCAAAAATCAAAAATAAGAATTTAACCATAAAATTTGTTTATTTACTATTAGCAATCCATTAAGAATCCAAAGATTTCATGAAGAAGGGCCAAGGGAATCATCTAGGGGGGAAAAAGCTACTTTTACATTAAGAAACAAAGATTTCAAGAATCAAAGACACAACTTTCTTCTTCAACAACTACTTCTAAGTTATATTTTGATACATAAGGGCAAATATTTTGTAAGTCCTTGCTGAAAAATCAAACATAAGAATTTAATCATAAAATTTGTTTACTTACTATTAGCAATCAATCAAGAATCAGAAGATTTCATGAAGAGCAGCCAAAATGACCTTTTTGGGGTGGAGAAAAAGCTACTTTTACATCATGAAACAAAGATTTCAAGAATCAAACACTCAACTCACTTCTTCAACTACTAGTTGTAAGTTAATAGCATTGCAATTAGCCATTTAAAATTCTTCAACTAGTAACCACAAGAATCAAAGCAAAATAATGACAGGCAGATCCAAATCTGCAAGTTTTCAGAATAAATGTACCTGATTGATGGATCTTAACTTTGATTTATTTTAAGTACCACAAAAACTCCCTTGCCAGTGTCTCCTCTAAAATGTAACTGATTTGAAATGGTCTAGACTTTGAGGATTTATTTTAAGTACCCTACAAAAACTCCCTTGCTCAGTGTCTCCCTCTTCTTAAAAGATTTGAGAATAGTAAAATTGAAAACTCCCTTGCCAGTGTCTCCTCCCTTTTAAGAATTTGAGAATAGAAAATTGAATTTTCTTGTACGCGGAAAAAAAACGGTTCACTGAATCAGTAAGAGGAAGATCAGTAGCAAATTCCTTGTTGTGTAAAGGAAACAATATAATACAATATTCTGACTGAAAATAACCACCGACTATTTTAAGAGTAGAAATATTTGTCGTGAGGCCTTTGAAAAGTAAAGCTATAAAATTCGTCTTAGCACTTTGTAGTTGTACCCCTCCTCTGTTATGAAGCTTAGCAGGCGCGTGGGTTTGTAGACATTGAGTCAGTAGTAGCCGCCTTGTACCACATAAAAATCTTCTATAGATTGCATATCTAGCTGATATTTTACACCAGACACCATTTAAGCTGATATTGGGTCCACAAATTTCAGGCCAGCTGTAAGCCTTTGATTATTAAAAAAAAAACAAAAAAAGAACTTGGCCACTAACTGTCTAACTCTATGGCATAGATTAAAAAAAGAACTAAAAAATTATAGGATTAATCACATTAATGGTGTTTGAACTTCTGCAATATTCTTGTCGGTGCAACAGTAACTTTTTAAGCAAATAAATATATACAATATATCAAACCTGGAAAAAAAAACAAGCACTTGCTGTGGGATCCCTCTGACATATGGGACCCACTTAAGCTTGTAGAAAAAAACACAAAAAGGAAGAAATCCATGTTTTTTTAAAAAGTCAAATAAGGCTGCGAGAAAAAAAAAAAGGACAAGCACGTGCTTGTAGAAGTCGAAATCTCTGCAGAAATTTATGTTGAATAAAAAGGAAAAGGGATCAAATTTTACTGTTTGTACATTGATCAGTTCCGTATGAGTTGAGTAGCCATATGATTGTATATCATCAGAACTGCAAAGGCAGAACAGCAAACTGCCGTCCACTGATCACGTGCAACTCAGATAGTTCCTCGTTGAAGCACAAATGGATATCATCAGAACAAGCTCGATTAACAAGCTCGATTTTTATATGGCCAAGCAAGTATCTGATGTTGGAAAGCATGACGGGGAAAATCTTCAGCTAGAATCAGATGATCACATCAAAGACTGCTCTAATCAGCCAATATATTGTTGTTGTTTCATTAGGTGATCCTTTCAGGCATATTCCGGCAAATAACAAACGTCAACTTCTGGTAAGCATAAATTCAACACAAAAGGTTCAGTGATGCTAGCCATTGACAATCTCACTAATACAGAGATTAGAAGCAGCAGTCCTTTGAAAATAAACTTCTTAGAATCTCTCTCCACATCCCCATTTTTGGAACAAAACCTTGTTTTACCATTTGCTTCAAAACCAACTCAACCTCCACTTCTTGTAAGATGCAAAACTAGGACTATTAGCCTCACAAATCATCATAGCCATGAATTCTTTTGCCTCCAGAAACTTCCCGGCATCAAGCAAACCATATAGAACTTCTTGATAAGACCCTGCATTTGGTTCGCATCCCTTGAGCTTCATTTTCTGCAGCAGCTCCATCCCATCTTCAATCCTTCCTTGTTTCCTTAACCCTGAAATCAAAATATTGAAAGTGATTGTATCCGCAATCAAAATATTGAAAGTGATTGTATCCGCCCTTCAATTTACCCCTCATTTTCCATTCTCTCAAGACAAACCAAATGCCTTACTTCACCTCCCCTTTTGCACAGAGAGTGATGTGCATCAGCGTTTGAGGAATTCTCAACATTAGGCCTGCATTTGTTTGGGAAATTCGTCGAGCACATCGAATGCAAACTGTAAATCCCCCCATTTTCACATAAAACCCTTTGAATGAGGAAATATATAAGACAACAAGATTCAATTTCTAACCCAACATGGGAGCTTTCACATTTATAATCTCATGAACTACATAAATTATGCTTTGCAGATACTAGCATATTCAACACAAGATTAAAAGTTTTCGAGACATTTGGCCAACAATTATCCCTTTGGCATATCTAAAGGAGGTTTCTATTTGATTTCCTTTGATTCGACCAGCCAAGACCAGCTAAATGGCCATAAATCTTGATTACATTGTAAAAGAAATCGTTTGACAAACGACATGACTTTTCAAATTTGATTCTTTCCATAATTTCTTCAATGGCATCAAAGTTTTTGGCACAGGCAAGCTGGTTTATAACAACAGTGAAAATAGCTTCATTGGGTTTATAGTCTTTTCTCTTTGAGTATTGATTCCAGATAGAGATAACTGAATCTGGGTCTTTAATGTCTTCGAAAATTTTTAAAACTTCATTTGGAGACAACCAGTCTTTATGGTTCAGTTTGTAATGAGTATGAGGCGGATGTTGGGTTGACTGTGAAGAAGATGGTAAAGTAGAGCAGTGAAGAAGATGGTAAAGTAGAGCAAGAGAAAAACGAAGGGAATATAGAAATTGAGGGATGGACAGTGCGTCTTGAATGAGCTTGAAGAGAGTGAAAGATTGATTTGTGAACTAGAAATGAACGGAAAAGCATTCTGTTCGTCTTCGATTTGCGGGCTGGTGGTTTCGTGCGAGAACTTATGAGTTAGGATTCCTACCTCGTGCAAACCGCAAAGCAAGCACCGAACGAGTAACTATTTTTCTCTTAAGCAAATAATATTTTGTGCTAAGCAAGCAGCCGTCAAGGATATTGAGAATTAAGCCATTTTGACAACTTCCAACTGGAAGTTAGTTGCCTTTTTCTTTTTCATTTGCGCTATCATCTGGATCAGATTATATATCGGGTCGAGCCGTAAATTGATATCAGATCATTCATTTGCGCTATCATCTGGATCAGATTATATATCGGGTCGAGCCGTAAATTGATATCAGATCACCTTAGTTAGGTGGAATTTGCGGGTCTTCCTCAAGTCGGACTTCATCATATCGGGTTGTCATCCTATTACCTTGTTGAATTTAACGGAAAAATTAAAAAAATTATTGAATCACTTCGATTTTCAAAAATTAGTATAAAATTTAAATATAAGAATTAATGTTATCGTGTACTTAAATTTGTAAATTTTGGTAATTTATGTACTTTCTATATTAACAATTTAAGTTTTTAAGATTTTTGACTTTTATATGCAAAACAACCGTTTGATATATAGCTAGCATAATTTTTTGGATGATATACTTTTTGTAACTAGTCTCCGTCTGTTTTCAAAAAAAAAAAAATTTACTGAAAAATATTTTTCAAATAATTTATTTTCTGTTGTTCAATTACAATATTAAAAATTCATTAAAAATATTAAAAATTTTAATTCATAACAATAATAAGAATAAATTTCATATTTTAAATTTTTATTATTAAATATGAGAATAGTGAAAAAAATAATAAATTATGAAAGCTGCTGGTAACCGATGGTGGTAGCTAATGGTGGTGGCTGTAGTGGTGGCTAGTGAGTGGTGGTGGTAGCTATCGATTATTAATAAATTAAAAAATTATGAAATTTATAAGGTTATAATAAGTTTGTCAAAATCCGGAAAATATTTTACGCTCTTGAAAATAGAAAGTCATTTTCTTTAAAAATGAATTTTTTTTATTAGAAAAATATTTTCCATTAATTTATTTTCCTAAACGCCACCAAACAATAGAAAATTGTAAAAAATATGTTCATGCAAGTTATTTTACGGACATAAACGGAGCCTAAAAAAAATTATTTTCGTAATTGCAAGATAATCAAGCCAAATAAGAAGTTAATTTGCAAGTAAATTCAAGCCAAATAAGAAAAAGTATTTTTATTAGGATGAATTCTGTAACTCACACATAACCAAATGGATGATTAAGAGCAGGGCACCAAGAAGCAATTCCAACCTTGCCTTCCTTCAAAAGACAAGGGCTTAGACGAGAGAGAAGATCAACATTTATGTTTAATTTCCTTGAAATTATTTAAATTTATTTATTCTAGCCATTATATAATAACCTAGATTGTGAACTTGAACATCAGCCAATTGACTAAAATTCATTTGTGTGTCTTATTTACTTAGCATCTCCATCTGTTAGAGGCTGTCAGCTAACAATTGGGAGAAGCTGCTTGAGATGGAGCTAACAATTGAGAAGCTGCTTGAGATGGATGATACAAATCCCAAAACAAATATTCACTTCTATTGCTACAAAGAATTGGATTTATAGGTTCATAACATCCTACTTCTCCATTGTAATTTCCCAATCCACAACAGGCTGTCTTGATGTTCTTGAACCCTAAAATATATAAATGGAACTTTTTAAAATATAAAAATTTCAAAAAACAGTGCATGAGGAAACTAATTAGGACTTGAAAATTCATAATTTTAGCAAAATTAGTGTTGAGTAGTACAGGTACCGACCCAGTCCGAAGAAGTAAGGGGTCAAACTATAATTTTGATTAATGAAAGGGCCAAATTTAAATATTTTTTCAATTTTTTTTAACGAGAAAAATTGAAATTTTTTTATATTGGGGGCCAAGGCCCCTTTTTTTGGGCCCTATATATGTGGGTTCCTCCCTACAGTAGTACTTTAAAGTCTAATGCTTCCAGTGAGCATTCGGTCAACCGAACCAAGCCAAAATCGAATTAGCTCGATTTTGGTTTATTGAAAAATATTTTTGTGGTATCAAATTTGAAACCAAACAGTATAATAAATGATAATTGGTTTGGTTCGGTTTGAATTCGATTACTCCAAATCTAATTAGTTATTTTGAACTTAAAATAAAGTTAGTTATATATAGTAACCAGATAAAAATCAAAAACCAAACGGTTATCTATATACAAACCGATTAGTAATCGAATTTTTAAAATATCTATCTGAATCCGACCGAAATAAATTGGCTCAGTTCTATTCTCGGTTAGAAACCGAAAATTGCTGACCTTTACTAACGCGTGTGTGTGTATATATAATGGCAGGGATAAGCATAATTACCAAAAGAAGGATAGTTGTCAAACAAATCCATAGTCATAGCATAGGTATTTCCAAGAGAATACTTGAGGTTTGGCAACTCTGAAGTCATCCTTTGCAATAGAGTGAGAGTTGAGTTATAGAAAACTTGAGCAAAGTCATTCAAAAGCTGCATACAACCTTCACCACCTTCTTTTTCATAGATGGCTCTTGCATATGGACAACAACCAATTGGTGGAACTCCTATTATACCGAATTTCCTTGCACCCATATTATACACATCCTGTCATAATACAAGCATGCAAAAGAAAAAAAAAAAAAAAAAAAAAAAAAAAAAAAAAAAAAAAAAGAAGATAAAACCCGTAAGTTGGTGAACAAAACCATTAGAAAGGTGAATGTTATTTGTCCTTAACAAAGTTCCCAGTACTATAAAAGGGAAAAAGATCAGGATAGAACCTTCAAATGAACATGGTATGCAGATTGGACACCAGCCACGAACTCTTCTTTGGGTGTATTGTTTTTTGCACGCATGTAATCAAAGAATTCGTTAGCTCCAAAGCAGAAAATGTATAAAGCTTTGGAAAGAATCTTAGCTGTTGCCTTTGGACCTCTAACTTGTGTGATATTTCCTATGACTGTATTAAATTGTTGAATTTGCAGTGATAGAGGCACAACTGCATTCTGCAGGTTTCCACCAAATCAAGAATCTATTGTTAGGTTTATCATCACTAAGTAAAGTTGATTCAAATTAACGAGTTTATATAAATAAACTAAAATGCCTTGCTTTTGGCTTCTTAGAAATTTCTTGCGGGTGTAGGATGGTTCCATGCAGGAAGCTAATCAAACAAAAGTTTTTTAAAAAATGTTACCGTATTGTCTTTTTCTTTTGATTTTAGTAATCTTTGTGAAATAGTCAAGCATAATTAGTGTCCTTGATTATAGGGTCAATAGCTAATAATGAGCTTGTATCAATTCAAGCATAATTAGTGTTTGATTATAGGGTCAATAGCTAATAATGAGCTTGTATCAATTCAAGCATAATTAGTGTCCTTGATTATATGGTCAATAGTTAAGAATTAGCTTGTATCAATTCTCCTATATATATTCTTGTACATATACCTTTAAAAAAAAAAAAAAAAATTAGAATACAATTTGATTATTCTGCTCTTGATTCAAACTAATTGTGTATTCAGTGAGCACAAGATAGTCGTAGTTGAGATCATTGATTTCATAAGGTAACTCAATGAAATTCATTTGATTTTTGGATCAACCATAGAATTCAAACTATATAGCTTTACTAACTTGCACTTAAAATTTATTAAATTTACTAGCTTTTGTATTCCTTCAAGTTTAGAATTCATTTGCAAATTCTATCAATTTCGATATAATTTGGTCCACGCACAGCCTGTTCCATAGAATTAAACACGTGGAACTTCGAATGAATTTTTATTTATACCAAACATGAAAAATGGGATTTATAAATGAATTCCATACAATTTTATGGAATTCATTTACCCCAAACAAGCTCCTGGTGAGCTTTGAGCCTTTTAAGGATAGATAATAGTATAGTCTAGCTAGAAAATAATGATTGCCTGAGCATTTACAGATCCTTGAACAGCTTATCCTTGTCAGATTGCATTAATTATATATAAACTTGCAGAAAGGTTGAAGGGCAATCTTAGAGCCAGGTTGATCCCATTCCAGTGATTCCCACCATTTTTCATCTTCAACATAGATATGTTCGAGATTAGGTGGAGGAAATGCTTCACCATCAACAATCGGAAGCTCAAGCGGGAGCCTTCTCATATTTGGACATGCAGTAACTGTCATGTAAAGGAGAGAAGGACAAAGCACCAACCCCAGACAGATGCTTTTTAATTCTGGTAGCCTACACAAAGAGAGACTCCTCAAGTTGGGGAGAACAAACCTCATGGCAATACCTTTATTTTCCATTGGTAAATGGTTGCTGCCATTGGTAAATGGTTGCTGCTGCTTCCTTCCTGCTCATCTGTTGTTGTAAAAAACTGCTTCATTTGTGGGCAGTCATAAATATCAACCTTTTCAAGGTTTTGAAGTAGTGGAAGCAACCCAGGTTTGAACAGACTCCTTATATTTGAACAACCTTGGATGTCGAGAACTGTGAGACTGGAAAAGGCACTGGGAAGAACTGATTGTGGTGTCGCATGCAAAGAAGATGATGTCATTGCCAGGCTTTCTTTTCCTGAATTAAAATGAATTTCATTCTTCTGTGTTGAAAAATAGCTCAAGGTTTTGAAATTGTGGCACCTCTCAATACTCAGGTACTCAACATCAACTGGGACCAAAAGTGAATCTTCTATGCCTTCTTCACTGATGCCATAATCAATTATTCTTAAGTGAATCTTCTATGCCTTCTTCACTGATGCCATAATCAATTATTCTTACAACTTTTTTGAAGTCACTATGTTCTTGCGAGTCCTCCTCTCCCAATTGTAGAAAGTACTTTCTCAGCTCTCGGCCATGCAGAGACCCAACAAATATATTAAAACTAGATAAACTGTAAAATTGACATTCAATTTTTTCTATCATTTTCAAGCCTACCAATTCCTCACCTTTTACTTTCAAATTTTTTGATCTCGACCACAGTCGGAAGTATTCAAGGCAAGAGAGCTTTGGTAATATTCCGATTGGTAACTCTAGATCTCGCACATAGAGATTAAGATACCTGAGATTGATCAAACTTTCCATGCCTTCAGGTACATGTTGGATTCCAGTATATCTGAGATCCAACTCCCTTAGTGCACCTAGCTTTGATCTCGCACATAGAGATTAAGATACCTGAGATTGATCAAACTTTCCATGCCTTCAGGTACATGTTGGATTCCAGTATATCTGAGATCCAACTCCCTTAGTGCACCTAGCTTTGCTACAGAAGGCACGGACTGCAATTGTTTGCAATGCTTAAGATACAATGCAACAAGATTCTCCAATGTGGAGATGGAGTTTGGTAAATTCTTAATTCCAGTATAAGACAGATCCAGAAGCCTCAAAACATGCATGCATGAGAAGAAAGAATCTGGAATTCTAACCAGATCTTTATTCTGTGCCAGTAACATGGTTTGAAGTTTTGGACATTTTGGTGACAATCTAGAAGGAATTTCTGATATGTGATTGTCAATCAAGGATACGCTCTCAAGTTCCTCCATCCATCTGTTCTCATTTGGTAATTCTCTTAACTGAACTCCAGCTTCTACAAGCAATTGATTATCCATGCTTTTCATCTGTATTACCATGTCCCTAATTAGGTCATGCATCTTCACATATTTCTTATCACAACTGCTTTCCAAAAGACAAGCATTTTCAAGCTTGTTTAGCATAGCATAACCCTTTTTAAACTCTGCTTGACTATTTTTCATTTTATCTACTATTCCTACACCAATCAAATGCCTTATCAGCTGTGTCCTTTTGATCAAAAAGTCCTCCGGGTATAATGCACAATATATGAGACACTGCCTGAACTTGTCATCTTTCAAATGCGCATAACTAAATTTTAGCTGCTCAAGCACCTTATCCATGTCCTTAAACCCCTTTGTAGATTCCCTCAACTCCTCTAGAGCATTTTCCCATACAAATATGTCATCTTCGCCCTTCATACTACCAGCTATAGTGATAATTGCAAGGGGCAAGCAGGTACATTCATCAGCAACTTGTTTTGCTGTTGCTTCTAATTCCGGGGTAATAAAAACTTGACGTCCAACTTTTTCCACAAATAAGTTCCATGCCTCCTCTTCAGTAAGACGCTCCATTTTGATATCCTTGCAACCCATGCTCTGACAAATGTTAAGCAATCGAGTTGTTAATACTAATTTGCATCCATTATCAGGTGTAGGCTCAGGAATTCCTACATCCTCAAGATTGAATGCTTCCCACATATCATCAAGCATTAACAACCAGTTTTGCTTTTCTCCCAGCCATTTAAATAACTTGACAGCCATTCTTGTTTCATCATCATGTTGTGCAAAATCTAGATTCAATGCAGCTGCAATGTCTTTCTGTAAGTTCCCAAGGTTTAGTGGTTGTGACACTGTCACCCAAATCACATTATCAAATTTGGCGTGGCCACTTTGGAGTCTGTTGTTGATATGCTTCATAATGGTTGTTTTTCCAACACCACCCATGCCATAAATTCCAACCTTTCTAACTTCATTATCCATCAAGCAAGTCCAAATTTCGTCCATCTTCCTTTTAGCTGTTTCACCAACTAATGCTGTTGCAGGTAAGATCCCTCGACCATCCGCAGGTGTATCAATCACCAAACTGTCACCAAAATCACCCATTTGACGAAGATCCTCCACTTCTTGTATCTTCTTAAAAGCAAGTTTTGCCCAGCATGCACGTGAAAGATATTTCCGCTTCGCAACTTCTTGCTCAATTTCACCATTGATAGTCTCTACATTTTGCAACCAAAGCTCAACCTCTTTTCTAGGTAATTTCCCTGGAAAAAGCTCTGCACTTAATCTTGAAGCTACATCTTCCTTCCGGCTGTTTAGTTCATTCACTTTCCTTCTCAAATTACTCATATATTGGTCCATGTGTCTATGATATTCCCAGCAGGTTCCTACTGGAGTCCATAACTTGTTTACAAGTTCTATAACTGACCCAGCAAGCTCCATCTACAGATCGATGCATAAGAGACAATATTTTACAATTCCTTGATAAAAAACCAAACATAAGAATTTAACCATAAAATTTGTTTATTTACTATTAGCAATAGATTTCATGAAGAAGGGTCAAAGGAATCATCTAGGGGGAAAAAAGCTACTTTTACATTAAGAGACAAAGATTTCAAGAATCAAAGACACGACTTTCTTCTTCGACTACTACTTCTAAGTTATATTTTGATGCATAAGGGCAAATATTTTGTAAGTCCTTGCTGAAAAATCAAACATAAAAATTTAATCATAAAATTTGTTTAGTTACTATTAGCAATCAATCAAGAATCAGAAGATTTCATGAAGAGCAGTCAAAAGAACCTTTTTGGGGTGGAGAAAAAGCTACTTTGCAGTCAAAAGAACCTTTTTGGGGTGGAGAAAAAGCTACTTTTACATCATGAAACAAAGATTTCAAGAATCAAACACTCAACTCACTTCTTCAACTACTAGTTGTAAGTTAATAGCATTGCAATTAGCCATTTAAAATTCTTCAACTAGTAACCACAAGAATCAAAGCAAAATAATGACAGGTAGATCCAAATCTGCAAGTTTTCAGAATAAAAGTACCTGATTGATGGATGTTAACTTTGATTTATTTTAAGTACCACAAAAACTCCCTTGCCAGTGTCTCCTCCCTTTTAAGAATTTGAGAATAGAAAATTGAATTTTCTTGTACACGGAAAAAAAAAGGTTCACTGAATCAGTAAGAGGAAGATCAGTAGCAAATTCCTTGTTGTGTAAAGGAAACAATATAATACAATATTCTAACCACCCACTATTTAAAGAGTAGAAATATTTGTCGTGGGACTTTGAAAAGTTAAGCTATAAAGTTCGTCTTAGCACTTTGTAGTTGTATCCCTCCTCTGTTATGAAGCTTAGCAGGCGCGTGGGTTTGTAGACATTGGGTCAGTTGTAGCCACTTTGTACCACATAAAAATCTTCTATGGATTTCATATTTAGCTAATATTTTACACCTGGACACCATTTAAGCTGATATTGGGTCCACAAATTTCAGGCCAGCTGTAAGCCTTTGATTATTAAAAAAAAACAAAAAAATCTTCCTTCTCGTTCAGAAAACAGACTGACTTGCAAGAATCTTGCAGACCAAATTTGCATTTCATTGAATAATATGTTGTCTATAGAAAAGGTAAGGGATATAGAAGTCGAAATCTCTGCAGAAATTTATGTTGAATAAAAAGGAAAAGGGATCAAATTTTACTGTTTGTACAAGGAAAAGGGATCAAATTTTACTGTTTGTACATTGATCAGTTCCGTATGAGTTGAGTAGCCATATGATTGTATATCATCAGAACTGCAAAGGCAGAACAGCAAACTGCCGTCCACTGATCACGTGCAACTCAGATAGTTCCTCGTTGAAGCACAAATGGATATCATCAGAACAAGCTCGATTTTTATATGGCCAAGCAAATATCTGATGTTGGAAAGCATGACGGGGAAAATCTTCAGCTAGAATCAGATGATCACATCAAAGACTGCTCTAACTGCTCTAATCAGCCAATATATTGTTGTTGTTTCATTAGGTGATCCTTTCAGGCATATTCCGGCAAATAACAAACGTCAACTTCTGGTAAGCATAAATTCAACACAAAAGGTTCAGTGATGCTAGCCATTGACAATCTCACTAATACAGAGATTAGAAGCAGCAGTCCTTTGAAAATAAACTTCTTAGAATCTCTCTCCACATCCCCATTTTTGGAACAAAACCTTGTTTTACCATTTGCTTCAAAACCAACTCAACCTCCCAACTCAACCTCCCCAATCAACTTGTCATTGCAAAGCCCATGAATCAACTTCTTGTAAGATGCAAAACTAGGACTATTAGCCTCGCAAATCATCATAGCCATGAATTCTTTTGCCTCCAAAAACTTCCCGGCATCAAGCAAACCATATAGAACTTCTTGATAAGACCCTGCATTTGGTTCGCATCCCGTGAGCTTCATTTTCTGCAGCAGCTCCATCCCATCTTCAATCCTTCCTTGTTTCCTTAACCCTGAAATCAAAATATTGAAAGTGATTGTATCCGCTTCAATACCCTCATTTTCCATTCTCTCAAGCAGCAACCACAATGGCCTTATTGACCTCCCTTTTGCACAGAAGTAGTGCATCAGCGTTGAGAAAAGTTCTCACATTGAGGCCTGCTAATCATTGTTTGGGGATAATTCGTCGAGCAATTGAAATGCAATATCTGTAAAGTCCCCATTTCACATACCTTTAATGAGAAGATTAAGAACAACAAAGCATCAATTTCTACACCCAAAATGGGGGCTTTCACATATCTCTCACATGATACTGACATAAAAAAGCTTTTGCAGATACTAGCAATTCAATCACAAGATTAAAAAGTTTCACATTGGCCAACAAATTATACCTTTGGGCATATCTAGAAGGGTTTCTATTGATTTGCTTGATCTAGGACCAGCTAAATGGCCATAAATCTTGATTACATTGTAAAAGAAATCGTTTGACAAACGACATGACTTTTCAAATTTGATTCTTTCCATAATTTCTTCAATGGCATCAAAGTTTTTGGCACAGGCAAGCTGGTTTATAACAACAGTGAAAATAGCTTCATTGGGTTTATAGTCTTTTCTCTTTGAGTATTGATTCCAGATAGAGATAACTGAATCTGGGTCTTTAATGTCTTCGAAAATTTTTAAAACTTCATTTGGAGACAACCAGTCTTTATGGTTCAGTTTGTAATGAGTATGAGGCGGATGTTGGGTTGACTGTGAAGAAGATGGTAAAGTAGAGCATTAGTAGAGAAGAGAAAAACGAATGTGTATGGACAGTGCGTCTTGAATGAGCTTGAAGAGAGTGAAAGATTGATTTGTGAACTAGAAATGAACGGAAAAGCATTCTGTTCGTCTTCGATTTGCAGGCTGGTGGTTTCGTGCGAGAACTTATGAGTTAGGATTCCTACCTCGTGCAAACCGCAAAGCAAGCACCGAACGAGTAACCATTTTTCTCTTAAGCAAATAATATTTTGCGCTAAGCAAGCTTCAAGGATATTGAGAATTAAGCCATTTTGACAACTTCCAACTGGAAGATAGTTTCCTTTTTCTTTTTTATTTGCGCTATCATCTGGATCAGATTATGTATCGGGTCGAGCCGTCAATTGATATCAGATCTCCTCGGTTAGGTGGAATTTGCGAGTCTTCCTCAAGTCGGACTTTATCATATCGGGTTGTCATCCTATTACCTTCTTGTTGAATTTAACGCAAAAATTAAAAAAATTATTGAATCACTTCGATTTTCAAAAATAAGTATAAAATTGAAATATAATAATTAATGTTATCGTGTACTTAAACTTGTAAATTTCAGTAATTTATGTACTTTCTATACTAACAATTTTTGATTTTTATACGTAAAATACCCGTTTAATTATAGCTAGCATAATTTTTTGTTACTAGGCTCCGTCTATTTCAAAAAAAAAACTTACTAGAAACTATTTTTCAAATAATTTATTTTCTGTTGTTCGGTTACAGTATTGAAAATTCATTAAAAATATTAAAATTTTAATTCATAATAATAATAATAATAATAAATTTCATATTTTAAAATTTTTATTGTTAAATATGAGAATAGTGAAAAAAATGATAAATTATGAAAGCATGCTACTAACCGATGGTCGTATCCAATGGTGGTGGTAGCTATCAATTATTAATAAATTAAAAAAATTAGAAAATTTATAATGTTATAATAAGTTTGCCAAATCTAGAAAATATTTTACGCCCTTGAAAATAGAAAGTCATTTTCCTTAAACATGAATTTTTTTTTTTATTAGGAAAATATTTTTTATTAACTTATTTTCGTAAATGCCTCTAGACAACAATACATTATGAAAAATATGTTCCAGTAATTTATTTTACGCAAATACCGGAGCCTAAAAAAAAAATTATTTTCATAATTGCAAGATAATCAAGCCAAATAAGAAAAAGTATTTTTATTAGATGAAATTGTAACTCACACATAACCAATGGATGATTATGAGCAGGCCAAGAAGCAATTCCAACCTGCCTTCCTCTCAAAAGAGGTGCTAGAGAGAGAGAGAGATCAACATTTTGTAATTTCTTGAAATTATTTAAATTTATTATCTAGCCATTATATAAATAACCTAGATGTGAACTTGAACATCTGTAATTTCTTGAAATTATTTAAATTTATTATCTAGCCATTATATAAATAACCTAGATGTGAACTTGAACATCAGCCAATTGACTAAAATTCATTGGTGTCATATACTTAGCATCTCCAGTGTAGAGGCTGTCAGCTAACAATTGAGAAGCTGCTTGAGATGGATGATACAAATCCCAAAACAAGTACTCACTTCTTCATTTGTGGGCAGTCATAAATAACAACCTCTCCAAGGTTTTGAAGTAGTAGAAGCAACCCAGGTTTGAACAGACTCCTTATATTTGAACAACTATGGATTTCGAGAACTGTGAGACTGGAAAAGGCACTAGGAAGAACTGATTGTGGTGTAGCATGCAAAGAAGATGATGTCATTGCCAGGCTTTCTTTTCCTGAATTAAAAAGAATTTCATTCTTCTGTGTTGAAAAATAGCTCAAGGTTTTGAAATTGTGGCACCTCTCAATACTCAGGAACTCAACATCAATTGGGACCAAAAGTGAATAACATCAATTGGGACCAAAAGTGAATCTTCTATGCCGTCTTCACTGATGCCATAATCAATTATTCTTACAACTTTTTTAACTTTTTTGAAGTCTCCAGCTTTATACAAGTCCTTCTCTCCCAGTTGTAGAAAGTACTTTCTCAGCACTCGGCCATGCAGAGACCCAACAAGTATATTAAAACTAGATAAACTGTAAGATTGACATTCAATTTTTTCTATCATTTTCAAGCCTACCAATTCCTCACCTTTTACTTTCAAATTTTTTGATCTGCACCACAGTCGGAAATATTCAAGGCAAGAGAGCTTTGGTAATATTCCGATTGGGAACTCTAGATCTCGCACATAGAGATTAAGATACCTGAGATTGATCAAACTTTCCATGCCTTCAGGTACATGTTGGATTCCAGTATAATATCTGAGATCCACTCCCTTAGTGCACCTAGCTTTTTAGTGCACCTAGCTTTGCTACAGAAGGCAGGGACTGCAATCGTTTGCAATGCTTAAGATACAATGCAACAAGATTCTCCAATGTGGAGATGGAGTTTGGTAAACTCTTAATTCCAGTATAAGACAGATCCAGAAGCCTCAAAACATGCATGCATGAAAAGAAAGAATCTGGAATTCTAACCAGATCTTTATTCTGTGCCAGTAACATGGTTTGAAGTTTTGGACATTTTGGTGACAATCTAGAAGGAATTTCTGATATGTGATTGTCAATCAAGGATACGCTCTCAAGTTCCTCCGTCCATCTGTTCGCATTTGGTAATTCTCTTAACCGAACTCCAGCTTCTACAAGCAATTGATGATCCATGCTTTTCATCTGTATTACCATCTCCCTAATTAGGTCATGCATCTTCACATATTTCTTATCACGAATGCTTTCCAAAAGACAAGCATTTTCAAGCTTGTTTAGCATAGCATATCCATTGACAAACTCTGCTTCGCTACTTTTCATTTTATCTACTATTCCTAAACTAATCAAACGCCTTATCAGCTGTGTCCTTTTGATCAAAAAGTCCTCCGGGTATAATGCACACAATATATGAGACACTGCCTGAACTTGTCATCTTTCAAATGCGCATAACTAAATTTTAGCCGCTCAATCACCTGATCCATTTCTTCCCTAAGCCCCTTTGTAGATTCCCTCAACTCCTCTAGAGCATTTTGCCATTCATATATGTCATCTACGCCCTTCATACTACCAGCTATAGTGACAATTGCAAGAGGCAAGCAGGCACATTCATCAGCAACTTGTTTTGCTGTTGCTTCTAATTCCGGGGTATTAAAAACTTGATTTCCAACTTTTTCCACAAATAAGTTCCATGCCTCCTCTTCAGTAAGAAGCCCCATTTTGATATCCTTGCAATCCATTCTCCGACAAACGTCAAGCCCCATTTTGATATCCTTGCAATCCATTCTCCGACAAACGTCACGCAATCGAGTTGTTAATACTAATTTGCATCCATTATCAGGTGTAGGCTCAGGAATTCCTACATCCTCAAGATTGAATGCTTCCCACATATCATCAAGGATTAACAACCAGTTTTTCGCTTTTCCCAGCCATTTAAATAACTTGACAGCCATTTTTGTTTCATCCTTACATTGTGCAAAATCTCGATTCAATGCAGCTGCAATGTCTTTCTGTAAGTTCCCAAATTTTAGTGGTTGTGACACTGTCCCATGTCAACCAATAGTACCATATCTGCAAATTCGTTCCCAATCTTATAAAAACTCGAAGAAATCACCACTTTCTTTATATTAATATGCTATTTTAAGTCTTGGATAACGCTTCCACCTTTGTCAGGAGCATCAATTAAATAAGCCTTGCCGATCTCAAAAACTTTATAATCCAACGAGTCAAGAACATCAGGAAACTCATCAAAAACTCCATCACCAAACGTAGAAACTTCCAACCAGGTTTTCTTAAATCGATCAAAAGGGAACCGGGAGAGTGGGTTTGTAATAATAACCTTGCCAGATTTTGATTCTTTAGCTCTAACAATCCAACTCTTGGTACGGTTGGTGAGGGGTTGGATAGAGTAAATTGTGTAGAGATATTTTAGGCTTGATTTTAGTAATCTTTGTGAAATAGTCAAGCATAATTAGTGTCCTTGATTATATGGTCAATAGCTAATAATAAGCTTGTATCAATTCAAGCATAATTAGTGTCCTTGATTATATGGTCAATAGCTAATAATAAGCTTGTATCAATTCAAGCATAATTAGTGTCCTTGATTATATGGCTTGTATCAATTCTCCTATATATATTCTTGTATATATACCTTTAAAAAAAAAAAAATTAGAATACAATTTGATTATTCTGCTTTTAATTCAAACTAATTGTGTATTCAGTGAGCACAAGATAGTCGTAGTTGAGATCATTGATTTCATAAGGTAACTCAATGAAATTCATTTGATTTTTGGATCAACCATAGAATTCAAACTATATAGCTTTACTAACTTGCACTTAAAATTTATTAAATTTACTAGCTTTTGTATTCCTTCAAGTTTAGAATTCATTTGCAAATTCTATCAATTTCGAAATAATTTGGTCCAAGCACAACCTATTCCATAGAATTAAACATATGGAACTTCAAATGAATTTTTATTTATACCAAACATGAAAAATGGGATTTATAAATGAATTCCATAGAATTTTATGGAATTCATTTACCCCAAACAAGCTCCTGGTGAGCTTTGAGCCTTTTAAGGATAGATAATAGTGTAGCCTAGCTAGAAAATAATGCTTGCCTGAGCATTTACAGATCCTTGAACAGCTTATCCTTGTCAGATTGCATTAATTTTATAGAAACTTGCAGAAAGGTTGAAGGGCAATCTTAGAGCCAGGTTGATCCCATTCCAGTGATTCCCACCATTTTTCATCTTGAACATAGATCTGTTCGAGATTAGGTGGAGCAAATGCTACACCATCAACAATCGGAAGCTCAAGCGGGAGCCTTCTTATATTTGGACATGCAGTAACTGTCATGTAAAGGAGAGAAGGACAAAGCACCAACCCCAGACAGATGCTTTTTAATTCTGGTAGCCTACACAAAGAGAGACTCCTCAAGTTGGGGAGAACAAACCTCATGGCAATACCTTTATTTTCCATTGGTAAATGGTTGCTGCAATTGGTTTGCTGCTGCATTGACTTCCTGCTCATCTGTGTTTTGTAAAAAACTGCTTTCATTTGTGGGCAGTACTGCTTCATTTGTGGGCAGTCATAAATAAGAACCTCTTCAAGGTTTTGAAGTAGTAGAAGCAACCCAGGTTTGAACAGACTCCTTATATTTGAACAACCTTGGATTTTGAGAACTGTGAGACTGGAAAAGGCACTAGGAAGAACTGATTGTGGTGTAGCAAGCAAAGAAGTTGATGTCATTGCCAGGCTTTCTTTACCTGAATTAAAATGAATTTCATTCTTCTGTGTTGAAAAATAGCTCAAGGTTTTGAAATTGTGGCACCTCTCAATACTCAGGTACTCAACATCAATTGGGACCAAAAGTGAATCTTCTATGCCTTTTTCACTGATGCCATAATCAATTATTGTTACAACTTTTTTGAAGTCTGCAGCTGTATACAAGTCCTCCTCTCCCAGATGTAGAAAGTAATTTCTCAGCACTCGGCCATGCAGAGACCCAACAAATATATTAAAACTAGATAAACTGTAAGATTGACATTCAATTTTTTCTATCATTTTCAAGCCTACCAATTCCTCACCTTTTACTTTCAAATTTTTTGATCTGCACCACAGTCGAAAATATTCAAGGCAAGAGAGCTTTAGTAATATTCCGATTGGGAACTCTAGATCTCGCACATAGAGATTAAGATAGCCGAGATTGATCAAACTTTCCACGCCTTCAGGTACATGTTGGATTCCAGTATATCTAAGATCCAACTCCCTTAGTGCACCTAGCTTTGCTACAGAAGGCACGGACTGCAATCGTTTGCAATGCTTAAGATACAATGCAACAAGATTCTCCAATGTGAGATGGCGTTTGGTAAATTCTCAATTCCAGTACAAGACAGATCCAGAAGCCTCAAAACATGCATGCATGAAAAGAAAGAATCTGGAATTCTAACCAGATCTTTATTCTGTGCCAGTAACATGGTTTGAAGTTTTGGACATTTTGGTGACAATCTAGAAGGAATTTCTGATATGTGATTGTCAATCAAGGATACGCTCTCAAGTTCCTCCATCCATCTGTTCTCATTTGGTAATTCTCTTAACCCAACTCCAGCTTCTACAAGGATTTGACGATCCATGCTTTTCATCTGTATTACCATCTCCCTAATTAGGTCATGCATCTTCACATATTTCTTATCAGGAATGCTTTCCAAAAGACAAGCATTTTCAAGCTTGTTTAGCATAGTATGTCCCTTGTCAATCTCTGCTTCGCTACTTTTCATTTTATCTACTATTCCTAAACTAATCAAACTCCTTATCAGCTGTGTCCTTTTGATCAAAAAGTCCTCCGGGTATAATGCACAATATATGAGACACTGCCTGAACTTGTCATCTTTCAAACGCGCATAACTAAATTTTAGCCGCTCAAACACCTTACCCATGTCACTAAGCCCCTTTGTAGATTCCCTCAATTCCTCTAGAGCATTTTTCCATTCATATATGTCATCTACGCCCTTCATACTAACAGCTATAGTGATAATTGCAAGAGGCAAGCAGGCACATTCATTAGCAACTTGTTTTGCTGTTGCTTCTAATTCCGGGGTATTAAAAACTTGATTTCCAACTTTTTCCACAAATAAGTTCCATGCCTCCTCTTCAGTAAGAAGCCCCATTTTGATATCCTTGCAATCCATTCTCCGACAAACGTCAAGCAATTGAGTTGTTAATACTAATTTGCATCCATTATCAGGTGTAGGCTCAGGAATTCCTACATCCTCAAGATTGAATGCTTCCCACATATCATCAAGCTCAGGAATTCCTACATCCTCAAGATTGAATGCTTCCCACATATCATCAAGGATTAACAACCAGTTTTTCTCTTTTCCCAGCCATTTAAATAACTTGACAGCCATTTTTGTTTCATCCCCATATTGTGCAAAATCTCGATTCAATGCAGCTGCAATGTCTTTCTGTAAGTTCCCAAATTTTAGTGGTTGTGACACTGTCACCCAAATCACTTTATCAAATTTGTCACGGCCTCTTTGGAGTCTGTTGTTGATATGCTTCATAATGGTTGTTTTTCCAACACCACCCATGCCATAAATTCCAACCTTTCTAACATCATTATCCATCAAGCAGGTCCAAATTTCTTCCATCTTGCTTTTGGCTGTTTCACCTACTAATGTTGTTACAGGTAAGATCTCTCCAACATCTGCAGGTTCATCAATCATCAAACTGTCACCAAAATCACCCTTTTGACGAAGATCCTCCACTTCTTTTATCTTCTTAAAAACACGTTTTGCCAAGCGTGCACGTGAAAGATATTTCCGCTTCGCAACTTCTTGCTCAATTGCAAAAGTTTCACGTTTGATAGTCTCTATATTTTGCAACCAAAGCTCAACCTCTTTTTTAAGTAATTTCCCTGGAATAAGCTCTGCACGTAATCTTGAATCTACATCTTCCTTCCGACTGTTTAGTTCATTCACTTCCCTTCTCAAATCACTCATATGTTGGTCCATGTGTCTATGATATTCCCAGCAAGTTCCTACTGGAGTCCATAACTTGTTTACAAGTTCTATAACTGACCCAGCAAGCTCCATCTACAGATCGATGCATAAGAGACAATATTTTACAAGTCGTTGATCAAAAATCAAACAAAAGAATTTAACCATAAAATTTGTTTATTTACTATTAGCAATCCATTAAGAATCCAAAAATTTCATGAAGAAGGGTCAAAGGAATCATCTAGGGGGAAAAAGCTACTTTTACATTAAGAGACAAAGATTTCAAGAATCAAAGACACGACTTTCTTCTTCAACTACTTCTTCTAAGTTATATTTTGATGCATAAGGGCAAATATTTTGTAAGTCCTTGCTGAAAAATCAAACATAAGAATTTAATCATAAAATTTGTTTAGTTACTATTAGCAATCAATCAAGAATCAGAAGATTTCATGAAAAGCAGTCAAAAGAACCTTTTTTGGGTGGAGAAAAAGCTACTTTTACATCATGCCTATTTTTGGGTTGGAGAAAAGCTACTTTCTACATCATGAAACAAAGATTTCAAGAATTTCCAAACACTCAACTCACTTCTTCAAACTACTAGTTGTAAGTTAATAGCATTGCAATTAGCCATTTAAATTCTTTCAACTATAACCACAAGAATTCAAAGGCAAAATAGATGACAGGTAGATCCAGATCTGCAGTTTTTTCAGAATAAATGCTACCTTGATTGAATGGATCTTAACTTTGCATTTTATTTTAAGTTACCAACAAACACTCCCTTTGCCCAGTGGTTCTCCTCCCTTTTAAGCGAAAACTCCCTTGCCAGTGTCTCCTCCCTTTTAAGAATTTGAGAATAGAAAATTGAATTTTCTTGTACGCGGAAAAAAAACGGTTCACTGAATCAGTAAGAGGAAGATCAGTAGCAAATTCCTTGTTGTGTAAAGGAAACAATATAATACAATATTCTGACTGAAAATAACCACCGACTATTTTAAGAGTAGAAATATTTGTCGTGAGGCCTTTGAAAAGTAAAGCTATAAAATTCGTCTTAGCACTTTGTAGTTGTACCCCTCCTCTGTTATGAAGCTTAGCAGGCGCGTGGGTTTGTAGACATTGAGTCAGTAGTAGCCGCCTTGTACCACATAAAAATCTTCTATAGATTGCATATCTAGCTGATATTTTACACCAGACACCATTTAAGCTGATATTGGGTCCACAAATTTCAGGCCAGCTGTAAGCCTTTGATTATTAAAAAAAAAACAAAAAAAGAACTTGGCCACTAACTGTCTAACTCTATGGCATAGATTAAAAAAAGAACTAAAAAATTATAGGATTAATCACATTAATGGTGTTTGAACTTCTGCAATATTCTTGTCGGTGCAACAGTAACTTTTTAAGCAAATAAATATATACAATATATCAAACCTGGAAAAAAAAACAAGCACTTGCTGTGGGATCCCTCTGACATATGGGACCCACTTAAGCTTGTAGAAAAAAACACAAAAAGGAAGAAATCCATGTTTTTTTAAAAAGTCAAATAAGGCTGCGAGAAAAAAAAAAAGGACAAGCACGTGCTTGTAGGGCTTGTAGAAAAAAACACAAAAAGGAAGAAATCCATGTTTTTTTAAAAAGTCAAATAAGGCTGCGAAAAAAAAAAAAGGACAAGCACGTTCAGTCATAGACACGTAATTAATGTGTCTCTTTTCTTATAAATAGGAGAAGATTTTTCCTCGTCAATATACAACAGAAAGAAAAAAATGGAGAGAGAGAATTATCTAGTTTTAGGAAAGGTTTCCTAAAACTAGAGGAGAGAAAAATAGTGATGAAATTATTATGGAGGGTTTTTTGGAAAACACTTGGAGTGCCACTATTTTTGTATTGCTCTCTTTGCTCTCTTTGTATACCTACTATTTTTAATAGTGGAGGAATTATTTATTCGGAATTTATCTTGTGAACGTAGCTCTAAACAGTTAAAGGTAAACTACGTAAATTTCTGCGTGTCTCATTTCTATTTTTTCGCTTTTCTTTTAATTCTTTGTGTGAGCGCCCAACAAGCAGTATCACAAGAGGCCCAACGGCACTTACTAATTGATTTTCCTTCTCGTTCAGAAAACAGACTGACTTGCAAGAATCTTGCAGACCAAATTTGCATTTCATTGAATAATATGTTGTCTATAGAAAAGGTAAGGGATATAGAAGTCGAAATCTCTGCAGAAATTTATGTTGAATAATTTATGTTGAATAAAAAGGAAAAGGGATCAAATTTTACTGTTTGTACATTGATCAGTTCCGTATGAGTTGAGTAGCCATATGATTGTATATCATCAGAACTGCAAAGGCAGAACAGCAAACTGCCGTCCACTGATCACGTGCAACTCAGATAGTTCCTCGTTGAAGCACAAATGGATATCATCAGAACAAAACAAGCTCGATTTTTATATGGCCAAGCAAGTATCTGATGTTGGAAAGCATGACGGGGAAAATCTTCAGCTAGAATCAGATGATCACATCAAAGACTGCTCTAATCAGCCAATATATTGTTGTTGTTTCATTAGGTGATCCTTTCAGGCATATTCCGGCAAATAACAAACGTCAACTTCTGGTAAGCATAAATTCAACACAAAAGGTTCAGTGATGCTAGCCATTGACAATCTCACTAATACAGAGATTAGAAGCAGCAGTCCTTTGAAAATAAACTTCTTAGAATCTCTCTCCACATCCCCATTTTTGGAACAAAACCTTGTTTTACCATTTGCTTCAAAACCAACTCAACCTCCCTTCAAAACCAACTCAACCTCCCTAATCAACTTGTCATTGCAAAGCCCATGAATCAACTTCTTGTAAGATGCAAAACTAGGACTATTAGCCTCACAAATCATCATAGCCATGAATTCTTTTGCCTCCAGAAACTTCCCGGCATCAAGCAAACCATATAGAACTTCTTGATAAGACCCTGCATTTGGTTCGCATCCCTTGAGCTTCATTTTCTGCAGCAGCTCCATCCCATCTTCAATCCTTCCTTGTTTCCTTAACCCTGAAATCAAAATATTGAAAGTGATTGTATCCGCATCAAAAATCTTGGAAAGTGGATTGTATCGCGCCACAAAATACCCTCATGTTTCCATTCTCTCAAGCAAACCAAATGCCCTTATTCACTCCCTTTCTGCACAGAAGTAGTGCATGCAGCGTTGAGAAAGTATCTCACATGCTAGGGCCTGCATTCTCTTTGGTTTTGGGAAATTGTCGAGCAAGATTGAAATGGCAAAGCCTGGTAGATTCCCAGCCATTTTCACATGAACCCCTTTAATGAAGAATATTAAGAACAGACAAGCGATCAATGTTTCTACACCCAAGCATGGAGCTTTCACATCATATCTCATGAAGGTCTTACATAAAAAAAGGCTGTTGCGAGATAGCTAGCATATTCACACAAGATTAAAGTTTTTTTCACATTTGGCCAACAATTATAGGCGCCTTTGGGCGCATATGCTAGAAGGTTTTTCTATTGATTTATTGAATTCGAAAGACCAGCTAAATGGCCATAAATCTTGATTACATTGTAAAAGAAATCGTTTGACAAACGACATGACTTTTCAAATTTGATTCTTTCCATAATTTCTTCAATGGCATCAAAGTTTTTGGCACAGGCAAGCTGGTTTATAACAACAGTGAAAATAGCTTCATTGGGTTTATAGTCTTTTCTCTTTGAGTATTGATTCCAGATAGAGATAACTGAATCTGGGTCTTTAATGTCTTCGAAAATTTTTAAAACTTCATTTGGAGACAACCAGTCTTTATGGTTCAGTTTGTAATGAGTATGAGGCGGATGTTGGGTTGACTGTGAAGAAGATGGTAAAGTAGAGCATGGGTTCGAACTGTGAAGAAGATGGTAAAGTAGAGGGCTTTATGGTTCAGTTTGTAATGAGTATGAGGCGGATGTTGGGTTGACTGTGAAGAAGATGGTAAAGTAGAGCAAGAGAAAAACGAAGGGAATATAGAAATTGGGTGATGGACAGTGCGTCTTGAATGAGCTTGAAGAGAGTGAAAGATTGATTTGTGAACTAGAAATGAACGGAAAAGCATTCTGTTCGTCTTCGATTTGCAGGCTGGTGGTTTCGTGCGAGAACTTATGAGTTAGGATTCCTACCTCGTGCAAACCGCAAAGCAAGCACCGAACGAATAACTATTTTTCTCTTAAGCAAATAATATTTTGTGCTAAGCAAGCAGCCGTCAAGGATATTGAGAATTAAGCCATTTTGACAACTTCCAACTGGAAATTAGTTGCCTTTTTCTTTTTTATTTGCGCTATCATCTGGATCAGATTATATATCGGGTCGAGCCGTAAATTGATATCAGATCAGCTTAGTTAGGTGGAATTTGCGGGTCTTCCTCAAGTCGGACTTTATCATATCGGGTTGTCATCCTATTACCTTCTTGTTGAATTTAAGGCAAAAATTAAAAAAATATTGAATCAGTTCAATTTTCAAAAATAAGTATAAAATTGAAATATAAGAATTAATGTTATCATGTACTTAACTTGTAAATTTCTGTAATTTGTGTACTTTCTATACCAACAATTTAAGTTTTTAAGATTTTTGATTTTGATATGCAAAATAGCCGTTTGATATATAGCTGACATAATTTTTTGGACGATAACTTTATGTAACTAAGCTCCATCTGTTTCCAAAAAATAACTTACTGAAAAATATTTTCCAAATAACTGTTATTCGGTTACAATATTGAAAATTCATTAAAAATATTAAAAAATTTTAATTCATAATAATAATAATAATAATAAATTTCATATTTTAAAATTTTTATTGTTAAATATATAATAAAAAATTTTAATTCATAATAATAATAATAATAATAAATTTCATATTTTAAAATTTTTATTGTTAAATATAATAATAGTGAAAAAAATGATAAATTATGAAAGCCACTGGTAACCGACGGTGGTAGCCAATGGTGGTGGCCGTAGTGGTGGCCGGTGAGTGGTAGTGGTAGCTATCGATTATTAGTAAATTAAAAAATTATAAAATTTAAAAGGTTATAATAAGTTTGTCAAAATCCGAAAAATGTTTTACGCTCATGAAAATAGAAAGTCATTTTCCTTGAAAATGAATTAATTTTTTTTTGTTAGGAAAATATTTTCCATTGATTTATTTTCATAAACGCCTCTATACAACAGGAAATTGTGAAAAATATGTTCTAGCAATTTATTTTACGCAAATACACGGAGCCTAAAAAAAAATATTATTTTCATGATTGCAAGATAATCAAGCCAAATAAGAAAAAAATATTTTTGTTAGATGAAATTGTAACTCACACAACCAATGGATGATTATGAGCAGGCCAAGAAGCAATTCCAACCAGCCTTCCTCTCAAAAGAGGTGCTAGAGAGAGAGAGAGATAAACATTTTGTAATTTCTTGAAATTATTTAAATTTATTATCTTGCCATTACATAAATAACCTAGATGTGAACTTGAACATCAGCCAATTGACTAAAATTCATTGGTGTCATATACTTAGCATCTCCATTGTAGAGGCTGTAAGCTAACAATTGAGAAGCTGCTTGAGATGGATGATACAAATCCCAAAACAAATACTCACTTCTATTGCTACAAAGAATTGGATTTATAGGTTCATAACATCCTACTTCTCCACTGTAATTTCCCAATCCACAACAGGCTGTCTTGATGTTCTTGAACCCTAAAATTCCTACTTCTCCACTGTAATTTCCCAATCCACAACAGGCTGTCTTGATGTTCTTGAACCCTAAAATTTATAAATGGAACTTTTTAACATATAAAAATTTCAAAAAACAGTGCATGAGGAAACTAATTAGGACTTGAAAATTTCATAATTTTAGCCAAATTAATGTTGAGTAGTACAGGTACCGACCCAGTTCGAAGAAGTAAGGGGTCAAACTATAATTTTGATTGATGAGGGGGCCAAATTTAAATATTTTTTCAATTTTTTTTAACGAGAAAAATTGAAATTTTTTTATATTGGGGGCCAAGGCCCCTTTTGGGCCCTATATATGTGGGTTCCTCCCTACAGTAGTTCTTTAAAGTCTAATGTTTATAGTGAGCATTCCGGCAACCGAGCCAAAATCGAATTAGCTCGATTTTGGTTTATGCAAAAATATTTTTGATGTATCAAATTTTAAACCAAATAGTATAATAAATGATAATTGGTTTGGTTCGGTTTGAATTTGATTACTCCAAATCTAATTAGTTATTTTGAACTTAAAATAAGGTTAGTTATATACAGTAACCAGATAAAAAATCGAAAACCAAATGGTTTTTTACATACAAACCGATTGGTAATCAAATTTTTAAAATAACTATCTGAATCTGACCAAAATAAATTGGCTCAGTTTCTCGGCTAGAAACCGAAAATTGCTCACCCTTACTAACGCGTGTGTGTGTATATATAATGGCAGGGATAAGCATAATTACCAAAAGAAGGATAGTTGTCAAACAAATCCATAGTCATAGCATAGGTATTTCCAAGAGAATACTTGAAGTTTGGCAATTCTGAAGTCATCCTTTGCAATAGAGTGAGAGTTGAGTTATAGAAAGCTTGAGCAAAGTCATTCAAAAGCTGCATACAACCTTCACCACCTTCTTTTTCATTAATGGCTCTTGCATATGGACAACAACCAATTGGTGGAACTCCTATTATACCAAATTTCCTTGCACCCATATTATACACATCCTGTCATAATACAAGCATGCAAAAGAAAAAAAAAAAAAAAGGAAAAAAGACCAATTTCCGTTGCACCCAATATTATACGACACATCTGTCATAATTAACAGCAATCAAGAAAAAAAAAAAAGGAAAAGAAGAATAAAAACCCATAAGGTTTGGTGAAACCAAAGACCATTAGAAAGGTGAATGTGTTATTTTGTGCCTAAAACAAAGTTTCCGCCAGTAAAACTGTATAAAATTTCCTTGCACCCATATTATACACATCCTGTCATAATACAAGCATGCAAAAGAAAAAAAAAAAAAAAGGAAAAAAGAAGATAAAACCCATAAGTTGGTGAACAAAACCATTAGAAAGGTGAATGTTATTTGTCCTAAACAAAGTTCCCAGTACTATAAAAGGGAAAAAGATCAGGATAGAACCTTCAAATGAACATGGTATGCAGATTGGACACCAGCCACGAACTCTTCTTTGGGTGTATTGTTTTTTGCCCGCATGTAATCAAAGAATTCGTTAGCTCCAAAGCAGAAAATGTATAAAGCTTTGGAAAGAATCTTAGCTGTTGCCTTTGGACCTCTAACTTGTGTGATATTTCCTATGACTGTATTAAATTGTTGAATTTGCAGCGATAGAGGCACAACTGCATTCTGCAGGTTTCCACCAAATCAAGAATCTATTGTTAGGTTTATCATCACTAAGTAAAGTTGATTCAAATTAACGAGTTTATATAAATAAACTAAAATGCCTTGTTTTTGGCTTCTTAGAAATTTCTTGCGGGTCTAGGATGGTTCCATGCATGAAGCTAATCAAACAAAAGTTTTTTTAAAAAATATTACCGTTTTGTGAAATATTTTCATTTGAATTAAAACATTATTTATAATTGGTTTAGTGTATAAATGGATACATACACCGGGTGTAGATAAGTGTTTGTGTTTCCCTATTTACTTATAGAAGCATGTAAAAAAATTAGTTTAACAACCTCTAAGACAATTGAAATTGTTCAGTATTTCTTTTCTAGTATCCAAGGAGATAAAATATTTCAAATACATTATTTGTTATATATTACATCAAGGGCTCATTAGGTTTAACTTGGAGATCGAACTTGGGATAATTAAGTCCTAAGATAAAAGTTTGTACTGTTAAGCCAAACATCATTTGCTAACGATTCAGTATTTAGATTTAACATTAAATTGATGTTTTAATGATTTTTTTTTTGAAACATAAATTTAAATATACGTATCAATTTCAAGTGTATAAAATATATCTAAAACAAAATCTTAAGAACAGACTCACCCATGCTTTGGATCCAGTATCATCGAAAATGCCAGACCCAGCAGAAGCAAAGTTCACACCTCGTTGAATCTTCTTTTGAAAATGAATGGGGGTTGTCCGATTCATAATGTCAAGAAAAGCTGCTGGACTCTTCTTAAACCCAAACTTCATTGCTAATAAATAATAATAAACCACACACAAATAACGCAGTAAGTATATATAAAGAGAGATAGCCATCAAACTGAAAAAAAGAGATAGTACTACTGTTGAAACTGTACCTAATTGGTCACCAATATTATAGCCATTGCTGAACCTTCCTGTTGGTCTTGATTGAGGAAAATCAATCCCATTGTAACGGAAATTAGCCCTTGCATAGGAATTTAAGTAACTGTTAGTTCCAATATCAATGGCAGAGTCTCCAAAAATGAAAATAGCAGGCAAGGTCCTCTCATATGCATATGTAGGGTTAATAGCAACAACACATAGAGCTAAAAGGAGAAAGTAAGAAGAAAAGTTTGACATTTTTGCCATGAGAAAGGAAATCAGTAATGGGTTTTTGTCTGATTTTCTTGCCTTTCTTAATTCTGAGAATCTATCTTATATATATATATCAGCAGGATGAACACCATTCTTTTGTTTTATTACACCAAGAAATTAACATCATCAACTAGGGTGAATTAATTAAACATTTTTTGGAGGCATTTTTCTTGTTTTTTACATTAATTTATGTTATAAAAATGAATATTAATTATTGTTAATCATAATACAAACAACTTTAGTGGTAGAACGGATTGCCCTAAAACCAAAATTCATCCTTATTCATTAGCATTTGTCAAGAAATATAAAACCGTTTTCATAAAAATTATAAGATAAATGGTAAAAAACGTGAAAAAAGATAAATTTATTAGTCTTTCGTCTTTCTACATTTTCCTTTTGGAAGATTTCATCCGCAGGAGAACGATCTTATTCTTGCAATTGTATGTACGCTTAATTTTCTTTTTCGTTGTTAGTTGTAATAGCGGTTGTGAACCCCCTCCCCAAATATCAATGCATACAAATGTATGTGACTAAGGAAGAAATGCACGTGAATGCGTGTGAGTCGCCACCTTGTTTAATTGTTTTAGGGTAAACTAGGAAAAACCCTAAGTGACTCTAATTTTAATTAATCTAGTTACTAGATTAATTTAGGGTAAATTCTAGGAAAACCCTAAGTGGAACTCTAATTTAATTATCCCTAGTTACTAGATTAATTATTCCAGATGTCTAAGGCAGTGGTGGTGGGCAAACCCGAGATGGGATCCTGGAGTCTAGTGTCATGCTGGATGAAACTAACCATGAAAATGAATGCTTTTGGCAAGGTTGATTATGCGATATGGACGCAATTTTTAAAGTGAATTGAGACTTGCCACTCGGGGTTAAAATCCCAAACGTGGCCTACGTACTTTCCGTTTGAATGGAGAGATCAAAAGTCAAGCGTAGTTCGATAGGCCTCCTTTGAAGGGCCTTTGAGAAAGGGGATGGCTTTGATGCATTGAAGTGATGAGTGTGTGTATGCTCTGTGCATTTTGTTTAGACATTTTGTCAAAGAGTTGATTTTTAGGCATTTGATGCCAAAAATGTTGATTTTGATGGCTTTCAGCCAAAAAGATTGATTTAGGCAATTAGTTTGCCAAAAATTGATGTTTTAGGCGATTGTCGCCAAAATTGATTATTTTTTAGGCTTTCAGCGAAAATAAATTGATTTAGGCAAATTATTGCCAAAAGCTGATGATTGGGCGATTGTCGCCAAAATTAATTACTTTAATTGCAATGTAGGCAATTTTTTGCTGAGAGAAAACGTGTTTAATTAAAGCTTTTTAGTCACAATTATTGATTAATTGGACTTAAGCCTGGACTGTTCGAAATAAAGGTAACTATACCATAGCCATTTAATTAACTAGGTATTTTAAGTCAATATTGTCGGATTTAGGCTTTAATACCACGATTATTGATTAATCGGGCATTTAAGCACATTTAAGCTTAATCATATTTAATTAAGGCAGTTTGCTGCCAAATTAACGACGTGAATGCATTGATGCAGTAGTTTAAATCAGAATTGGAGTAGAAGAGAAATATGCATGAAATGCTGAAATTAAATAGACAGGGTTTAATTATTACTAGAGTTAATTGGCGGCCGCTTCTTAGCTTTAGCTTGAAAATTCCAGGTTAAGCTCCTCGTTTGGGGAATATTAATTAATTTAGTTTATTTTAAGTGGCCAAATATCACAACAGCAGAGTAATAAATAAAAGCTAAAACTAAAATGCCAGAAAAGCAGTAAAGAATCGAAAGGAGCGTGAGGGAGCGTCCGTCAACACAGACTGGGTGAGGAAAACAGAAGGCCCGAGGCTGCTTTTATAGGCAAAAATCGGACTGTTTCGGCGGCCAGGGCCGCCGGGGTCGGTGGCCGGGGCTGCCGTGTCCGGCGGTCCGAGCCGCCGTGCCCAGTGGTTTTGCTAATTTTCGTTCCGGAGGCTTTTTCGGGAGTTCCGGACCTCCGAAAAATATTCCGGGACCAGTTCCGCGATCCTCGCGACGTCCCGGATGTGTCAAATACCATATTGACATACTTTCGGTGAACTTCCAAAATGGCCTCCGGTCCGGCCGGACTGTTTGCAGTCCGGGAAAACTGGCTCTTTCCGGACTGTTTGCAGTCCGGGAAAAAACTGGGAACTTCCAAAATGGCCTCCGGTCCGGCCGGACTGTTTGCAGTCCGGGAAAACTGGCTCTTTGAGCCTCAAAATTTGGGTATTCATAGCGGTTAGATGTTAGTGTTTAAAATACAAGTATTTAATAAAAATAATTGTTTGATTAATTGGTAAAATAATTCTAAAATTTTAATTATTTGTACTTATCAAATACTAAACATATGAAACACTCACTAGCCTATAAACATTATTATAAATATTTATGTTACGTTGAACCATATAATTAATAGAAGTACTGCCTTATCAATATTTCATTAGCAAATGATATACGGATGCTACTATAAATATTACATTACCAAATAATATAATTAATAAAAGTGCTATTTTGTCAAAATGCTAGCAGATTGACTTGTCTAGGCTCGGTCCTTAGTCTTATCTATAGACCAAATCAATGAAAATTTGAATTTTTATTGAAAATAAGTATTTATAACCATATATTAAAAAAAAAAGATAAATTAAGAATAATTTTTGAAAAGAATTTCTATTTGCATTGGTTTGGTCCGTAGTTGGAATCATGTACCAAGTCCATGTAAACATTTTCCAAAGAGTAAACTCTACATAAAAAGTAGTGGCTAAACAAGGCGGCTTTTCTTTAATTAACTTTAATTAAAAAAAAAAAAAAAGCCAAGTGAAGTGGGAGTAATCACGTAACCCTTATTGTGGGGTTTTAACCCTGTTTATATATAAAAAGATTACAAATGTTACAAGGTTTGCCAAGTGCTACACATATTGTAATTCCATTGGCCCAATGTATAAATTTCACTATATATTTTCGGTGATTATTTTTGTAGCTAGCGCCCTAAATTTTAGGGGTAATCCATCATAATCCTATAATTTTACATTTGAGCAACAAATATACCTCTCATTAAAATGTAATATGTGTCAAATTATTTTATTTCTGTGATGTAAATAGTTATTATTAAAATATAAAAGTGTAAGATTATAATTGAACTCCAGAAAAGTTTAAAGGGCATAAACTTAATCACTGAAATAACATAGTCATAGTTATATAAAACAAACAAAATAAAACCAAAAATACAAACAAAACAAAGATACCCTCTTTATTCTAATGAGACAATATCATTATTGAATTCATTAATTGCTGGATTCAACATTATTACAAAACCAAAATGCTGTGTGTGTGTGTGTGTGTATATATATATATGTGGTTGTGGTGTGCTTGTGTATATAATAATATATATATAAATATATATATATATATATATATATATTGTTTTATTTATTTTTTAATTATCCTATTAGAGTTGAATCTCTGCCAGCTGACCAAAGTTGATTGGTTTCACAAAGTCAGTGCCTCCATAATAGAGGGTTAGGGCTGTTAGATTGGTTGCAGCTTCTGATGGATGATACAAGTCCCAAAATAAATACTCCTTCCGATTCTGACAAAGGTTAGGGTTTTCTGTTTTGTTGCAATACCCTACTCCATTGTAATCTCCCGACCCACAGCAAGCTTCCTTTATTTCCTCGAAACCTAGGGTATTCAAAAAGTGAAGATTTTATTAGTAATTTTATTGAAAAATCAAGTCCCGTTCAAGCTTAAAAATAAAGTTTAAACTCAGCTCGTTAGTTTAAAAAATTGTGGTTCATTTATATATTCAAATTCGAGCTTGACTCCTTTATCAAATGAATTCAATAAGTAGGCTGGAACTCACCTCGTTAAACTTATTGAATAAACTTTTTTTTCAAAACCAGAATGTCAAAGAGATATTGAGCTGCTTTGACTTATTTATAAACCTAGTTATAGTATGTGTTAAAATGACCAATTCATAGAAATATAATTACTTAATTGTGATAATTCTTGAACTGCACACATACCATATGTGCGATGATTCTTCAAGATATAGCTGGTCATATTGTACACATTTCCAAGTGAATACTTCATTTCTGGAAATTCAGATGTCAATCTTTGTAAGAGAGAGCGAACAACGAAGTAGAAACGTCGAGCAAATTCATTTGGTGCTTTCAAGCAACCACCGTTACCACCCAAACTCTTGTTCATAGCACGCGAAAAAGGACAGCAGCCAATTGGTGCAGCACCTATTATGCCAAATTTCCTAGCTCCCATGTTGTATAAGTTCTGCCATTTTAATCAACACAAGAAATCTTATTCTTGAACCGAATTGCGATGGATCTTATTTGAGAAATTTATAGTAACGGATTTTAATAGAATCAAACAAGGAAATTTATCTGGTAGCTATTGGATTTATATATACCTTTAGATGTTGGTAGTAAGCTGACCGGAGAGTGGCCATCAATTGTTCTTTGGTTATATTGGCTCCTAAACGAAGGGTATCAAGAATGTCGTTTGAACCAACACTGAATATGAACAAAGAGTTGGAAAGATTCTTAGCAGTTTCATCAGCACCCTTCATCTCAGTAATATTTTCACGGACTAATGCAAATTGCTGAATCTGATCTCTCAATGGTACGACTCCATGCTGTATATTTTGAATTTTAGAACAAAATCCGACAATCAAGAATCAAGATTATTAGTTTTTAATTATGCTCCGACCAAAACTATATAAAGAAACAAAAACTACTTAATTAACACTGAACAGTAAATTCATTACCGGATGAAACCTCGGTTGAGATTGCTAATTAACTACTTAATTAACACTTCAGAATAGCATTTTATATAAAACTCACCCATAATATTTTTCCAGTTTGATCAAGAATTCCAGATCCTCCAGATGCAAAGTTCACTCCTTTCAGTATTTCCTCTCTGAAAATCGACATATTGTTGACAAGATAAAGATAAGGTAGCGGGCTCCTTTCATATCCAAACAGCATTGCTGAAACAAAAGTTGACAAGCAAGAATTATCAGTAAACTATTTTGGCATATAAGATGACTTATTACATTTCTTTAAGATGAATTAAGTATCATATCCTCAGTAATTACTACTTCCATGGAGCTTGGAATTAATGCTAGAATTGAGATCCATACATGTTTGTTATACGTACTGATAGCCTAATAAATATATTAAGAACATATCTGTAAAAGAGTTAAGATGTAAATGACAGTAAAAAACGTTGAAAGACATAATAAATATTATAGAAGACCGAGCGTTACAACCTCAGAAGATTCAATAACGCTCAGTCAATCGTTAATAACCCGAGACAATCACTCGGAAATGAAATACGTACCAAGTCGATCAGCAAGGTTATAACCATTACTGAACCTCCCTGTAGGAATTGAGTCAGGAAAATCAATCCCATTATAAGGGAAATTGGCAAGTGCAGTCGTTCCATTCAGAAAATTGTTAGTCCCAACATCAAATGTAGAATCACCAAATATGAAAATTGCTGCTGGCTTGGCATCCACTTCTGCAATGGAAAGACTTACTAACAAGAGCAGAAAATAATTGTAGCTAAAAGACAGTTTTCCCTTTGCCATGAAATGAATCGAAGAAAATAATTATTGTTTACTACTAAAATTTTCTCTGTATTTCTTCTATATATATATGAACTTGGCTCTGTCTTTATTATCATTATTTTTATTTTATTTTTGTCATATATTCCAAAAATGAATGAACAGGTAAGGACATCAGTGTCATTATCAGAACATAATAATACATAGAAGAGCTAATTAACATTATATATGGGCGGATTAAACTATTTGCTCATTCGCAAATTTTATCTTAGGATATAAGTATAATTTTTGGCCAAATATATGAAACCTTATTTGTAAAATAACCATATGTTATTGTCTGAATGAACTACAGCAGCTATTTATATGTTCTTGCAATAATTTCCGCATATTTTGGACGCACCCACTAAAGTTACAGCCCATTGTTTGCCATTTTATGAATATAATAATAGCATAGTTTATCACTAAAAATACCCAATTGCATGTTGCCATATTCAATTGTTTTTTTCTTTTTAACTAATTTTTCGTTGCAATTCTAGCTTTAGTTTAATTTTTTCAAAGTAATATTTTTATTTATTTTATTTATAGTTATTTAAAAATAATAAATTGAAATTAATATTATTTAAAGAAATTAATCAGTATTTTTTATTTTTATAATAGATAAAAATAAAAATAAAATATCCATCTTAAAATTTTTTAAACATACATATTACTTCATAATATATTAAAAAAGTATATTCTTAATGATCATTACATATTTTAACAGTTAACAATTGTCAGCTAATGGATCTAGCTTAATTCTAAGAATCTTTCTTATATATATGAGCAAGATCGACATTATCACTGAATTTCGACTATATCCGGCTCGAGTACTGCAGGGTCCATTGAAGAAGTGATCTTCTAAATATAACAATTTTCGTACCCAATATTCAAGCTCGATACTTTTGATTAAGAGAGAAGGAGACTCAATCACTCAACGTCAATCAACATTAGCATCAATGTGACTTTTTTTTACCAAAAATTCAACATCATCAACTAGGATGAATGAGTTAAGCATTGTTTCAAGGCATTTTTCTTGTTGTTTACATTTATGTTATAAAATTGAATATTAGCTGGGTGCTAATCGATTATGATATAAGACAACTACATCATTGACAGGGCGGATGTTTGCCCTACTGATAATATTTACATATTAATCAAACAAATATGTTCTTGTTCATTGATTTTTTCCAAGAAGTGCCAAACCATTTTCCTAAAAATAAAAAGACAATGGTAAAAAAACATGGGAAAAATCAATTTTCTTAAATAATTTTGGTCCTTCTTCTTTCTGAATTTAGTTCGGTTCATTTTCGGTTCCTAAAAATGAAAGAACTGAATTTTTGGTTCGGTTCTGATTCTTCTTAAGAACCGTACCGGAATCCAAATTGCACAGCCCTATGCAGAATACAAGAAAAAATTTCTGTGATGTCCTTTTGTCCATAAAATAAACTAATTTTTCTTTTTGGCTTATCATAAATTATAATTTGTTTTTTTTAAAAAAAAGGTTCCCTCAAAGGATGAATTCTACTTCCGCTAATCCAACCACAGTTAAATTTTTATTTTTGTTAGCAAACATGTTAGTCAAATTTTGGAATAAGCAACAAATTAAAATCATGGCTCATTTATGTTTTTAAATTGGTATATATATATAAAAAAAAAAATTAGCAAAGAATTATTATTTAACTATATTTATTATTGGGTAGCATTATTTTCAGAGCTTGTTTGTTAATGTTAGAGCAAGTATTAATAAACTAACTTTGACCGAAAGGAGCAGTCGAACTTCATGAATCAACGTTGATTCTCTGCAAGGATATTCTGGACGAGGAATTGAGCAAGCTAAAGGAGTAGATGCGGAAGCAATGCGAAGAAACAGCTGAAAGTTTTTTAAAATTTGTATGGTCCTAAAATCCAAATGTTAATTCTCAATTAGGACAATATTTACTACTCCTTCTATTCTTTTTCGTTTGTTTGTTAATTTTTTTTATCGTCTCAAAATGTTTGCAAAATTTTTAAATTTAGACATGTAAACCATTATTTTTCTCATGATAACCTATGATACTTTATTAAATGAGAGACTTTTATTAATATATTTAATCAGTTAAGGTTTAAATGATAAAATAGTTTAGGTTTAAATGATAAAATAGTTTTTGTTGACTAAATTTTTAATATGCGTGTTTTATCAAACCATATAAATAAAATGGAACGGAGATAGTATTTCTTTATCTGAATTAACAAAACATGCTTCGGAAATAACGCTACTCATGTATGTATATATACATTGAATTAGTATGAAAAGGAATTAGACCTATTTTCATGAAATAATTAGCTATCATTAAACTAGAGTATATCTATCCATAAAAACCCTCCCAGTAAACCTAGGCATGACTATAGTTTGGTTTTAAATTGAAACTGAATCAGTCGAAACTGAAACTAAATTATCGAATAATTTTTAATTTTACACTATAATCGAAACCAACTAGGTGTATAGAAATTGGTTTCAATTCCTCATTTTTGACAATTGTAAAAAAGAAAAAATTTGTGAAAATAAAAGAATATCAATAAATATTTGTTCATTAAATATGCTTATTGAAATACCAACAAGTATTGGAAATGAGGTCTATTGGATTCGGATATATATCCTGTTTAATTCAATTAATCATATATATCCTGAAATGGAATATTAGGTTACTTTTAGTGGTTTATAATTTCAAATCTATATCATTTGATGTACGAAAACATTAATTATTTTTTTAAATATTGAAAAAGGGAAATTTGAATCTCGATCTATTGCTCGATCGCAATGCACTGATCATTAGACTATATGCCTTAGTGTGCAATGACAACATTAATTAAACTATAGAGAAAACCGAACAAAAAAGAACCAAAATACAGGCAAAACAAATATACTCTTATAATTTTAACTCGAAAATAACATTATTGAATTGATAAATTACTGGATTAGAGTATATATAAGACATTATTATATACTGAACCACAGTGGTAATATAAGTTAGATTTGAATCTCTGCCAGTTGGCGAAGGTTGATTGGTTTCACGAATGGACTGTCTCCATAATAAAGAGCTAGGGCTGATAGGTTGGTTGCGGCCTCAGAAGGATGATATAAGTCCCAAAATAAGTACTCTTTACGATTCTTACAAAGGTTAGGACTTTGTGCTTCATTGCAGAACCCTACGCCATTGTAATCTCCGGATCCACAGCATGCTTCCTTTGTTTCCTTGAAACCTAAGACATTAAAAAGTGATGGTTGTGTTAGTAACTGTTAGAATTGACTTGCTTAAATCGAGTTTATAGACCAAATCTATGAAAAATAAATTTTATTAAAACCAAGAGTATTTTTGACAATTCACTTAAGAAAAGAGAACAAATTTTTAAAAAACTTCAATTTTCATTAGTTTGAACCATAGCTAGATCTATAGATGAGTTTAGGCAAGTCTAATCGATATTATAAAGTGGGTAAGCAACAAAACGTGACTATTTACTAAGTAATTGTAGAGTAAATCTAATATTTATTACAATATGTCTCCGTAATTAGTTATAATTAGGCTGTAAACAAATCAAGTTGAATCAAGTTTAGTATAAATAGAGAGCTCGGCTCAATTCAACTTGTTAGTTAAATTTTTTTTTTTTTTTTTTTTTTTTTTTTTTTTTTTTTTTTTTTTTTTTTTTTTTTTTTTTTTGCGACTCATTTATATGCTCCAATTAAATTTGGGCTCGAGCTTGGTTCATTTATTAAATGAACTGTATAAGACTTGAACTCGACTTGTTAAACTTGTCAAATGAGCTTTTTCGGAACGAAGCTATGCAAAGTTCATAGAGTAGCTTAAATTATTAAGATCCCTCGTTATAGTATACACAATCAATTTAAAGAAATAAATTGAACATAATAATAATCCTTAAACTGTACACTTACCAAAGGAACGAGGATTCTTCATGACAAAGTTAGTCATATTGTACATATTTCCAAGTGAATACTTCATTTCTGGAAATTCAGATGTCATTCTTTGTAAAACAGCGTAAACAATGTGGTAAAAACGTCGAGCAAATTCATTTACTGTTCTCAAACAACCACCATTGCCACCCAAACTCTTGTTCAAAGCACGCGAAAAAGGACAGCAGCCAAGTGGTGCAGCAACTAAAATACCAAATTTCCTAGCTCCCAGATTGTATAAATCCTGCCATTTTAATGAAAACGAGAAATCTTATCCTTAAACTGAATTCAAATGGATCTTATTATTTGACAAATTTATAAATAATGGGTTTTAATCGAATCGAACAAGGGATTTATCTGCTAGCTATACGGTTTATATATACCTTTAGATGTTGGTAGTAAGCTGACTGGAGATTTGTCATCAATTGTTCTTTGGTTACGTTGATTCCTAAACGAACGGGATCGAGGATGTCATTTGAACCAACACTGAGTATGAACAAAGAGTTGGAAAGATTCTTAGCAGTTTCATCAGCACCCTTCATCTCGGAAATATTTTCACGGATCAGTCCGAATTGCTGAATCTGATCTCTCAATGATACAACTCCGTGCTACATTTTTTGAATTTTAGAACAAAATCCAACAACCAAGAATCAAGATTATTAATCGTTAATTTTATATAAATACTCACCCACAATTTGCTTCCAGTTTGATCAAGAATTCCAGATCCTCCAGAAGCAAAGTTAACTCCTTTCAGTATTTCCTCCTTGGAAATCGACATATTGTTGACAAGAGAAAGATAAGATGGTGGACTTCCCTCGTATCCGAATAGCATCGCTAAAATAAAAATTACAAGCAGAAATTATCAATCAATGTTCATCATTTTCTATACAATAACATAAATTTAATACAGTTCTTCAGATGAATTAAATCTTCACTGATTACTATTTTCATAAAGCTTGGAATGCTAAATTAAGATGGATATGTCGATTATAGTTTTTTTTTTTTTTTTTTTTTTTTTTTTTTTTTTTCTACTTTAAAAAAGAACGTTGAACACATGCATGAGACAGGATCAGGACACACCCTTTAGACAAATACGTACCAAGTCGATCGGCAAGGTTATACCCATTGCTGAACCTCCCTGTAGGAACTGAGTTAGGATAATCAATCCCATTATAAGGGAAATTGGCAAGTGCAATCGTTCCATTCAAGAAATTGTTGGTCCCAACATCAAATGTAGAATCACCAAATATAAAAATTGGTGGTGGATTGGCCTCCACTGCTACAATAGAAATAGTTACTAATAAGAGGAAGAAATAACTATAAGCAAAAGACATTTTTCCCTTCTCCATGAATCACAGAATCAATGGAATTAATATCAAAATTCTCTGTATCTGTCTCATTTTTATATACGAACTTGTTTCTGACTTTAGTGTTTTATTTTCATATTATTGTTATTATTCTTATTCTTTTGCAAAAATGAATAAACAGGTAAAGGTAGCAACGTCATTATCAGAAACATAATAATACCTAGAAGAGCTAATTGACATTAAAATGGGCGGATTAAGCTATTTTCTGATGGGAATTAGCTTAGGATATAAATATGATTTTTGTCTAAATTTATGCAATCTTTTCTTGTAAATTAACTTTTTGTAATTTGTCTCATATAACTACGTATGTGCTTAATTGCATGTGGAACATAGTATCTGAATATTTTCCAATTTCATAATAAATAAATCAATCACATTTTTTTTTTTTGAAAGGAAGCCAATCACATACTAGATCACTAAAATAATATACAATTGCACATTTCCATGTTCCAATCCTCTTTTTTAAAATAAAATACTTCTTGCTTATAAAAATGAGATTCTCTAATAATTTTTTCATTCTTGTCTCTTTTTTATTTCTTCGAAAACTATTAATAAGTAGATTTAGGCATGTTGGATAACAATCTTTGAGCTAACTTTATGTTTTTTCCAGGTAAAAATTAATTTTATTAATTATATCGTTCGGTAATATAATATTTATAATAGCTTTTAGAGATTGATGAAATTTTTTATCAAACGTTAAATATCTTAATATTTAGCGTTTCATTAAGATTAATTAAATTTTTTGATAATCATATCCATTTTTTTCCTCCTATTCAATTAATTAAACATCTAATGTCTTTTTTAGTCATTTTAAGTTAATTAACTAATTAAACAACTATTTTTACCGAGTAATTCTAATTTAAACCGTTATATAGTTAGAAGCCTACCAGCTAAAAGCTAATATCTAACAATAACTTTAGTAAAATATGTAACAGCACATTAAAATAATTAACATCTATTAAAATAGCTAGTATTATCGAACATGCCTTAGTAGATTTTTGTCATTTTCAAAATAGCTAAATAATACTTTTAAAAAATTATTATAATTGCTTAGCATTGGTATGTTTTCACAAACTAATTAGAATTTTGTTATAATTGCTTTATACTGCACTAATATTTTACTTACTAAATTTAACTTATTAAATTTGAAGCATGTGTTAATTAAACATATATGATTTACATTCAAGATTAGTTAAGACATCCTCAAAAAAAAAAAAAAAAAAAACCTCAAAAAAAAAAAAAAAAAAAAAATTATTCAAAAAAAAAAAAAAAAAAAAAATTATTCAAGACATTAATAGTTTTTTTTAATTTTTCTAATATAATATTTTCGGTTTTTGGAATATAATTAGTTAAAAAATTACCAGGTTTATGGAATATTACGAGGACATAGTTAAATAAAACAATTAAAAATGAAAAAAGAAATTAACTAGCTAGAAGAGGTTACCTAGAGAGATTCGATCTTCTACTTAGATATTATCTCGTTTGGCTTTTTTCCTTCCTTCCAATTTATGAAAGCTAACTCAATGCCATTAGGACAAACTTCAAAGCTAATTAATGGTTTTCTTCAAGAAATTCAGATAAAATAGGATTAATCAATAGCATTAGGACAAACTTAAATGTGGTGCCAACGATATTTCCCTAATTACAAGTTATTTTTAACGTAATGTACTTGTGCTGAATTATAAAAATTGAATCTGAATAAATAGCTTATTGAGCTGAATAATTTAAAAATCGTATTAAAAATTTATTGTTGGATAGTTAAGAAATAGTATATGATGTGGTTTCATCTAATAGGTTGATATTTTGACATTAAGCTATTTTGACATAATGACATGTAGGTCCACTAATAACCACATTGAGATTCTAACGATTCCTAGACAGTGGCTATGATTGCTAAAAAAAATAAATTTAATGCTACAATTTTGATATGATATGAATTTTGATTTTACGAATTTATTTACAATGAGTATGTAAACATTAAAATATGATATGGAAGTAGTTCATTTTCAAAGAGCTGTATATATATAAATCTCCGAAAGAGAGAAATGTAGGATAGGTAGAAATTTTATGCGGCAACTTGCTATTGTTTGGGCTTGCAAGTATTCCTGTAGGTAGACATGACATTGATTAATTATGTCTCCTCCACCCTTGTTTGGAACGACGGTTGTCCTATAATGCCCGTTCAAAATTCAAATTCAAGTTTTTTTTCCTTGAATGCAAGAAAATTTCGACCAATAGTCGATAAGCAAGAGTTGCGGGTAACATTCATTTGTTCTTTTCTTTGCCACGAACATTAAAACTCCGTTCAGCAACGGTTTTTCATATAACTTTTACGTTTTGATAAATCAAAACGCTAGTTCTATTATTTATCATGTTCGATAAACTAACAATTGTAATAGTATTTAGAGTTTGGGGGATATATTAGTTAAACAGTTGAGAGCTACTATCATTTAAAATAGCTAACTTTATCGAATAGACTCTGCAAAAATCGAACTGAATCTTTCCACGTCACTACAATCATTCTACCCTGAATGTAACTTTCATCTCTACAGTTTCCACTCTCAAGTCTTGTAAAGAAAATTTATAGGAATTATAGCCGCACGGGATATTAATTTGTTTGCTTTTGAAGTTATATTATTGGAATAAAATTGCTAGCTGGATATATGGGTTGAACTGAGTACAAAACCTAATTTTAAAAAATTAATTTGGAAAGAAATAAGTAAATTTTGATGATTAATCTTTAATAATATATTCCAAATTAAAAGGTGTGATTTTGACATAAATTTAAGTTATTCAAATATAAACTATATCATAAAAATATTTATAAATTAATTCAATATTCCATGAATTTTAATTTTGATGCTCCACTTTTATTTGAAGAATGCTAAAAATATCTAAAATTTGACTAGATTATTACTAAAATTTTAAAATTCCATAAAACATTTCAGGTTAATAATTAATTAAAATTGTTAGACTTTCTATTTTTCTTATTTATATGTTTTCATTCTCTTAGACATATACAATGGCCATTTTTTTTTTCTTTTAATACTCAATTTCTTTGTATTTTGTTCTTTCTATTGTAGTAAGTTTACATCATGTGTGAGCCATTTAAAAGTTGCAATAGCTTTGTTTTCTTCCATTTTGCTTGAAACTGTATAACATAGCAGGACTCGAGCTCGTAATCTCTCACCTTTTGTATTTTTATAGAAAGTGAGAAAACCAATCAGACTAAATTTAATTAAGCTTAGAATTTTGTATAGTTTATTGATACTGTTATAGCACTAGATGATGGTTATGAGAATCAAATTTTAAATGCAAATGTTTTTTACAAATACTTTGAGTGAAAGACTTATTTACACATGTAGGGATCCATCTCATATACTTAATCAATCAAAAACACTTTTTTGGTTCAGACGAAGGTATTTTTTATTATTTACTTGGAAAAAAAGAGAAGATAAAATAGTAATAATTATTATAAAAATCTTTTTCTTAATTGGTTTAGTGCACGAGTGATCTAATACACCGAGTATAAACAAGTTTTATCTTACTTTGAGAATGATCATATTATTTCACTTATTTATGAACTAATATTAGTATGATTATCAACCACTGGCCAGAGATGCAGTTGATTAAAAGAGGCGTCAATTGACCCATCTTTTTTTCTTCACTACAAAAAAAACGCACAATTGCGACCGATTTTTGCGACCGACTTAATTCGGTCGCAATTTTGAGACCGATTTGCGACTTATTTTGAGACCGATTTGCGACTTATAAGCCACCGGTCGCAAAATTTGGAGCTGAAAGTTCCCGCGAGAATGGTTAATGATTTGCGACCTCTGTACTACGGATTTGCGACCGATTTGTGACTAAATGTTCTTCTGTCGCAAAACTTCGCACGTAAAAAATGGGCCAAAGTTCTGAGACCGATTGGAGACTACATTGCGACCGATTTTTTGCGATCGATATAGTTCGATATATTTAGTCGCAAATCGGTCGCAAATTTTGAGCCTAGTCAAACGACGTCGGCTCATTAAAAATTGCGACCGATGGTTATAAAATTTGCGATCGATGTTTCGGTCGCAAAAATTAGGGCTTTAAACGCCGGGCCCTCTCTTTTTTCTTTTTTCTTCTTTCTCTCTTCTCCTTCTCCTCTCCTCTCCTCCGTCCGTAGCGCCGCTCCGGCCCCTCCTGACACCGTTTGACGCCGCCAGCCCCGCTCGCTTTGCACTCCGGTCACTCTGTTTCGAAACAATCTGAGGTTAGTTTTATTTTGCGATTAATTTTTCCAATTTTTTTTTGTTTATTGTATAGTCTATAGTTGATTTTGTTATAGAGGCGATAGAATTTTTAGGGTAATTATTATTATTATTATTATTTATTATTATTATTATTATGTTCTTTATTATTATTATAATTATTTGTATTATTGTTGTTGTTTATTACTAATTATTAATATTCATTATTATTATTATTATTGTGATGTTATTATTATTATTTTTATTGTTATTTATTATCTATTATTACTACTGTTCTTATTATTATTATTATTATTATATTATTTATTATTATTATTATTATTATTATTATATTATTTGTTGTTGTTGTTGTTGTTGTTGTTATTAAATTATTTATTAATCGTTATTATTATTATTATGTGTGATTGTTATTATATTATTATTATTAGTATTATTTGTTATTGTTATTGTTATTGGGTTGTTGTTATTATTATGCATTAGTATTATTATTATTAGTATATTGTTGTTGTTATTAATTATTATTATTCTTAATGTTATTATTATTATATTGTGATTGTTATATATTATTATTACTTATTAGTTTATTGTTATGGTTTTTTTCTACCGTCCATTTGTTGTTATTATTATTATTGGATTATTGTTACTGTTGTTGTGTT